GCTTTTCTCCTTTGTCAAGAGAGCTTTCTCTAAATATAAAAGGGGTCTTTATTTCATCCATCTCTTCCTCTAAAGCCTTCTTCCAAGTGCCTCCTCTCTCTGACGAGGCAACAGATACTGGAATCTGTTGTGTTTTTCTCTTGTCTAATTCTTTAAACCTTTGAGCTCTTTAGCTGTGAATTAGTCCCCCCAACACGTCCAGATTTTTGTGGTGGTACCCCTTAACACCCTCAGGTACTTTTAGAGGTCAGTGTTTACTTTCTCCCACAGTGTCTTTTCACCCATCTGAACAACATAAAATATTAAACATTCAATTGTTGATGTTTTACACGATTTAATACTAAAATGATATCATGGGTAGAGGGTTTATCGATATCAGGCCTCAGTTCAAGAACACTGCATGGATCCTTTCACAGCCTTTTGCATACACACACACACACACACACACACACACACACACACACACACACACACACACACAAAAGAAAAATCATGAAGAATAAAATGTTTTCTATTCCATTATCTCATTCTAAGGATTTTCCATGTGGAGGGGAGATTAAGCCCTGTTTGACATTTATAATTCACTGCTCTTGTTTTTTCAGTTGTCCTAACATGACCTTAAATCTTATCAGTCAGAGACATCAAAACCTCTGTAAGAAAAATCACATTTTCTTTCTAAATGAAAGCCTTAATATGTATGATATCATTCACTTTTTCTTCAACGGTTTTCTCAAAAACATTGTGTGTTTCACCCACTTATTGTTTTTGACTGTTTATTTTCATATGGAGTACAATATCTATTGTTCTGTCATTTCTATGCAGAGTGTTTCTGCCTCTTTTTGTTTCTCATGTGAAAGTACCAGCCGGACTGGAGGGAAAACCGTTTATCGTCTCTGCTGAGCAACATCGCCACCTGGTGTTATTAGAGACAGAGTGTCAAACAGCAGTCAAGATGACAGTAGTGCATTTTAAGAGCCAGGCTATATTATTGCCGTTAGTCTATATTGCATGTTGTACAAACTTTTCCTTTATTTACAGCATTAGATAATTTCACGAGTGAGTTTTAGGTCCACACTAATGCCTTATAAACTGATTAATATCCATTAGCTATGACTTATTGATCCTTTTTTAAAAATCCTTTGTTACTTTTTCTAGTCAGCAATCTCTTCCCCAAGTTTTCCCTTCGAGGTCATGAGACACCCTCAAATAAAAAATAAAAAATTGCACTAATTACATATTTTATCAGTTATTGTAAAAATCTAAATAGAACCAGGCACAAAAAAATGTAACAATAGTTTCCTGCTTTTGTTGCTACGATTAGAGTAGATTAACTAAAGCATCAGTGGCAGCAGGTTAGTAAATAGCAGTACAAGAAACATGTGCGCATTGATAGGCTTGCGATCTAGTTAAATTTAGTATTAAAGGAATTAATATAGTTTAAAAATCAGAGACACACAGACTTATCTGGTTGTATTTTTAGTATACAGACCCATCACTACTACATGAAGAATACTGTGTCTGTTTTTAAGCCGTATTTAGATACCGTAAAATAAAACTATGGTTATTTCAACTCTTGCACTCTGTTGTCCAAATGTCAAGTTTTGATTTGGCTCTTTTGCATGCAGGCATTGTAATTTTCAAGGTCTCTGGCTGAAAAGTTTGGGAACATCTGATTAAGCTGTGTTTATTTTAAGCGTTTTGAGTGTTTTTTCAAACTCTCTTCGTGTCATCAAGATAAGTTTGACTTTGGTTTCAATCAGATGTCTTACAGTTATAATTGACACTGGGTTACAGAGGAACTTCCCTCAGAGAAGTGTGTGTTTTTCAGCACGGGATGTGCTGGCTAACCACTGCCCGGGCTGAAGCTTCCGGACTTGGGGGCAGTAGCGCCTGCGGGTACCCCTCACACCCTGCAGCAGCTACACTATCACCCAGCAGCAGACACTGTGCCAGGATACTGTGGTGACACAACCCTGGGCCTCTGTTCCTCCCTGTCAACAGGACTGATGGATGCACAGAGAAGATGATAGCAGAGCTCCTGGGCATTTAAAGTGAGTGCAGCTCAGAGAGCTAGCTTTTCGGTTACAGTGCAGCCCTTGTAGTAACTTTCAGCTATGATTTAAGCTCTAAAGGAGCCTGCAGCAAATGTGTTCATTGCAAATAGACTCAACACAGATTTGAGCAGGTATCTTTGGCTTAAACCAAGCTTTTCTTGGACTCCTTATTGTGATATGACGCCACCAGGGGGCAGAGCATTGAGCCTTTGACCTTTTAACCTTTTACTGTTTTCTCCTGTAATGCACACATACACTCACACAAAATGAAGGATGCAAGCTGATATGATAATCTCTTATATGGGTGATTGCTCTTGATTACTTTAGGTTAACTTGTGTGTATGTGTGCGAGTCTGTGTGTGTGTGGGGCAATTTTCTGTGAGTGTGTATGTGAGACAAAGAAGAGGAAGAAGAAGCTTGTGGCTGAGTAATAAATATAATTAAGGTGGAATGATCAAATCATCTGAAATAGAGGGTCTTCTGATGTTTGAAGAGTTCTTGTTTTAATGAAGTCAAGCATATCACTCACCTCTTTATCTGCTCTGAGAAACACAGACTCTTCTGTGTGTATTTGTGTGTGTGAGAGAGAAAGAAAGTGTCCCAGTGTGTGTGTGTGTGTTTGTGTGTGTGAAATACCGTGGCTGGTTGGGAGTCTGCCCGTGGTGAGTCTGTGTGTTTGGATCAGAGCCTGTCCAGTGTCCTCACTGGTTAATGTCAGACACCCAGTGTGTTGGAGGGATAGCATCTCACACAAACATATTGAGAACCAACCAAGTATTTCACTTTCTCTCTGTCTCTCTCTCTCTCTCTGTCTCTCTCTCTCTCTCTCTCTCTCTCTCTCTCTCACACACACACACACACACACACACACACACACTCCCATAAATGCCTCTGTGCCCTTTTGCCTGCCTTACGTCAGTTTCAAAAGGCCGTTGAGGCCGAGTGTGTATTCCTCTGATTGATTTTCATGGTTGTTAGTAGAGAGTTAAGACTGGTTTTAAGGTTTGACAACAAGGTTGAGTTCCAAAAGGTCAGCATGTCAGACTGAGATCTGGGAAAGTACGATCTAGGTATGAAAAATGACCTCTCCCAAAACCAGGTTCCTATGTGTCTAGTGTGAAACCACCAGCTTTTGGTTTGGCTCAGCATTACAACAGCTGGAAAAGGAACACAGGGGATTGTGGGTAGACAGAAATAAGTTATTTAAATCCTCATCAGCTCTCTGTCGCATGGATGACATGGTAATGAAACTTTGGCTTGAGAAATCGCGTATAAACTAATTTCAGGATGTTTTTTTATCTTAGCGCTTGTGTTTTCATGGGTCACAGAGCAAAGAAACGTGTAGGCCAATCTATGTGTTGAAATAGGATCATTGTAATGAAAAGGTTTATTTTGCCATGTTTTATGTAAATGTGCATTACAAAAAAAAGGTTACAGTGAGAGATAAGTCTACTTCACGGACTTTATGAATGAAAAAAGATGCAGTCTTTTTGACATCACTTACTCGTTTGTGAACTGCTGCTTTGGAGCCTAAACTTTCCTGGTCCCCTTGAAGTTTTTGTGTCTAAACTGAAAATATTTTTAAGGGGTGGTGGAGCATGGAGAGATGGAGGGGTTTGCAAATGTATTACAAATTATTAATGTAATACAGTGCATGTTCAAAAGCTTGTTAGTTAACTGGCTGAGTAGCCTATGGACCAGGTTAAACTAGCAGCTATCTTTTTGCAGCAGGCCGTCAACAAGACGATCAAAACACAAGTTTATAATAAAAGTTTTATGTAAAACTTGATGGAATTTTCAAAATTTGTGTTAGTTTTGTTAGTGCTTTCAAGTCACAAACACAATGCTATCTGTTAATCATCCCATTCTTGTAAATTGTATACACACTTATTCCATCATCTCTGGCATTGTAAGCATCTATCTTTATGTGCTATTGTTGTTGTTAGTCTCTGTCCATCTCTCTCTTTTTACATATCCCTCTATCCTCTCTCTAACCCCAACACAGAAGTGGTGCTGAAAGTACAGTGTTTCATCATGGGACCATAGAGGGGATGACTTGACTTTTAAACTGGCCCCTAATGGCCGTTATCAAGGAACAGCAATTTTTGGCACCTTAAAGGGATATTGCGGCATAAAATTAAGTTAGGGTCAAACACACTGTCACACCAAGTTAGACACCCTCTCGAGAGATGAATGTTGCCGACCGCTTGCTTCTCTAGTTATACCAACTTTAGTCACCTACTCTCTTCCAGCAGCCACTTGTTTGTAGCAAGACCTCGGGCCAGTCCATTACGGACTACAGCAGGGTGACGCAGCCCAAGGAAGAACATTTATGATCATTATTTTATCATTTCCTTGAAGTAATAATCATCATATTAATCATTTTGCATTGCAGACGCAGTAGTTCTTCTGCCTTAGCGTCTCTGTCTGATTGCATTTTCATGAAGAAATGATCATGAATGTTCTTCCTTGAGCTGCGTCACCCCGCAGCAGTCCGTAATGGTCTGGCCCGAGGTCTTGCTACAAACAAGTGGCTGCTGGAAGAGAGTAGGTGAGTTGTGTTTAGTCTCTTTGCTAAAGAAATCAGTCAAAGTTAAAAAGATGTTTGGTGGCTAGTACTTTGGCTGGGACCCTATATGTACTGTTGATGAAGTTAGGTGCTGTTCTGAGCATTAGTTATGGCTACAGAGTGGTGTTTTGCTTGAGCATGTGGTTCTCTGTATTGCTATCTGCAGTCGTTACTAAAGTTGATATAATGAGAGAAGCAAGCTGTCGGCAACATTCATCTCTCAACGGCATGTATAACTCAGTGTTATGGTGTGTTTGACCCTAACTTAATTTTACGGCTGAATATCCCTTTGACTTTTCAACACAGGAAGCTGTTGCTTGGCTTTCAAGCCTCAGCTGTTACCATCATTACTGATATAAATTAATCACAAAGTAATATTTTGAATGTAGAGATGATAGAAATTTAATATAACAACATTCACAAGCAGTATCATCAATACCATTTTTATGTGTCTGTTTTAAACATTGGTTTAAATTTGGATCTGCAGGTGAGAGTACCATTAAAAAACAATCTATATACGAGGTGGGTAAAACAGAGTGTAATGACTTTTTTCTCAATGGTTAATTCTCTTATCTGTTAGCTGCCATTTGTATGTAACTAAGAAGTGACAGAAAAAGCTGCCACATAAATATCTAGTAAAATATTTATCATGGAAAAGGCCAATGCAAATTTTTTGGCTCGATATTACTGTGGTTCAAAAAATAGCGTGCTTGAAAATTGTATCTTCCTATTTAGGATGTTCCTGCAAAGTTCCTGGGTCTTGTCTTCATCTCTACCCTTTTGAAGGAGTAGCGCTCCCCTGTTCGTCCATCTGTCAGGATGTACCAAGTACCCCAGTAGATACCATTTGTCACCCCACTGTAACGCCCTGGGTAATACCGTCCATTCAGGTTGGCTGCCAGACAGGCGTCAAACCACCAGCCTGCACCATAGTACTGACCACAGTTCCCGGCTGTGTATCGGTCGTTGTCTCGGTCAGCTGTGCTAAAGGATCTGCCATCGTGGTTGTATCGTTTGCTGTAGCTCAAAGCATTGCCTGCATCACCTGAGTACTCCCGCGCTGTCAGACGATATCTGGAAAATAAAAACGAGACACAGTTTTATTTTTAAGGTTGTGCATAATATTCTGTTTTGAATATTTTTAACGGACCACATAAAAAAACCCCACAAAGTTTTGTCTCTCTTTCAGTCAATTCACACAAAAACATGAACCCTTGGTATCTTGTTCCTATTTAAAGGCAGAGATCAGAGACAGCTTTGGTTCTTGTACCTGACATGTTTAAAGACCCATCCAGATGAAAATGATGGGTTTTTTTTGTTTGTTTTTAATATGTTCATATGGCATTTTTCTGATGCTACAGGACATATCATGAGAGAACTAAATTTGAATTTGCTTTTCTGAGTATTTCTGCATTCAAATCGCTGTGAATCTCTAGCAGACCCAAACGGCAGGTTCAGACCATAGACTGTATATACTATGGACAACTTGGTTCTGTCTTCCACCAGTATACAGATTTGAAGCCAAAAAGCATTTCCACGTTTTTTTTTTTTTTCATTTCCTGAAACCAACATTGCGCAGTAGCGTTGCATGCACTCCACCACTTGCGGAGTAGCGTTGTACGCATTCGGCGTGAGAGTCACCAAGAGTCACTGTGATTATGCTCGGCTCAAACAGTGTATCCACCGGGTGAGCTACACAATCTTTGTATGCCCAGATTCTGTATCAGGGGTCAATCATAGAAAACATGAACCTCCTAATAACTTTTAAAAATGGAGCTGTACAGAAAAAAAAGGACTTGAGCACATGGTGGGTTATATTCTGTGTAATAAATTTCTAAAGCTTGTCCACAGCCCCAATAAGCTTCGCAGGAGGAGGCAGGATTTATGACCTATACTGCAGCCTGTCACCAGGGGGTGCCGTTCTCGGAGTGGCTTCACCCAGCGAGGAGGCAGAGTGAGAGTTCATACAAACCACTCCAAGCTCTGCCCCCGGAGCCCCACAATGCAAGCCACACTCTGCATATAGAGGAGAAATAGAGAGGATGATTGCGGAACAAGCGTGTGCGTTAGCGGATTGCAATGCTCGTAAGAAAGCTAGTTATGATATTAGCTTTCATCGTGTCCCTAAAGACATTGTGTCGGAGAGCTGAATAGCTCCTTTGTTACGTGCCACTTCTACTACACAGGCAATGTTAGGCTGCAAGCTAACGTGAAGACAAGTGTGCAGAGCAGTGCTGTCTCAGCCCACGACTCAGAGGCGAATTGCCAATGATCTACTGGAGCTCTGCAGAAGAAAAGCCCTTGAAAATGACACAGGTAACGCAATTTTTGGTAAAAACTTCATAATCACAATTTTGAGACCACTGAGATCACTTTGAGTATTAAAGAAGAAAAAGTGATTGGAGTGAGACTTTCAATTGAATCAGACTCCAAAGACAGTTGTGTTGTTCTTGGCTCATTATGCCAGAACCAGTAATTCAACCCAAACCTATTCACTTAGGTCACAGGTGTCAAACTCAAGGCCCGGGGGCCAAATCTGGCCCGTGGAACAATTATTTCTGGCCCACAAGATCATATCATATTTGTCTTATTATTGGCCCACCAGTATGAGGTCAGCAGATTTCCTCCAGTATAATAATGTAAACTTTAGCACCATTATCTAAAATGTCCTCAATAAGCCACGAAAATCTGGGAAATTAAAGAGTAAGACAGATTTGATAAATAGTCAAGAATGTGGGGAAAAAATATTTGGTGTTTTTTCATGTTTTCAATTTCACATTTCAAGATTACAAGTCAAACATGATTGGATTTTTTATTTCATGCTTTGATTTTTTTCAACTCAGTTTTTAGACTTGTGTAATTTTTATACTTCCAATTTTAAATTCTAAGACATATTTTGACCTTTTAAACCTGATTTCAATGTTCCCCTAACGTATTTGCTCTTTAAAAGCATTATTTTTCTGTTTTTAATATCATGATCTGATTTTTTGAACTAATAAATAAAAATAGAATAAAAAATAAAATAAAAAATACATTTTTCCATCTAAGATTGCCTTTAAACATTTTTCTTTTTATCTTTGTTTAATTTCCAAATGATTTATAGTCATTGCTGTTTTTGTTTTGCATAGTTTTTTAAAAGGAGGTTGACAGTTTTGGTGAAATGTTGACCCTGTTTGGCCCTCAAGTTGGACCTAAATCCAGATTATGGCCCTTGCTGTGGTTGATTTTGACACCCCTGACTTAGGTGCACTTTGCTTGTAAAATGATGTGACTCTTAATGAGAGCTCATCTTCCCATCATGCTGAGCTGCAGAAGATTTTTCACAATCAACTGAATATTTAAAACAGGAAGTGGGGCTTTTTCCTCATTTGATTTAGTAGATCCTGTTTCATGAGACAGAATTTAAGACAGCTCCACTTTTATATACAATTTATGGATGCAACTTTAATTGTTGCATATACTTTGTTGTAAATGTTCAACAGAAATACTTGATGCTGAGAGGCAAATTTAGAGGGTATCTTTTGCAGAAAGCATGTTAGTGCCTCTGCACCATGCTTCACCTCTGTGCCTCTGAGGCCACTTTGAAGTTATTGTAGGTTGCATGGCGCTTCTGTTGGTGCCAGTCCTCCAGCTCTATACGGACTTGGTGTTGTCCACTAGAGGTGAGGGCATGAAGGGCTGCGTTCCCCAGCCACAGCTCTCCCTGCGGACTTCCAAAGCCCTCCCGGTATTCCTGCCATGTCCTGTTGAAGTCAAGTGAGCCGTCCTGCCGATTCTGGACCACTGTCCACCCACCGCCGGCCGTCTCCATGTCACATTTAGCCTAAGCCAAAACAAAGATATTATAAAGCCTAGATTTTGGTGATCAGCACAGAGCATGCACACCTCTAAAAGAAGAGAAGCAAGGCGTGGGTCCGTCTGTGTTTTTATGAGTGTGGTGAGGCTAAAATACCTCCAAGGCTGGTCTGTGCAGGTCAGGCTGAATGGTGTAGATGCCATTCTCTTTGATCCCAAGCTTGTAAATCTCTGCACAGTCCTGAGGATGTAACCTCTCCATAGGGGCAACTAATAACCACACAAACCACTTCTTTAAATTCAAGCTGCTGTCGACAATAGTTGTATCATTTGATCTCTCATTGTGCACTTACCTGTGGGTGGAAACTGTGTGATGCTCTTCAGTAAAAGCAGCAGGTCTTTTTCCCCCTCTCTCCCCACAGCTGCACTCTCTGTCACCCCAGAGATAGATTGGGTTATCACACTGATGTCAGCGTTTAAGAATAGAAGCTTTGTCTTCATAATCTACATAAAGGACTTCAAGTTTGGATCATGACTCTTTAAAGCATCATGATCCATAGAGTATGTGTGGCTGTGTGTGCAGTACTAAAGGGTTAGTCTCACTGTTCCCAGTGCAGTGAAATTCCTATGCACTCACCTATGACCGGTACTTAGTAGGCCTCATTGAGGTTCTGTTTACTATGTGTGGGGGAGTGACTGCACTGGCATTTTGTATGTGTGTTTTGGTGTGTGTGTGCTTATTGTGTGCGTATTCGTTCATGTGTTGCCATGACAGGTGATATAGATGTGTTCTCCTCACCCAGTTGTTTGGCCATCACCCCAAGGGCCTGACTGTGACAGTGGAGGTCACACTCTGTCAGTACAGCTGCCATCAGAGCCAAGATGGCCCCTAGAGAGCCACTGTCCTGGCCCCCTGTTTCCTGGAGGGAGCGCATGCAACGCTGCAGCTGAACCAGACGCTCTTTCACACCTCCAGGCTGCAAAGACAGTGCTCAGATGTACTTCTTGATTGGATATTGTGTCATATATTACACAGTTAGCAATCCACTCAATTCACCATTTTCATCTGACATCATGGGCAGAGAGGGAAAAATCTGTGCTTTTAAATCTGTGACACTGGTAATGTGAGGTTACCATGTCTAAGTATCAAATACCGTGTTTTAAAGGGATATTCCAGTGTAAAATTAAGTTTGGGTCAAAACACACCATAACACCGAGTTAGACGACCCGTCGTGAGATGAATGTTGCCGACCGCTTGCTTCTCTAGTTATACCAACTTTAGTAACGACCGCACGATAGCAATACACAGCGGTCTGAGCAGCCATAAACAAACCTCAAACAAAACGCCACTTTATAGCCACAAATAATACTCAGAACAGCACCTAACTTCATCAACAGTACATATAGGGTCCCAGCCATAGTACTAGCCACCAAACATCTTTTTAGCTTTGTCTGATTTCTTTAGCAAAGAGACTTAACACAACTCACCTACTCTCTTCCAGCAGCCACTTGTTTGTAGGGAGACCTCGGGCGAGTCCATCGACTGCAGCGGGTCGACGCAGCTCAAGGAAGAATATTTATGATCATTGCTTTATCATTTCCTTAAAGTAATAATCATCATATTAATCATTTTGCACTGCAGACGCAGTATTTCTTCTGCCTTAGCATCTTGGTCTGATTGCATTTCCATGAAGAAATGATCATAAATGATCTTCCTTGAGCTGCGTCACCCCACTGCAGTAATGTACTGGCCTGAGGTCTTGCTACAAACAAGCGGCTGCTGGAAGAGAGTAGGTGAATTGTGTTTAGTCTCTTTGCTAAAGAAATCAGGCAAAGTTAAAAAGATGTTTGGTGGCTAGTACTATGGCTGGGACCCTATATGTACTGTTGATGAAGTTAAGTGCTGTTCTGAGCATTATTTGTGGCTATAGAGTGGTGTTTTCTGGGACTGCTGTGTATTGCTGTTGTGCGGTTGTTACTGAAGTTGGTTTAATTAGAAAAGCAAGCAGTCGGCAACATTCATCTCTTGATCGCTGTTATGGTGTGTTTGACCCTAACTTAATTTCACACTGAAATATCCCTTTAATGTGACATATGTCTGTATTTTCCATGTATCTGCATGTGAATTTTTCCTATGCTCTTAAAGCTGTAAATGAATGAAAATGAATGGAATTGTCATGTGGAGCTGGACAAAGATGCTTAATTGTGTAAAATTGTTTCTGCATTTTAAAAAAGCTAAAAGCACAGGCCTCTTAGTTCAGTGCCACACTTTGTGTCACATTCAACCTGTCTCTTACACTGACATCAGCCTGTGTAATCGCCGTCCTCACACCTGTTACTGCATGAGCTCAGCACAACCATATGATGGGGGACCTTTTGAAAGCTGCCCTAATTTTATCCCTTCTTTGATTGCTGACTGTCATTGCTCCATGGCTGTTGAGCAGTGCCAAGTTTAGTGAGCTGACTGTCCCATGAGGAGAGACCTGCTGGCCTCAGACAGAGGGGACTGCTCAGTCTTACTAGCACATGGTCATTAAACAAGCAGAGCTTATTTCTGCAATGTATCTGTCAGAATTTTCTTATCCCCTTGCTTTTACATGGCTAAGATAGATTTGATTTGAATTGTTATAGGGAGTATTTATTATAATACAACCTAATGTAATTACAATGATTTTTAATATTTGTTGGTAGGAATGAGTAAGTCTTATTTGGACAAGCGCACTCCAGGTTTCGTGTCTTACCTTATGCTGGACCTGAGAGAAATCGTGCCTGTGCTCCACCCTCCGAGGTACGTTTGAGATGGCTGGGAGTGAGAGACCCATCCTGCAGCCTGCTGTCCCAGTTTGACCCTCACACACCCTGGTGCCAGACTGGACAGGTGCTGCCACCAGAGTGTCCCTGCAGGGAGGGCGTGTGCAGGCTGGAGATGCATCTGAAGACAGCAAAGCTCCGACATGCAGAAACAGCAGAGAAAGCAAACCCAAAGAACTAAAAAAAAACATGGTGAAGTTTAGAAACAGAGTCTTTTCCTTGTGTTTTTTTGTCCAGGTCCAGGTATTCCCAAAAGTGTTGAGCCCCCTTCCTCTCAGCTGTAAGTCCTTGGACCTTTCTTTTGTTTTTTGTAACTCTCAGCAAACTTTTGCTTCACTTTTATCGCTCTATAAAATTCTCTTCAGGTAGCAAGTGTTTGCAGACCAGTCCTTGTAATAGATCTGAAAGTTACACTTGTCTCTCCCCTTTTTTTCTAATCTGCTGTCATTTCTTTTTTTTTCCTTGGTTCATCATCATGCTCTTTGTGCTCCTTTTCCTCTTGCCCTCTCTCTCTCTCTGTTTGCGAGGTTGCTTTGGCTCAGATTCCTAGATAACTGCGGCACTCTTTGCTGTGGGACACAGACTAATGCACCCACCCCCTGATACACACACACACACACACACACACACACACACACACACACACACACACACACACACACACACACACACACACACACACACACACACACAACAATCTGTTCATCTCCTTCATTTATCCCATTCTCTCTCCTGTACACTCCCACACAGCCACACACAGAGGTGCATGCTTGCACACACATATGCACCCAGATTTTGAAATACATCCTTTTGCATGCATTAGTCTTTAAACACACCTGCCACCATTATTACTTATTTTGAGCAGACTTTAACCTCTTCTTACCCTTACCCATTACCATGCATACGTGTCTGTAGAGATGAAATGCAGCAGATGCCTAAAGTATGCAGCTCCTTTCCTCACAGCTTTCCTTTTGTGTTGCAGTATTTGTGTTGACAAACTGAGTTCCAAAGAGGCCATAAAGACTGCATTCAATGGGAGCGAGAGGACAGGAATTCTTCAATAAACATCAAGTCATCAGGATTCTGCAGAGGCACACTTCCACTAACAAGAGAGGCAAACACACACATGAAGAGACACCAACACAGTGACATGCAACAGGAAGGGATCAGTCTGAAAAGATGGATGAGGAAGAGGCTGCTCTGGTTATCAGAGAATTGAAGAGTCTGAGAGACAAGCTGAAGGTGCAAGAAGACAATATTTATATTTTTTTACCTGCTGCATTGGTGAATTAAAACTGTTTTCTTTTGGCTTGATACTATTTTAAGGGTATGTCGAAGAATTGTTTTGAAAAGGGAAACACTTTAAGTACCTTTGAGCTGTAACTCATTTAGCTTATAGAACTTTTGTTCTTTCATCTCATTTTCTGACTGGGTTTGAAAAAGCGTAGATAAAATTAAAACAATAAAAGTATGCACAAAATGGTACAAGATATTCTCAAATAAAGGGAAAAACATGCGTTCAGCTTATGTACACTTAAGTTTCATGTAAAGAAATACGTTTTTTTTCCCTATTATTTTGCTACAAGTTTATTTATCATAGACATTTGAATTTGCACAAAAACTGATTAAGAAGTTTATTTGTGGTATTCTGGTGTGAAGATAGTGATATAGAGTTAGTTTTTACACTAGTAAACTGCTTTATACTTACACGTTATTGAACTAAAATCCATTCATTTTCCTATCAAATTTAAAGTTCTTTTGATTCAGCAGTTTTGAGTTTTGTGTTGTAAGTGTGTGTGTGTTTTTTTTTGTATTCTAAAAGTAGGGTTATAAATGCAGACAAAGGACATAAACTTTCCATCATCATTAAAAATATTCCAATCAGAGACAGCTTTCAGCTACCAACCCATTTCTCTCTCACACTCACTTAAATATTATAGAGAAGTAGGTTTCTAAACTAACTCTGACTTGTATACTTTCTCAGGAGAATGACTAGGAAGAAAGCTTGAAGCAGAACTTTGAGCAAATGTCTGTGACATTAGGTCATTCATTAAAACTGAGATGACACTGTCCTCTAGTGGTGGAGGAAGATGTCTCTCACAGAGCAGTGGAGGGGCATCCATAAGCACAGGACATCTGAACAGTCATAAATTAATAATTTTGGAGCAGGGGAAAGACTCCACTGTTTACCTGCTGATGTGTGGATGCTAAATACTTTCATGGCAAAGTAAAATATTTTGGTATGTTCATATTCATTGGGCTTAGTCAAGTGTAAAGCTACACCCTAACACTTCTACATTCTTGATGATGATCACGTAATGGGATTAAAAGTTTGAAGTAGCTTCTAAATGGAGTTTGAAACTGTTTTCTCAACACTGATAAATACAAAGAGTAGCTTTAGCAGAGTACCACTCAAATATTATTTTTATAACCATTATAATTTTTTTAGAGTTTTTTTCCTCCGTTGATGCAGATCAAATATGTTGCATGACTTTTTGAAGATGAAGAAAAAAAAAGTAGATAAAGGAATTATTTCTTTAATTTCAGCCACCACTACTTTGATTTTGACACATGTAGTTATTTATTTATTTTACTTTTTATTATTATTTTTTTTAGTACATTACAGCCATTTAACACTCATGTAGGGAACAAAAACGAACCTCTATTTAAGTTTCTGCAAGCATGGTCATAAATCTTCTTGCACTGCCTGGTTTAAAAGAAAAAGACACAACTTAATTTACTTAGACGCTGAATCAGAGTGTACACCAATTTTTAACCAAAATTGAAATTATTCAAGATAAATAATGCAGTTACAGAGCACAGACTGTGTAATATACAGTAGGGGAGAGTGGGGTAAGTTGAGCCACCCCCTGTTGCTTGGAAATGGAAAAAGAAATTGATCATTTGACCAAATGTTTAAGAGATGGGCATCAATTCATGGAGTCTGTGAAGGTTAGAAGCACATGGGTGAAGGGGTTAGACATTTATTTACAAAGAAAAAACATTTTTCACTCTTGAAAGTGAATTTAGTCTGTCATACATTTTATTAGAATTGTGTTCAGACCAAAAAATATTTTAAATTTGTTTTATACATCAATTGCGGTATCTATGAGCTACAACATGAGGTCAAAAACCAACATTAAAGTCCACCATTTTAGCTTAGAGGATTATTAAAGTCATAATAGTAGTTCTGGGGTAAGTTGAGCCAGTGGATCAACTGAGAAAGTAAAGGAGTCTGATGAGAGGATCAGAGTTTCAGTTCAGATTGTTGAAATGTGTTACTTTTTCTTTTCAAAACACAGCTGTGAATGTTCTGAATCACTTAAAGGCATTCTCATGTTAAAACGACTTTTTACAAAGCAGCTTTTTAGCAGTCATGTGCAATAATAAAAATAATTATTGTACCAGTTGGATAGTGTATAATAGATAAAAAAAATACACATGAATGAGAGGAGAAGAAATGACTGTTATTTAGGGAGACCGAAGGTAAGGGAGGGCTGGGGTGGAGAGTGGGATGTAGTAGGGATATGGCTCAACTTACCCCGCTCCTATGGGCAACCTCCATAGGAGACCACTTTTTTGGCTTGCTATATTATCAAGACAGTTATGTTTACACTCATTCTGTTGGTTTGCGGGGATGCACAACATCTTGAAATATATGCAGATACACTAGTTAGAGACTAAACTATGATTGTCTTGATGTAGTGATCTGAAATATAAAGAATGGCTCATCTTACCACACTCTCCTCCTACTGTTTATCATCAGGGATGAAGAAAATAGGGATACGTGGGGTGGGCTTGTCAGTAAGTTGCGCCTGACGTAGGACGCAGACGTTTCGGAGAAGGAAGTGAAAGGGGAACAGAAGCTGGAGGTAGCAGATATTTAGCTCGCTGGCAGGCACCCTTTCAATTTAAGTGCCAAATTTACATACTAGTTTGAGGAAACCTACTTTGCCAATTCACGGCGCCTTTTTTAATATTCGCGTAGGAGGACGATACATTTTTCAACCATTTTGAAACGAGATATTGCCAAACAAACGAAGTCAGTGCCAGCGAGCTAGTGAGCTAACGTAACGCCTAGTTAGCCGGGCTAGCCTGTAACGCTCCCTGAACAATAACAGCTGCTCTGCTGGCTGCCAGGTCGAGTCCCTGTCCCTGAGAAATATCTGCTTCCGTGAGTCACAAGTTGAAGGTAAGTTCTGAGACGACAACGGTATGTACATTTCTATGATATTTGTCTGTTCGTCAATTTCTGCTGAGTCCTGTCAACAAACCGCTCCAACGGCTGATGGTGGGGCGATATTTACGAGGAGCTACTTTGGCAGAAACAGGGTCGGCCTGTGGTCCCCTCTGGGTCCACTCCAACAAGACAGGACAACCGGGGAGACTCAACGATGGATGTCCTTTTTTGTTAAATAGTCATAGGGGAAGTAATAATTGATACTTATATTGGTTTTACACACAGAAAGGGCAGGGGTGCACGATATATTCACTTTATCGTTATAAAATCCTCCTTTCAGAACATTTGTAACATCATATACCGAGCTGATCCATTAACAAAAACAACTATTGCACATTTGCAGTAGTGTGTGAAGAGGCAGACGGAGGTGGTCATGTGTTTGTTCAGAATGATCAAGTTTTTGTTTCGGTTGTGACTCATGGGTCACGCAGGTACATGTCGTTCAGTCTTCCTATTGGACCAGAGGCGCTCAGACAACAATCTGTTTTGCTCACAACGCCCATTACATAATTCACAGAGACCTGCTAAGATCAAGCCCAACGAGAAATCAGCTCTCCAAAAACCAAAGTTGAGGTGTTTCCTTAAAGTCATCCGTTTGCTGACAGTGTCTTTATCTTTAACTTTTCCTCAGTCAGATCTCTAATGAACTTTCTTCTGTCTGAGAGGAATCTTTGTTTGATTATTTTGTATTTACTGCTCCTTAAGTTTCTTTATTTTCAAGCCTGATGCAAATACCTGTGTTGTACCTTTGACCAGCTCTAGATGAGATTTACTCATATCCCACAAGTTTGTATAAAGTGGCTGATTTTTTGCAACAGTTTTTAGCGTAATTTCAGTTCATATGGGCTTAACAGGCTGAAATTTGTTATTTTTCAGTGTAGCTCGCACCACAGTGTTTTCACCGGAGTACTGGTTTTTGAGGCTGTATGCTGTCGGTGAGCTCTGCAGGAAAATACCTTATTCTGTAAAAATGTCTGTTATCCATTTATCATGAAACTTCATTTAAAAGTCTCTTAATTAAAAAAATAGTTTAGTTTTTTTTTGATAATCCCACAGTACCTTACTAAATCACATACTAATTCCATATTTTATGTTAGGACTGGGCGATTTGGCCAAAAAGATGATCACGGTATACTTTGCCATGTCGTCCGATCTCTATTATTATCACAATATTTTTTTTTCAAGTGCCAGTTCAAAAGCATCTGTACTTAAAACTGAAAAATAAGTAGATAAATACTCAATAAGACGTTAAATAACTTTTCTTCTCAACAATAACATCTTTGGAGGATGACTCAAAGTCATGGCTGACATCTATTTTGCTGCCCTCAGCTCCGTGTTCGGTTACTCTGTTTACTTGTCCGGCAACTTACAGAAGTGAGCAGGAAAAGCTGGACTCTGATTGGCTGTTGTCACGCACATTTTCACCATGTTTGATCGAGTAAATAAGCTCACAGCTGATCACCGCGATCGAACTGAAATTTATCACGATCATTAATCCCGATCATATAATCGCCCAGTCCTATTTTATGTTAAACGCTTTCCGTCAGTTACCTGAGAGGACCATACTTATCACACTTTGTTTATCACATGATTACATGCACAGTATGTTGCCAACCAGGAAACAAAATGTACAAACCCCATGGTTGGTATGTGTGTGTGTGCAGAGAGATGAATTTCAGCATTGAGAAACATCAAACAGCCTTTAAACTCTATATTTAGTCCAGAGTTTGTCAGTGACTGTGGATTGTGTACACTGCTTCAGAGCTATGGGGATCTGTGAGTTAATTCTTGTGTGATTCAGAGACATAAATTTTAGTGACAAATGTTGATCACACCCTGTGTCAGAGTTAACTGCTAGTCACTCCTTTTGATGTCTGGTTGCTCCTGTCAAAAGTATTATCAATGTTTTCATTAATTGGTGTCATATTTCAAGTTAATCAAACTACTAAAGGTTGCTATAAAGTTGCATGAAAGTAATTCCATGACAAGGTTAATGTTAATGAGTTTCATGAAAGAAGTGATTTATGGTTTGTCAGTAACTATTGAAGCAAAAATGATAACTTTATTACAGTATTAGTGTCACAGATTAAAACCGAGCACTTTTGTTCATAGAAGTAAAATTAGGTTGTACCTCTACCTGAAAAAAAATGCCTCATTTTACTTATTATGAGACCAAAAACGCTTAAATACTAGTATTATATGCAACTCTTGAAAATTTTTAAGCACATCATTTCATACTGTCGATCCCTGAAGGACATGGTAGCAGCACACTAAATGCTTCTTCTTTTGCTTTACATTTTTCCTGTATTATCCTTTAGATGTCTTTCTTTTGCTTTGGGGTTCATTTGGTTTTACGTAAAATTAAACTGAACCTCTTATTTTGAGACCTTAGTCTTCAATGGTTTAATATCTAACACTCAGCTGTTTGTCAACGGTAACAGATCTGAGATGCTTTTTTTCCTCTCTCCTGTAATCATGTGACTATGGTCTGAGCATGCCCAGACTTTGATGATGCCCTGTACTTTATGCTGCTGTCAGCTAATCTGGGCTTCACAGGCTGCTAGTCAGTCAAGCACTGTTCTTGTTCTGTTTAGAAAGAAGATAAGTGTATTCTCCCCGATGGGACCTAAAGTGTTTTTAAGCACACTTTTTGGTTTTGGACCGGGCTTTACTTTTTCCCTCTTTAAAGAATGTAAGCTGTGTTTTTATTCTGTTTTTATGGAGCTGAGACTGGTTTGGAGAGTGAATTGGTCTGCGTCAAATGTTTTTTTTTTTTTTTTTTAACTCGGTTTGTTCTAGATATTGATTTACTGAAGAAGCTGATAGTGGTATTGATCAAACTCACAAGTTCATCATTGTTAGTTTTTTAAACACATTGTTTTATCAATTCTCTGAGTTTTAAAAGAAATGTAAATTCTTGGTATCAAGAGGACACTCATAGACAACATATCCCTATCAGACATCTGGTTCAGCTGCTAGGGTTACTGAGTGTGTGCAAAACTGCATTACACTACAGTAGAGTTTCCCTTCCAGTCAAAAGCTTTATGCTGGACTGTTTATTGTGGCACTGATAAGATAAACGTTTGAAAAAAGGATAAGAAATCACATTCTTTAGTCTCTTGGGCCTATTTACACATGATAAAAGTTTGCAGATAACCAAAATATGCCCGGATCAAACCTTTTAATCATTTTTTTATTTTTTATTTGTGCCATGGTTCATTTTTTTAACGTGACTTTCCACACGAACAATCTTCATAATGTGTTAAAGTGATCTTTTATGGAGGGACTTTGTGTTGATTGACCTTAAGTTGTTCACTGCAGTTATATCTAACACAGAGACAATATTGTGTTTAACACCAGGTAGTGTTTAACACAATAACAGCATACCTGGAACTGATCTTTCTGGCATTTCTAAATTGTGTTGAAAACTTTGTGACTTTTGTGGAAAGATGCGTACATGAAGCTTCGACTGAAAAGTTTTCCAAATAAACAATCATTCATCAATGTATTTGCTATCTAAGAAATAACTCATTTAATTTAATGAGACGTGCAGTGGAAATTGTGTACTTGACTGTGTGGAAATTGTACATGTTGCCTAACAATCAAGTACAGTTGATTCAGATTCAGACAAGTTGATGCATCGAGTCAAGTCATCTACTATCTCTTACTGACAACCGAATCTGGGCCTTTGTCCTCAAAGTTCAAACATGATGAGATCTTGCAACACTAAAGCACGATGATATGTCTCATCAAGGTGGTCAGCTGTCTCACAAGATCAATGCACTGTTTTCCGGTGACAGTACACAGTGACTTTGTCTGTTTTTTTTTTAAGCATTCACTGCACTACACAAATTTGGTGGCTAAGCTGTATAAAAACAGTCCTGCAGAGTGGAGAAGATGCTGCCAAAACTACCAAAGAATAAGAAAAGTAAAAACAGACAAGAGATGTCTTGCACACACTGTAGACTAGGATGACAGTTGTGTCCAGTATTGTTGATCTGGGAGCGCTGCGGTGGAGTAGTTCTTGTTTATTGTAAGTGTTTGCTGACAGAGATCCTAGACTGCAGTTTATTCTGTAAACAACTCTAGACTCCATGATCAGACACCACTGTTTTCATTCCCTATCTGGACTCACGACAATATTCAGTAGGGCCTGACCGATATGGATGTTTTGGGGCCAATGCCGATACCGATAATTAGGGGGGGATCCGATTACCGATAAATCGGCTGGTTTTTAATTTTTGATGACGTTATAAAAAAATATTTATAAACTGTGGATGTACTGTAGGCTACTGCTCCTCACGCCAACAGAAAGACCCACTGATCAAAGTGTTTCAACTTATCCCCCCTGGCCGATCGGTGCTTCCGCGTCTTAACTCGGGTTACACATTTCCGGTCCGGTCTCATCTGGAGACATGCAGCTGCCTCAGTAAGAGAAGTAGCTCGATCACGTCATGTGTACTGTTGTTTATTCTACCGTTACTGGCACAGCTAAAAGTGTAGCAAGGCTAATAGCAGGTGGCTAACTCTAACTCTAGCTTGCATATTACATGGTGCTTCACCGTTAACTCGGCGTGACCGAGACCAGCACAGCGGGGAACATAGTGAAGTGGGTTGAACTGAAACTTGTTGACTTATTGTCTATCTCACAAACTGGTTTATTTACCGTTGAGGTGGACCACTCTTCTCCGTGCGTCCCTGGGCTGCCTGCTTCAGATCCGTCACTCTGTTGTGCTGTGAGGTAGTTAGTGGATGAAGGTTGTCATGAGGTTGCTGCGCCATCTACAGGGTAAGTCTGGGATATTTTCAAATGGCGGAACATTTTCGAAGTCAAACCGAATCTTATTCTCCGCATTTTATTTCTGAAAATATCTGCAAATTTTGGCCGATTACCGATTAGTCTCCAACAGGCTAAAATTGGCCGACTTAATCGGCTCGCCGATAAATCGGTCAGGCCCTAATATTCACATTTACTTTGTCCGTCTGTGACATTCTCCCTCTCTCTGGCAATACCAGAGGGTAATACTGTACATAAAGTTATAAATCAAATACATTTTTGTGTCCTTATTTCACGGTTAATGTGTGTTCATTAATGAAAGCTCATTAATGACATAAATAGTTGCTGAGACAGAGGGCAAAAGTTCATGAAGTCAGGCTTTATTTATCAACAACTGTACTCCAGACCTGGGAATGGTAGAGCACAAAAAAACCTAATGTGTTTCCAGCTGCAGTAGATGGTGAATTAGAGTTGTGTGTTATCTGATAGCTCAGAATTGCATAGAAAGTAAAGTCTTTCAAAAGCATAATCAAGCTAACGTGAATGAAGACACATTTATCGTGCTTACATTTAATTTTTTTATGGTATGAGGTGATTCCTTACTAGTCAATGAATGGTCAAAATGTTTATCATGGACCTGCAGTCTTTTGCATTTTGTGACTTTTGTTTGAATGATAAATTTTCCAGTTGTATTTTTCATCTTTGTAACTTTGTAGTGTTAAAATCTTGTCTTGCTCGCGTAAAGCCAACCTTGTGGGACTACTCGTGAGCTGTCTCATCACACCCTTATTTAATCATGTTTAAACTTCCTTCACTGTGTTTTTATTTATAATTGTTACATGTATGAAAAGAAAAGTGCCAGATGTGTCACTTTATTTGTGGAGTGAGTCAGGCCTTTAGGAGGTAACTTCCTGTGGTGCGTTAGGGAGAATGAATGATGTGTTCCTCGTGATTTGCCCAACAGCTTAGAAAGCACATGACTGGAATGAGTGGTATTCAAACCTGATTGGTCGGAGGGCCAAGAAACCTTGCACACACAAACATTTGGGCCAGTGCGTTCCAAGGGATCTTTCTGCATCGAAACGTTTATTTCATGTAGTGACTTTCTTAACCCTGAACCTAAGGAAGGTGGTGGTTAGGTTGTAGAGATGAAGAGGTTAGGAAGGCGAGTGCCCTGAAGGATCTCTTTACGCTTAAGTTGATGCTCTTTGTTTCTCTGCAGCTGTGGAAAAATGGCATCCAGGAAGAAAGTGCTCTTGAAAGTCATCATCCTGGGAGATTCTGGGTGAGTCACAACATGGCATATTTCTCTTGAATGTGTCAAAACCAGAGGTATAGAAGGTTGAAAGATCTTCAGTCAGGTATCCTTCCAAATAGGTCTGGTGGGAGACAAACATCTGATGAATCAGCAAAGATGACATGTATCAGTAGCTTTGCAAACATCTGTCTCCAGGCAGAACTTTGCTCTTTAATGATATCATTCTTCTTGGTATCTGCAGACCTAATCACTGCTGTACGCTCAGCAAATGATTGCTTACCAAAAGTAGGTCCATCGTTACTTTCACAAGATTTTAAACTTTGATTGCATTTGCAAAGGGAGTCAACTGTGTATTAACTAGTAGGAAAGTCTGCTACTTGTCTTGCTCATATTTTTAGGTTTCCTCTTTCTGTGTTGCTTAATAGAGGAATCAACAATGATGTTGAAAGAAATCAGTTGAAACCATCCACTGAACTTGAAGAACTTTTTCTGGAAAGCAGGTTTTTCAACCACAAGAGGGAAACAATAAATCACAGAAAATAATGAAACCAAACAATATTTTAGGTAGTATCCAGACATTTATACAGCCAGATACTGCACTAGATACTAGATATGAGTCCTCCTTACACTGATGGTTTTATATTCGGATAAAAATCCAGTGTTTAATACCAGACTTATAACTTACCTGATAGATAACTTATGCACTCTGTTACTCCACACATACAGATTGGGTAACATCAGTGTTGTGATCTACTCTGCACTCATCATAGCACCTATCAGCTTTTTGTTTTTTATGTGGCCTGTTTTAAAATATCTCTCATCTTTCTGTTTTTTGCTCTCAGTGTTGGAAAGACCTCCCTCATGAACCAGTATGTGAACAAGAAGTTTAGTAACCAGTATAAAGCCACAATAGGAGCAGACTTCCTGACCAAGGAGGTGATGGTGGATGACCGGCTTGTTACAATGCAGGTACAGCACTGATAGAGCTCCACAGGTTACACATCCTGAGGAAGTGAACTAGGCTGTTTAAATATTTGAAGCAGGTTATCTGTATCTTTGTTAATATTTGTGGTCTTGGCATTTCAATATTTCTCCTTGTGGCTGTGTAGATCTGGGACACAGCCGGCCAGGAGAGGTTCCAGTCTCTGGGTGTTGCGTTCTACCGTGGAGCAGACTGCTGCGTGCTGGTGTTTGATGTGACCGCACCCAACACCTTCAAAACACTTGACAGTTGGAGAGATGAGTTCCTGATCCAGGCCAGCCCTCGAGATCCTGAGAACTTCCCCTTCGTGGTGCTAGGCAACAAGATTGACTTGGAGAACAGACAGGTGCGTAACGTCATTATGATGACATCATTTGAAACCTTGATCCTACTGCTTTCAAGAATTAAGTCTGTGAACTCACGAAGTAAACATCCTGGCTGGTGACACCAGAAATAGCTCCTGTTATTTCTGGTATTCGACTGTGAATGTTGTGGAAGTACTTCTGAACATTGCAAAAATACTGTGACTGCTACTGTGCTCATTGGCTGGTAGACAGAATCAACATTGCCATCATGACTGGCACAAGCGCCTGAGAGGAAATGTCATAGGCGTGATTTTTCCAGGCTGTGCTGCTAGTTCAAAAGTCTAAGCACTTGTCACAGGCTCCTCTTTGCTGCATGTTTTAGTTACCATGGGTAACGCCATGTATCGGGTCCATACGGTAGGGGGAAGGTATTTTCTATCTGTTCTTGGCCAACCACAGTCTTGTAGTGTGCACAGAGTATAAAAGTTAGCAGCAGAGTTGAGGAAAACCCCGGAGGAACTTGCCTCTGCATAGTGCTTTCTGTGCTCGTTACATGGGCCATTGATATTTGTATCCCTGAATATTAAAAACAATAGTGGCATGTTGTTTGTGCTGATCAGATTATTTAGCAAACAGGTCAGTTGTACTTGTGTAGCACAGGGCTGATTTCAAGGTGCATTTGAATGACTTTTACCTCTTTTGTTTGATGGATTCTTTGGCTTTTTTTGTCATGTCAGTGTTTAATGTTTTAACTCAAGTTAAAGATTGTGTTAAATTTCTCTAAATGTGTACTGAAAGAAGTTGAAAGTTAGAGGACTGTCTAGTAAAGGAGTGTATCTGAGTCTCTATTAGTGAGAACTGGATTCAATGTGATATTGTAAATACTGTATATCTATAGTGTTGTCTCAAATTGGCACCTGCTGAGATACACTGCAGATAAAAAAAAATAATCTCAAGATAGCTCTGATTCAGTAAATCAAATCACTACATCTTGGCTTAAAGGGATATTCTGGTGTAGATTTAAGTTATAGTCAAACACACCGTAACATGGAGATAGACACCCCCTCGAGAGATGAATGTTGCCGACTATAACTCTTGAACTCTTATACATTATTGTGCACTACATCCATACATTTCTCTCTTCTCGTACTCACAGGTAACTACCAAAAGGGCTCAGACTTGGTGTCATAGTAAGAGCAACATCCCCTACTTTGAGACCAGTGCTAAAGAAGCCATCAATGTAGAACAGGCATTCCAGACAATTGCACGCAACGCCCTTAAACAGGTGAGTCGCAGATGCTTGAAATTCAAAACTTCAGGAGACAGGACTTGTTGCTTTCTCTTTCGTTCTGACTGTTTTCTCCCTGTCTCTGTGTGGCAGGAGACAGAGGTGGAGTTGTATAACGAATTCCCGGAGCCCATAAAACTGGACAGGAACGACAGAGCGAAACCGTCAGCAGAAAGCTGCAGCTGCTGAGGGACAACTTGGACCATCTTCTCTCTTTGGCTTTTTGAGACACCGGTTACATCACCTGCACAGCGCTCCCAGGGAAAGGACTTCCCTAATGGTCTTCCTTCTTCACTCTTCATTCCATCCACACCACCCTTCACACAGTACGCTGCACATGGATGTACACGCCCCCCCCCCCCCCCCCCCACACACACACACACACACACACACACACACACACACAAAAACACACTCGTGTACACTAATAAAATTTGATCCCTGTGCTCAAAGATCACACAAGAGAAGAACGACTCCCCCTCTGACCTGACAGTCCCTGACTCGACACCGAGTGATTTTCTGGCCCCGCCTGACCCACTTTTCTGACTGTGGCCCTTGCGTCTCACACAGAGGGGCAAGATGGAGCCATGTTCAGAGAGTGCAATGGGAAACTCTACACGGACTGGCTGATGCTCTGAAATGTGAGATGATGTTGGTTAACATCAGCATCCCCAGTATCTAATTCTCTCTCCCTGCTTTTTCTTTGCTTTCTTTTGCTTATGTGTCAAGAAATAATCAAGTTGAACTATATATAAATATATATATATAAATATATTTTAATTGGCTGATGTTATTTTTGAAGCCAATCAGAAACACACTTTTGTTTTTTTGCACTTTCTTTCAATGTTTTTGCCTTTAAGTGTTGTAGAGGGATGACTGATTTTGGACAACATCTGCTACCATACGCCTTTGCCTTTAATTTGAACCCCCTCACTAGTTTTCCTTGTCAAATATCCCCTTGAGAATCTGTTGAACACTTTGGTGATTGTACTGCCTTTTCTCTCCGCGGTTGCGTTAAGGGGTTTATTGTTGCCTCACACAGCAGAAGAAATATTCATAAGTAGACAAGCCGATAAAGCAGCCACAGTGTAAAACATGGATTAATTCCTCAACATATTACTATTTGCCTTTTATGTAACATTAATTGTACTGCTACTATTACTGCTGTATGTGTTCTGTCTTTCATAAGACATCTTTCAATGCTGTTGAATTACAATATCTGTCACCAACACAGCAAACACCTGTCTTCTGTCATGTCTTTGTTATTGCTGTTCTCTATCTGCTTGTAGCTCAGGTTGGCTAAGTACTTAATATTTTTAAAGGATTGTGCATTACGGTGTATAGATGGTAAAGTTTAAGCTGCAGGTGGATTCAACTGAAATGGATGGTTTTCTCTCCATTTAAAGAAAAGATCCAACTTTTTGCCCTGGTATTACTCTTTCTCCTTAAGAAATGAAATCACTGCAATGCCAATGATGTTGTCAAAGAAAACTGGGACGTCAAATAATAAAACCCTTGAATATATCAACGGTCTGGAATTATGTGTCTGAGTTTCTGTCTGATGATTAGTCACTGGGTTCTCATGCACTTTGAAAGATATTATAGTCTTTTGCACATGTGTTTACGTATGTATATATTTTTGATTGATATACAGTTTTTCTCAGTCGCTATGGTGCATTTCTCTCATCAGAATGAAAGTTCTCACAATTATTAGTTTAACCTCCACAACACTGAGTCGTTTGTGCCCATTATCGTAGCAGTTTCTCATCGCTCTGCTCAAACTGTTAAAGCACACAAACCATCGTCATATGAGAGATCTGACGCTATGACTCTCCACAGGTTGTCCTTCAGGTCGTTATCTTTGTAATGTTTGTGACTTTTATCAAAAAGCACTCTGTTCTCTGTCACATAAACGATCAGCTGGTCGGTCATGTTAGATATACAGGTGAACTGACGTAACAACACGCAATCTGATTGGTCAGAAGTGGACACACAGTATGTGAAACTTTAGAAAAATCGACCGTGATACGAAAAAATAAATGCTGCAATATCGTAGGACTGGAAAACGTTGCTGATGTGAACGCTTGTATTGACAGGATACGGGTTCGAAAAAAGATATTGATGTTCGAAATATTCGCACGACAAAAGCGGTCCCGGTGTGAAAGGACCTTTACTCTTACATGAAATTTAACAGTACTTATTGGTAGCATGCCTTTTGCATTACAATACGCCACTGCATCTGTGAGGTCATTCATGTTTATTGGCTATTCGTATAGTCTACCAAAACATGACAGAATACCAACTATTGAAAAGCATATTGACCATATTTTATCGAGGGAAATTAATTTTTAATATGTATCGTTATCGTTTTATCGCCCAGCCCTAACTATAGGGTGTGATGATTGCGCTGAGTCTTACAACTTTATTGTTCATGGGTTATTTACACTTCCTCTTTTATTTTTAAATATTTAAAAGCGACCAAATCCTACAAAAAGGACTGTCAGGAAGCTGCTACGTGTTGGATGTTTTGTGATATTTGTGCTTAATTGTCCCTTTTTCGGGCAAAAGTGTTTTGCATTATCGTTACTTAATGAGTCCGTTCGTATAGATCTTCAGTCGTTAACCAAAGGAATAACTTAGTTCCGGTTTCCTCTCAGGGAAGTGCTCTGACAAGTGCCGCTACTTCCGCCTTTAGCCGCCGCTCATCACATCGAAATGGTAAGAGAATTTGGGAATATTTTATGGTCTAGATACACTATCGTCCTTTACTCAGATAAATATTTCAGTTCACTACATTAACAAAGTGACCATAAGGACAGCCCTTCTGTGCTTTTCTTTTTTTATCTTTTATTTGGACTTGCAGCGATGCTAGTTAGCTTACGAGCTAACGTTAGCTGGTCGGTTTCCTGTCGAATGAAAATATCCGAAATTGCTCAAATCTGTTCACTGCAATCCTCGACGTCGTCTCATACAGGGTAGTTTTTTTGTGTGCGTATAAAGTGTCTCCTTACTCTGAAAAGAAAACATACTAGGCTTATTTAGTCATTAGGAAAACCATCGTGATGATCAGAGGAGGAAACATCTGGTGGAGCAGCAGCTAGCTGACACTTGTGTCAGGAAATTTAGAGGTAAAACAGCTGCTGCTGCTGTGTTGTTGCTACACTCTGAGGAAATTCTTCTTTTAGTACAAATGAATTTATCTTCACGTCATATTGGGGTTTATTTTTGCACATTTTAACCCTTTCCTACTTCATGTCATCACCCGGTGAACTGTGTCAGTAACAGATGTTGACCAGCTGGTGAAGTTGATGGTCCAGATAGTGGACTGTATGTCAGAATAGTGCAATAGCCGGATCAGTATTTGACCACAGTGGACACCTTTTTTATTAATTTCTCAACTGCACGTTGTTTCCTCAAATCAACATGTTATTGTCTCTCCGCTTTAAGTAGGGGGGAGTGGGGTAAGATGAGCCATTTTTCATATTTTGGATTACTAAATCAAGGCAATCATAGTTTTGTCTATGATTGCCTTGATTTGACTAGTGTATCTGTATATATTTCAAGATGTTGTGCATCCCTGAAAACAAACAGAATGAGTGTAAACATAACTGTCTTGATAGTATAACATGCCAAAAAAGTGGTTTCGAGGAAAGTTGAGCCATGTCCCTACTACCCCCTCACTCTCCACCTCCAGCTGTTTTGTAAAAAGTCATTTCAATATGAGAATGTCTTTAAGTGATTCAGAACATTCACAGCTGTATTCTTGAAAAGAAAAAGTAACACATTTCAACAATCTGAACTGAAACTCTGATCCTCTCATCAGACTTCTTTACTTTCTCAGTTACCTCAGAACTGCAATTATGAATTTATTAGTCCTCTAAACTAAAATGGTGGACTTTTATGTTTTTGACCTCATGTTGTAGCTCATAGATACCACAATTGATGCATAAAACAAATTTAAAATGATATTTTTTGGTCTGAACACAATTCTAATCAAACTTATGACAAACTAAATTCACTTTCAAGAGTAAAAAATGTTTTTTTTTTGTAAATAAATGTCTAACCCCTTCACCCATGTGTTTCTAACCTTCACAGACTCCATGAATTGATGCCCATCTCCTAAATATTTGGTCACATGATCAATTTCTTTGAACATTTCCAAGCAACAGGGGGTGGCTCAACTTATCCTTTGGCTTAACTTACCCCACTCTCCCCTATATTGTTTCCTCAAATCAACTTGTTATCTCTCTGCTTCAAGTATTATTGGTTTTATTTGTTTATTTTTTTATTGATAAGAGTGATTTTAATATTTTCCCAAGCATCTTAAGGACAAGATAAGCAAAGACTGCTTTGTCCACAGTCACACCAACATTGACAATAATGGGAAGTTCCTTACAGAAACTTAATCTCATCCTGTTTTATTGCTTCTTCTCAACAGACAGCAACTTTACGTCCTTATCTGAACGCAGTGCGTGCCACACTGCAGGCTGCCCTCTGCCTGGAGAATTTCTCATCACAAGTGGTTGAGAGACACAACAAGCCAGAAGTGGAAGTACGGTAAGACTGTCTCTGCAACTCTGAGTGAGATTTTGGCTTACTTCTACTTCTACTTTACTACTGCGCATGATATCTGAGTTTTACGCCTCATTGACTGTTTGTTTGTGTTTTATTTTTCCACTATTAGGAGTAGTAAAGAGTTACTCCTGCAGCCTGTGATTATCAGCCGTAATGACAAGGAGAAAGTTCTGATTGAGGGCTCCATCAACTCTGTCAGAGTCAGCATTGCTGTCAAACAGGTTGGTTAGGCTTCTGTATGTTGTTTATGAGTAAAGATCAAAAAAGTTTTTTGGTACATCTTAAAAATATTTTTTATTCTGACTGTTACTTTTTAATCATCCGCTTTTCAGGCAGATGAGATTGAGAAGATTCTGTGTCATAAATTCATGCGGTTCATGATGATGAGGGCTGAGAACTTCTTCATCCTGAGGAGGAAACCTGTGGAAGTATGTTGACTTGAAAAACTTTGTAATTATAAAGTCAGGGATAAGTTACTAAAAATCCCAAATGAGCACTGATTTATTGTCAATGTGAGACAAAAATAAGACAAACAAGCCAAGTAGACATGACTAAAGATGTTGCACTTTACAATTCAGCTCAGTCAAACATGAATACAGGGTGACTAATGTGCTTTTTTTTTTTTTTTTGCAGGGCTACGACATCAGCTTTCTCATCACCAACTTCCACACAGAACAGATGTACAAACATAAACTGGTGGATTTTGTCATTCACTTCATGGAGGAAATTGACAAAGAGATCAGTGAGATGAAGCTCTCCGTTAACGCCCGGGCTCGTATTGTTGCTGAAGAGTTCCTCAAAAATGTGAGTTGCAGTTCTCTTTTTTTTAGGTACTTAAATGTGATTAAGATTATGGGTTTCATGTAAAATCATGAAAAATGATGTATTTGCTTTAATCTTTAAGATTTGTTGTTGCTTTACTCTTGCAGTTCTGAGATAGAGAGAGAAAAAACCTGGGAGTACATTCCTGCCATTTCAGCCATCGCTGTGGAGTGCATACCTTAAAGGGCAAAGAGAAGACAAGATACAATCAGCGAAGAGAAGCTGAGAAACAGCAGACATGCTGTAAAGGCTGATGGGAGGCTCTTTAGACTTGGATTCCCCGATGCTCAAAAGTATTGATATTTGTACATAAAAATGATCACACCATAAATAAATATCTGCCTTTAAAGCTTAAGAGAAAGTCAAGGCAGGTGCCATTTTTTCATCAATATGAATGAGCACAGGGTAATGGAATTTTTAAATTTATTTAAATGTTTTTTAAAATATATATTATATGAACATACATTTAAGTGAGATATTTTTTGTTATGACAGATCTGAAACAGGGGGTTAATCAATTGGTGCATGTTTCCTGTCTTAGTGTGCAGAGTGAACCCTATTGTAAATGGAAATAATGAGAATAAATATACGTGCTGGCTTGTTTTACCCTTGATGATAAATAAAAAAAATTATGCTTTGTATATGAGTGAAATTCCTTCTAAATTTATAAGGTATGAGCACAAACCAAAGCTCTGCCTTCACTCCATGCATCAAGTGTTTATTCAGACTTTGACACATTTGGAATCTTGTTTTTAGTACAGTAATATACAATGTAAAATGTCACAGACATGGTTGAGTCCTTAGAAAAAAAACATTCACAGCATATAATACATGTAGATTAAAACACAAACATGCAGGACAGTTTTCACAGTACTGTTAAAATGCTCCACCATTAATATAAAACCCATGAATCGGACTGTCATGTGAAGTGATGAACAAATGACTGAAGATTCATCTCAACATTTCACTTGACCTGCTAAAAAACTGGAAACCCACCAAGTCCGCCCCAAAAGTTTTCTTAAAATTATTTTCAGTTGTACCAGAATGACTGAAAAGAAAGCGTCTCTCTGAACTTTTTTTGATCACAGGACAGAAGCTACATCTTAGAGAAGAAGTGTCAGCTGCATTTACATTTACTAGGCTGCCTGTTTCCCCATTTGGTGTACCAGACACTCGCATCTGGAATGTGATTAATGTTAGCTGAGAAGATATACACCAAGTACATCACAAACAGGGGAGACAAAATCAAAAATCCAAAGGCTATTGCTGTACAGTATTACAGTGAAGGATTAGGGACTTTGTTTAAGACGAGTATAATCAAAGTACCTCCAGACACCTCACAGTTTTTTATGGTGTTATGATACTTGGTATTTTTAAATAAAAATATCTTCAGAAACACTGGAAGCTTAAGAAAATAAACATATATACAGTGATTTTTACAGTGGAAATTAAATATGATTCCGGTCATATTTGCTTCATGTTGAAGAAGAATCATTACAACGACAGAAGACACACATATAAAAAAATAATGGCATGTTCCTTTAGTTTTCCTCACTGGGAGTTGAGCTACAGAAAAAGTATGGTATAAATCACAACAGAACAGTTATAAAAATAGCAAACATTGAGTGAAAGTGCTTACAGTAAGAGTCTGGGAAAACACTCAATTCTCCTGTTCCTATCAATCGAACAGCATCTTTTCCCATGATGCTGTTTGCAGGTCCTAACACAGATTCAGACCAAGTCTCAGCTGGAACAGGAAGTGCAGGGACTCAGAAGTGAGCGGGAACTGTTTCCAAAGCATCTTCTGTGCTGCGCTGCACAGTCACATTCTGAAAGAAGGACGAGAGGATGGTTATTAGTTTCCATCAAACTCATCCGACCTTAATATATATTTTTTTTATTTAAGTCTTCTGATTTCATATCCCCGAGAGACATTATATCCAATGATATATCCTTTAATGTTTAGTGTGAAAGGACATTTTTGCAGTTTCTGTCACACTTTCATGAGTCTCTCTGAATCAAAGAAATATTTAAATAGATGACTTCAAACACAAAATACATTGACTAGAATACAAGTTCATAATTTATTCATGTTTGACTGAAAAAAAATTGTGTCCTTCTAGACTATATGCGCATTACATGATCATGGATGTTTTTTTTGCCAATAAAGTAAGAGAAAGAGAATGGTTTTTAATAATAGTTTTTATATTGACAACATGGGAAAACAAACCCCCCCAAAAAAGTCACATTTGATCAAATAATTTAAACTTGTGTTAGAAAGCAAACAATAAACACTATTGGATTTGTTTCTATAATAAAAAAGTGCACATAAACGATTGAGTGAAACTCCAGTGAAATTTCATTTCTCACATTTTATGGGGATTTGTTGTCATTGCAGATTAATCCATCACATTTCAACAGTTAAGGCTTGCAAAGAACAAAGGTTAGCTAGAGATGAAAATATTACTTTAGAAAAAAATTACAATGTCAGCTTATATGCAGAAAGTTGTATAATGGAGTCTAACATATTTGTCTACAGTGACTTGTAAACATAGGTATAAAAAAAGTTATACAACAAACATGTTTATGGATTCATGATCACACAAAACACTATTTATTTACATCAGTTATCAAAAAAACATCAGTGTTTCAGCTTCAAAGATATTAAAAAAAATGATTTGATATTTTATTAGCTTGATCTCTTCATTTGTATCCTGGCACGCACGCACACACACACACAGCAGAGTGAAATGGCCTGAAACTGAAGTCCAGCATGTAGTTTCTAAAAAACGAGGCAATAAAGGTATCCTGTTCACACTGCAGCTTCAAACGAATGCACATAAATATGACAACACAAGCAAACACAAAAGAGTCTTCACTCATTTGACAACAAATACACCATATTATCAAATAAACACACATGAGCACTTAGGAACATGCTGAATTACATACAGAAAACAACCTTATACAACTAGACTGATGAGAACTTAAAAGGTGATGAAATGGCTCACACGCAGCAGGAACATGTGAACCTGATAATGTGGTTGTTAATTTAGTTTTCAACTGACTTTTGTGCTTAAACTTAAGTGAAGAATATGTGTTGTCTGTTAAGCATTCGGCCTGATTGAGTATAAAATTATTTAAGATTTTCAGTAAATTTAAGTAAATTAAGCACTAGCCTCAAACTGATTATTGATTTACTGATTTCTGTCAAAACTTGCAATCAAAGTTTCAGGAACCAACTCAATCAAAGTGAATATCTTGTGCATTTGCAGCATTTTTTCTGTTTAATTAACTTAATAACTTTCATTATCACTTTCATTTTGCTGTGTTTTATCCATGGCTCTTAGAGTCATTAAGAGCCAGAAAATAAAGTTATGAACAGCATGATTTCTGGCCCAGCTGAGGAATAAAAAGGGATCAGAGAGGAAGAAAGGTCAGGATGGAGGTAGGAGTGTCAATGCTAATTGATGTCACAGTTTTCTTGGTTGCTGTCAGGGGTCACAGGTGGATGGAGATTGAACACGGTTTCCTCTGCCGTGAAAGATCTACTTTCTCTGTGCAGTAAGAAGAGATGAATGGATCAGTAACTACTGCTGGGCCTTAACAGGCTGGGAGAAAATGATGTGCCTGTCCACAAATCATCAAAGAAACACATCTTTTTCAGCTACAAGCTCAAAGAGGGTTTTCCTCCTCATCATGGCCAAGTTGAAAAGAGAACATGAATTGAATTCTGGTTGTCAGTGTTGTCTGCTGAGAGATACTTCTGTGTGCGCCCCTGAGAAACCTACCTCAGGTCTGTCTCTGTGTGTGTTCACAGAGTCAATGCCTAAATACACAGACTCCACTTTACAACCTGAAAAAAAAAAACAGCACAACATGGATCATTAATACACACTGAACTACAATTATAATTTCTTAACAAAGGACAGTTATCTTTGTAAATTTAAGACATAATATGATGAATTTGCAATATCAGATTGATAACTGTCACTCTTAAATGCCAAAAAAACTTTTTTTCTCATATCACTCACCATACGCCATGGGGGTCAACTTCAACACAGTGTGCAAAGGACACTTAAGATAAGGCAACTCATCTGTGAAGGCAGAGACAGAAAGTACTTCAACCCTCTGATTCATGTGATTTGACAAAAGCATACGAAATATATTGTAGGCTTTTTGTCCTCCATACCAGCAGTTTTGTCCAAGAAATATGCCAGAAGACAGCGCATGACAGCCTGGTGACAAACAACTAGAATGTTCTTCTGCCTCTCCAGCTCCATGATTACAGGCTCCAGACGCTGCACCAGGTCTTCATAAGACTGATGGGGAATCACAGAATTATCAACTAACTGAAAAAGTCAGTTTATTTCTTTAAAAAAATACTTAATAAGATATTTGGAAGGGTCTGGCTCTGACCTCTCCTTTAGGATAGCGGTAGCGGTACTTGTCCTGGTCTCTCATTGCAAACTCAAGAGGGTAATGCTCCTGGATTTCCTCATACATCATTTCCTCACAGACACCCTGAGTAAAAACAGAAAAGTGATTAAATTGGTTTCACAATAATTCTTTTAAAGGTTATAATTTCATGAATACTGGAATCAACGTACAGCATCAATTTCATTGAGAGACTTCCACTGCTCATACGGGACCCCAAGGCACTCTGCGGTCTGGATCGTTCTCTTCATCTGGCTTGTCCAAACTTTGAGATCTTTGATGTCTTGGTCCTGGATGAATTTTCTAAGACTTTTGGCAAACTAGAAGGAAAGACACAGTTATGAGGAACCATAATATTTGTCTTCCTTAAAAGAAAATAAACGGACACAAGATGATATCTGCCTGCACGCCAACACACCTCTTGCCCTCGAGTGGACAATCCAGAGTCACCACCGATCCGCCCCTTGATGTTGAGGTCACTCTCCCCGTGGCGACACAGGTAGATGGAGCGTGGTGTGATATGGATGTTCATCAGGTAGTAGACGATCCGGCTCTGGATGTGGTCCATAACACGATTCACTAGGTAACGTCTGCCCACATCCATGATCTTAATGTAGGACAGATCCCTGCAGCAAGATGGAGCAAGACTGACTATCTGTGATCTTTAAGAGGAGGGGGTTACTCTGATACAGCTGTTTTTTGTGTATCCTCACCTGTCGAGGACCTCGTCTAGAGGCTGGTAAGAAGACTCATAACACTTGATCCTCTTCATGAAGTCTTCAATGGCCTCTTCTGTGTCACAGTGGATGTAGTCTGGACTGCCCAGCTTCACTTGCTACAAAGGGAGGAAACAGAGAGAGGGAAGAGGAAGTATGCTGTCTGAAAGGATTTCAGCCTTTATACGAACTTAGATTGTTTGTTTTAATCCAAAAATATCTTCTGTCTGCGCCGTGTTTCAGAAAAAAACTGAATTTTAAACCCATACATATTTCTATGGTACACATCTTATGGATATTCATTAAAACTGCTGTTGGGAAAATTCTACTTTTAAAACTACAATCTCAAGCTATCACATACAATAAGGAGTTATCTAATCAAATCTTTTGGTCAACGTTTTTTTTAACAACACAGACTTTTATATTTATCTCATTTTTAATAATCAGCCAAAAAAGACACCAAACTTACCACTATATTTTGTGCAATGACATCAGGGTCCTCACACACAGACTCCACAAAAAACACCTACATAGGCAGGAAAATAAAGAAGTAAAACTGTGAGATTGTTTTGTGAAAGTGACCGTTAAAATTCTCCTTTTTTTTTTTCTGACTAACGTACCTTGTACCCGTTCTGCTCAGCAAACTTTACGATAGTCCCTCTTCTTTCTCTTGTTGTGTTTGTGGCATCAAACACCTGAAACACAAGGAAGAAAGCACTCCTTATGCAGTTCACAAGTGGAGAAATTTTTTACTGATGTTTGTATCATTTGCAATGTAGAAGTCAGGTCCGATCCACAGACTTACCGCCACTTGTCCTCCTTCTACACTCAGGTACTGTCGAACATCATTAAGAGCTGCCGTGGCGCACTGGCTGTGAAAGATAAGCAGACACAGAGTCAGACATTTTTTTGCTGACATTTTTGCAGTATAGGCTTGGGCGATTGACTAGCTACTCTGGCTGGCACACTGTCAAACTAATCCACACCCTTCATTTAAAAAGTTCAGTATAGAGATTTTATCTGAATACTAAATGAAGAATGTGTAGTACATATACGTCCTCTGTGTGGACCAAAAACCTGCAGACTGCCTCAGTTATGTTTGTGGCACAGCATCAAAGGGTTCAGTCTGTGAGGACTTACCGCCTGATTTTTAAGCCTTCTTCATTATCTGGACGGAAGAATTCAAAGGATTTGTAGATCTTCAGACACTCCCTTCGATACTGGCCAACGTTGAACTCTGTTACATGTAAAAAATAAAATAAAATAAATTAATTACTTAATTAATTAATTAATTAATTAATTTAAAAAAAAATTAAAAATTCGCATTTAGACTTTGACTAACTTGATCTGTTCAAAGCTATCATTTGAAACAACATATCTTATTGAAGGAGCTGTTTTTTAAAATTCTTTTAGCACTGAACTTTTAATAAATCATATTATATCAGACATGGATTGTTGGAAAAAATGTCTGTTTTAACGTATCGCCTTTAAATTTGGTATAATTTATTTGGTGCATTCAAGATTTTTGTTGTTGTTGTTGTTCTAGTTTTCCAGTATTCCTGCTATTCTTTGAAAAACTAATAAAACGCCTATTTTTTAAAAGTGTCCATTTCAAAGATGAGTGTGTAACTCATTTCTCCAGATATGATGGGGCTGAATCTGTTACCTTTGGTAGGAACACCTATCCAGTTCAAGTAACGTGTCAGTTTCTTTGAAATGTACGTCTTTCCTCGTGCTGGGAGTCCGACAGTCACGATGACAGTCGGGCAGTTTGTCATGCATACTGTGAGAGGAGAGAAGAAGGGAGAAGGAGGGGTGGGGGAGAGAGAGAATGAAACACATATTTTAATGTAACTTAAAACCACAGAGAACAAGAGAGCTTATCAACAGCTACGAGCAGTGAACAGTCAGACTGCAATGAATTGTTTTCTGTTTTTTTCTTCTTATCAAATAGTTTACCTCTTTCAGACTTCATTCAAGAATATCAAACAGAGAGGTAATGGATTCTGTAAACACTGTTTCTGTTTTCATTTCTGTTACATTAAAAATCATGAGCTCCAAGTGTCTCCCTTCATAAAAAAATGATATTCACAGCCACTTCTGCAGGGCAGCACCCTCCTGACATACCACACACTTCAAACAAAGGTTTGGTTTAATGACTGAAGTCACACTCCTGCTGTAAATGTGACTGCACACTAGGTACACTGATCAAAGGTAGAGTATCAGGTTTGATAAAGAACTGATCAAACCGTCTTCTGCTTCAAAGGGGGGAAAGCTCAGACAAATGCAGAGCTTGACTCAGCAAAAAGCTGCGTAGACAGAAAACCCAGCAGCTCAGCTCTCATGATCAGACTGGAGAGTTAACAGCATCAGTCGGTGGACTGGGAGTGCTGGTCCTCGCATCTTCGTCATGTGTGTCTTGTCAGTTCATCTCCGTGAGCTTGTAGTCAATTTGACCTCGATACACGTGAAATTAAAGAAAATAAGGCAGGGCATGATGTAACACTGCCATACAGCAAAGGTAGATGATGCACTTGAATAGTGCGCAACACCCCAAACAAACGCATGTAAATGTCTGATAATCACATATCTCCAAATCAGAGACAGGCTGAAGGAATGAAGGAAACTGAACATGATCAGAAACAGGATATTATCAGATACCCTGCATCAGCACCCATCCTCTACAGAGCTCGCCGGTCAGCTGCCTCTTACCCCGTCTGTGAGCGATGTGCTCATTTACGCATGGCATCCAGATCTTCCTGAGTGGGTTCTGCGTGAGCTCCCGTGGGGAAGTCTCCAACCTAAACTCGTCGTTATCCAACATTTTTACCGTGGGATCACTACTGTTACCCACCGAGAGCGGAGATGAGGCGGTGGGCTCTGGCACTTGCAGTCTGATACAGCAGGGGGGATGGATACCTCATATCAGCTGAGAAACAGCAGTTTCTTATTACCGTAAGGAATGGAGACAGCGCGCACCGAAAAAGTGAGGGAGCAAAACAAGGAGCTGGGTACAGGATGTGACTTTGCTTACCATGCAGTTCAACCCTGTTTTTTCACCGCACTTAGTATGTTCAATTTCATGTTATAGAGTTAGCCAGACATGCTTTGAGTTTAATTGAAAGCGTACTGCACAATAGAGAAAAAGCCTATGCGTGTGTTGACAAAAAATAAGTCTAATAAATCATGAAAAAACTACAAAACTAACAACTAGAAAAACTGCATTTCTCTACCTACTCAATGGGAAGGATGACAGCTAAAATACAACTAAAATTGGACAGATTTTTGAGAGGATGGAATCCTGTAATTGTCTATTTCAAACTATGAAATGTATTTTTGATGCTGTTTTTTAATGAACTGAAAAAGGAATAGGAAAAAGTTATTGGAAAAATTGTGTGAAAATGGTTTGATATGGAGGACATCCACAAGTCTGCCACAATACTGTGCACTCTGGGTGCTATATATTTATTTTGTTTTCTTTTTAGAAATTGTCTTCTTTTTTTTCTCCTTATGTGACTCTGATTTTGTGTGTATTTATTTATTTATTTTTATTAAATTTTATGTTTCTACAGAAAAGGAAATTGTTGTACTCTTTGACAAATGGAAATAAAAACTAAATAAGTTCATAAAACAGAAAAAAAAAGAAAAAGAAAAACTGCATTTCCTTGCAGAAAATACGTGGAAATGCTGAGTGCTAAAAGCTAAAAAAGCCATGCTAAACTGCTAATAAAAAATGGAGGAAGGTATGTAAAAGCTGTTGAAGGGGTGAAAAAGAAATAGAAGTTGGATCATTGTGAAAATAGTATAAATATGCTCCATAAATTGAAATTTTATTCATGCTGAAAGAGGTTAGAAAAATGTCTGAAATTGCACAGTTTGAATGAAGAAGGAAATTACCTTAAAGTGGCATAAGTTAAAGTTGCAGTTCTAGTAGTAGTATGATAAGTAGTCATAGTAGTGATATTAGTAGTCATGTAAGCAGTAGAAGTAGTTTGAGAATAGAAGAAGTATAAGTCAAAGTAGAAGAGCTAATGGTAGAAGTAGTAGTAGCAATAGAGAAAGTAGAAATAGTAGCAATAGTAGTTGAAGTAGAAGTCAAAGTAAGGTTCGGTTTGTATCATTCCTTCCTTCTGACACACATTTTATTAACATTGTGTTTTGAACAGCATCTTTCCATTCAAGCAAAGCGTCTCTGTCACAGATACATTAAAAACAATTCCTAGAATTCCACTTACAAAAACGTCAAACAGCAAACCTGCCAAAAAACTAATCCGCAAGGAAGCGCCTTTTTGAGTGTTACCGTAAAGCTGCGGCAAGATCGCAAGAAATTTCAGGGAAAAGCAGATGTAAGAAGAAAAACAAGCGTTCACATGCAGCACACATGGGCAGTGAATGCAACTGAGAGTTGAACCAATCAGAGAAGAGATGAAGGGAGCTGCAGCCAATCAGAGACACGGGTCGGGAAGACGGAGAGTGTGCTGTCTGTTGTGAACTCAGATAAACACCATCACGCTAAAATATTATAGCCTCATGTCTTACACGACCTGACCACGAGTCCACGAAGACCATCACGACATTAAAAACACACTCAGACAGGACAGGATATCCTGCATGTGGTGATGCCTAACATTTAAACAAAGACTTTAAACCACCTCCATCAGATAGATAACCAAGTTACAATAATGTATTAGAAAACACGGGCTGAATTAATCTTGAGTTGAAATAAAACTACAATAAAAGCTTACTTATGATGATGATCAATATTTGAATCATAAGGATATGGTAACACTTTACAATAACCATAACTTATAAATGGTACATAGACCATTTATAAATGGCAAGCAGATAGTTTATTAATGTTTAATCATCATTAATAAATAGCATATAGGCCATTAATACATTTTAAAATTTAAAAACCTAACCCTAACTTTACAATAACCATCTAAGTAATGTTTGTAGGTGGTTTAAAAACCAAATATTAACCATTTACAAAGTGCTACTGACACACATTTTAATCTAGATGTTTTACAACCAATAGTTAAACCCTATATAAACCTTTAATAAGTGGTCAATAGTTCATTGCTTGTTCATGGTAAACTTTTAACTTATATTGATAAACTATCTATTTGCCATTTATAATTGGTCTATATGCTGTTTTTAATGATGATTAAACATTAATAAACTATCTATTTCCCATTCATAAATTATGGTCATTGTAAAGTGTAACCAAGGCTATCATCTTAGCCTTTTAACTGTTTTTGATTGACAGGTGATAATCTTGGTGATCAACATATAGATGAATTAATGATTAACAGTTGTTTTGTCATCATTTTAATGTTGAATTTATATATTGTGCAAAAATAAGGTTTGAGCTTCTTACAAGAGGGAATATCTGCGCAGTTTTTCTCTTTTTTATATCTAAAAGCTTAAACCATTGGGAGGTTTTTTGGTTATCGCTGATTAGGCAATTCAAAGAAAATATTGAGAACATGTCATGTATAACACTTTTTCTGATTTCGAGAACATATCAAAATTGATAAAACCCTTAATAGTTAGCAGATTTCCTAAGAACGGCCATTTAGAATAGTTGCACATCTTCATAGATCCAGAAGTTTCATGTTGTAGCATGAAATGTCTTATTTAAAGTGTAACCTCAACAACAAACAGTCTGGCTTTATACAGCAACACAGAAAAGCAGATTTCTTTTTCACCCTGGAGTTTAATCGACAAAACTTGTTTATTTTTGCTTTTTTTTTAAATGCATTCAAGAGTCAATTTGCAATAAAGCCTATTATTATGTAAATTCTGTACAGATGTAAATATGAGGCATGCACATATCCTGTTTTTAACTCAAAGTTTCTTGAGCTTTTAATTTTCTCTTTTTGTATCTAAACTATGCTGCTATCATTTTGGAATTTCCCCCTGTGAGACTAATAAAGGAACATCTTATCTTATCTTGGATTGCTGACAAAATATCCTTCCAATTTAGAGTACTCATTTTTAGTATGAAGTTAACATGAGCACATTATATTTGTAAACCTCTGATGGTAGAGTAAAGCCTGTGTTCAATTCCTGACAACAAAAACATTTAGAGGCACAGTGGTGAAAAAACAAACTTCTTAGCAACTGTCTTCACACAGCAGACTGAGACTTTACCCTGACTCCTGTCACATTTACAACATCTGGAGTTCTTACACAGCAGTCTACAATGAGAGGTTTTATTTATTCAAACTTAATGTAGTTTCAAAAATATGACACCAGGTGGCACTGTGCACTCACTCTGAAAGACCCACATAGCCAGTAACCTCAGACTGTCAGGTGTGCTGATATTCAGCACCTACTGTGACTGTACACACATCCTCAGGTCAGCAGTTGGGTGCTGTCTGCATGTCAACGGGACTAATCCCATCAGCAAGACACCACACTTCACAGCTTTGAAGCATAATCCCCTCTAATCTCACCTGACAACATGTCAACAGGTACTACAGTCTTCTTGACAATATACATGTCAGAATCAAGTGAATAAAAAAACAACACATTTTTACGTCAGGGTTATGAATCATATTCTCTCAGTTTCAAATCTAAATTTTAACTGTGATTCAGTACCAGGATATTAAAATATTCTTGGGACAACTTTTTGAAATGAAAAGTTTAGTTTTTAAAAGTGATCCCTGTGAGTTAAAACAGGGTTGAAGTCCCACCATCACAAAGTGTTTACACTGTCTTATCTATCCTGTATTCATTCTGATACTGACTGGCCTTGAAGCTGCATTGATTTATCCTGCAGGCTAAGTTGTGTTTTGCATGTAACAAACTGACACAACTTTAAAGTTAACATGCAATCAGTATTAATGTTGCAGCAAATTTAGTTAATTTATATTAAAGATTTTAAGAAAAAAAATAGTTTAAGCTTACCTTCTCAGCAACAAAGCCAATATTATACTGGTCTGTTTAATATTGTAAGGAATTAAAGTAGGGCTGAAACGATTACTCGAGTAACTCGAGTAACTCGATTAATAAAATTCCTCGAGGCAAATTATATGCCTCGAGGAATCGTTTAAATCCGGAACCATGTGCAGCGCACGGTGTTTGACACGGACGGTTATTTCTGTTGCGCAGAAGCGTGCTCTTTCCGCTCCTTCCGCTGCCGCGCGTTTGGTTCAATCATGGAGGGAAACGAGGACAGACAGAAGCTGTGTCCGAAATGGCATACTGCCTGCTATCTACTTACCTACTCAAGCAGTAGCTACTGCCTACCGACTACTCGAAGATGATTTGAGTATGCCGCGGCTGCCCGAGCGTTTACACACATACATACTAAATACCCCAGAATGCATTTCGTGCCGGCCGGACGCAGCGCCGGGAAAATTTAAATAGTCCTACCACAAGCTACATAGAACGACTGCATACCGGACAAATTATATAAATTCATTCAATAATAATATTTTTTCTAGCGAGAAAGTAAGTGTTTACATCACGATTATGAGCCCAGTTGTTTGAAATAGTGGCTGTTTGTAAATTTGTCTCGGCGTTTTCGGAGACCGAAGCGTCAACTTGGTCGGTGTTTGCGTCTATTTACCGTAAACACCGGGCAGCAGCAGCTCCCCCTTCACGTTTCCAAATTATTGCGAAGTGTTTTCATAATCAACATCTACACGACACAAACCGGGCGGCAGTGGATGAAAAAAATCACACAAACATCCGTGTATCCATGGTGATAATGCTATACACCACCTGCTGGGCGTGTGATAAGCAGCAGAGGGCTGCAAAATGACCAACACACAACAACATGTAAATAAAAATGTAACACTTTTATATATTGAATAAATGTACATTTGCTTGTCAAATTATGTTAGTATCCAAGAATTATATTATTTCAGCCTATTAATTAAACAAGTAAAATTAGATCCAAAGCCTGGAAATAGTTGTGACTGGTTTAGTGAAAACTGCAAAGATCATTACCATAGCAATTAAAAGACCATCTGCAGACCTTGCCTTCAGTAGTTTCATGTGAACTACATGGTAAAATGTAAAACTTTTGGTTCCTGATTTATGCAGTAAAAATATTCATTTGAAAGACCTGGCCTATTTCAGTTTTGTGTGTTACTGATGGTTTTTAATGAGGCAAACGTGATTCAATGCAAAGTATTACAGTGAGAGCAAAACATTTCTTATCCGATTACTCGATTAATCGACAGATTAATCGATAGAGTACTCGATTACTAAAATAATCGATAGCTGCAGCCCTAAATTAAAGGGATATTCTGGTGTAAAAATAAGTTAGGGTCAAACACACCATAACACCAAATTAGACACCCCGTCGAGAGATTGATGTTGCCAACCGCTTGCTTCTCTAGTTATACCAACTTTAGTAACGACCGCAGGATAGCAATACACAGCGGTCTGAGGAGCCAAAAACAAACCTCAACCAAAACACCACTCTATAGCCACAAATAATGCTCAGAACAGCACCTAACTTCATCAACAGTCCCAGCCATAGTACTAGCCACCAAATATCTTTTTAACTTTGCCTGATTTCTTTTGCAAAGAGACTAAAAACAACTCACCTACTCTCTTCGCCGCTAGTGCCATGGCTGGGACCCTATATGTACTGTTGATGAAGTTAGGTGCTGTTCTGAGCATTATTTGTGGCTATAAAGTGGCGTTTTGGTTGAGCACATAGCTCTCTGTATTGCTATTGTGCAGTCATTGCTAGAGAAGCAAGTGGTCAGCAACATTCATCTCTTGACGGGGTGTCTAACTCGGTGTCAAGGTGTGTTTGACCCTTACTTGATTTTACAAATATCCCTTTAAACATGGATAGTTGCATGTAGCTGACCCCAAATTTTACTGCAACACCAGGCTCTCACACTGAAAAGGCCTGTCTGAACTAATGTTGGCATGAGGCTTTGTTTGCAGTTGACATTGAAACTCATCCCAAAAACATTGGACCCAAATAACTGAGGTCTAGACTCTGGTGGGCCACTCAAGTTCATCCACAAACCTGGCAACCACATGAAAAAATGTCCCAAAAATACAGCAGTGTTTGGTTTGCCCATTCGGGGCTTTCACAGAAACAAAACACTGCAATGGCAAATTTTGACTCTACATACAAACCCTACTCTTTCTGTACATACAAACCATTTGAATGAATAATATGGCCCATATTTTCAAGTAATTATACAAGACAGCCTCTACATCACATACACAGGCCCTTTAGATTACAGGATAAAATCAGGCAGTTTCACTGAGGCCAATGAAGCAGGACCAATAGATAAATGGTTACATTGTGCACAAACAGAGCTGTATTTGCAAGCAATAGTGATTTAAAAATACCAACCCTGAATTTAAATGCTCTCACATAAACACATCTGCTCGATGAGTGAACTGCGCAGGCGTACAAGCACTGCATAGACACTACACACACACACGCACACGTAGGCCACAGCTCTGCCTGAAGCCAATAATGAGATTCTGAGCGAGCGGGTGAACTTTCCCCCAGATAGAGAGCAGACACAGGCAGGGCGGGAGGGAGCAGCAGTGAGCAAGCTAGAGGGAGCGACTTAGTGAACAAGGATGAGAAGGACTGATTTATTCAGAGGTGGAATCCGACAGACATAATAACAGCCAAAAAATATGCAGTACAATAGGAAGGTGGAAATAATGGACTAAAGAGGGTAAATTTACTACAGCTGACAGCGCCTGGGAGGCAGCCTCTCAGGCATGCAGATAAATATCCTCCAGAGTGTACAGTCGCTGTGGAAGAGTGCATATAAGGATATAATCCATGCTGAGTCTGCGGCAACCTCTGAAGCAGGTCTCTCCGTCTACAGTTGTAAACATATGTAAGACAATGCAAACATTGTTGGTTTTAGCAAACCACACCAAATGGTCATAGCACAAAGAAGCTGTTTGTACCTTATGTTTTCATAAATAGAAATGCCTCCAGATCAGGCAAGTATGTCACTTTCTAGCATGTTTTTCCTGTTTTTCTGCGTAGCCCCACCTCTCTGTGTTGGCAGATAGTTAACCAGCAGAGCACATCTCCTACTCAGCAGCAGCAGCAGCAGCACAGCACAGCCTGAGCTCTGTTCATCCCCCGTGCATCTGCCACACCAGCTCGGCTGCAGACCTATAAACAGCTGTGAGCATATTTGCAATACAACAAACAGCAGAGAATCCCTCTCCCAGAGTTCACAGTCTTTATGAGACTTTTGTTCAAGTTTGTTCTCCTTGCGAGGCATTTCCCCAAAATAATGCATTTTTAACAAAACCTTTTGGCTACATAACTAGAATTATGTAATATGTTCTCCAAACAAATGAGTCATTGGATTAAAAGCAAAAGTATTATCAGCTTTGTTGCAAAAGCCATTCATTTGACTACAATCCTTTTATAAAATAAGAAGTATTCATAGTGTCACCCTGAATGAAACAGGCTGGGTTTACAGCATGCAAAAGTAAACATTTGTGAGGTATTTTTGCAGCAGAGTTAAGGTACCTTCAACACAAGAAAGAAACTGTTAGATAAGAGTTTTTGGAACCAAAATATTACTGAGCTCTGCTTCCACAACTGTCCCTTCAACAGTTGCACATTGTGAATATGAGGCAGACTTAATTTTACCCCAAAGTGAAGATTATTTATAAATTCATCTATCTACAGTCTGCTTAATAATCAACACTACTTTACAACCCATATCCCACAACTGTTGAATTGCATCGTGTAGCAAGATCTGCAGGGAAAGCTGACCATTTGATGATATTCTCCTTTCAGGAAACAGCATGGACAGACTGTATCTTCTATGGCACTAGGGATCCATATAAAAAAAAACTTACTTTCAATTTCTAGTGCCCTAACACAAAAGATGCCCCAAAACAGATAAAGCATTCTTTTAAAACCAATGTTATCATGTTTTCACGCCCCTCAGGAGACATTCAGTCAGTGTTTACAACCTACGGACTGTCAGCCCACCAGCTAGCTCAGTGCTAACCAACCAGCAGCTGTAGCAAAGCGAAGCAGCGGAGAGGAAGGGGCTGGAGCTCTCTCTCTATCTCTCTGCTAAAGCATTTCCAGCTATTTATAAAGTGAAAAACTATCTCTACATTTTATAATACCTGAAACACCCAGTCTGTCCAACATTTCCGGGTTGTTTATCGCAGTGTGTCCCACCTCTCCTCGGCATGTAAAGCCCCTGTCTCTCTGTCAGCGCTGAAACGTGCCTACGTGACATGGGCTTGTTTACTTCATCCGCTCGCGAACCAAAGCTGCTCTCACCGCTGCCGCTGCTGCTGCTGCACACAATGTCGCGAGTACTAACGAGTGTCAAGGAAACAAATGATAAAAAAGTGAAAATTTGCAACCTACCTGCTCTGTCCCGCGTGTGTCTCGGGCGGCAGGAGCCCCTCATAGTCCCGATTTAAAGCCTCTTCTTCCCAGCTTGGAGGAGGAGTGAGAGTCCGTACATACAGCCGCACGAGCAGCAATGAATGAAGCGAGTGAGCGCTGAGACTGGCGCGCGCGCTCATTATCGCATTCACGCACGTGCATGCACGCAAACTAACTCCAGCCTTACCTGACCTTACGTTGACAAAAGTTTGAGGAGCTTTATGTAGGCCTACATGATATTATTGTCACCTTACCATGAGGAAATGCATGATTCATGCACAATATCTGGAAACAAGAGCTTAAAAGTTTCACTTAAGCTGCTAGATTCCGGTAACTCAGTTAATAACATTCTTAATTGACCTTTTAGGCCTTTTGTTGATTTTATTGGGTTTTTTTCTGCTCATTTATGTTATTCCATTTTATCATTAATATTACCATCATTAATATTTAATTATGATTTTATTATTATTATCATAAACATCGTCCTTTTATATATTTACTATCCTGTTTCCTGCTTTCTACCCACCTTTTTATAATCACATTTCTTACTTCTTACCTATTTCTTGTTTTTATATTTGTCCTCATGGTCTCATTTTATGTCGTAGGGTTCTTGTATTGTCTGGGTTTCTTATGATCATGGGTTTCCAATTAAATTGGCCTTCAATTCGGAGGCCTTGTTTTTAACTGAGCTTTTGTTTTTTATTTGTTTTTATTCCCATGTGCTGATGCTTTACAACTATTTGTCAGAGCACTTTGTCAATCAATCAATCAATCTGTCTTTATTTATATAGCACTTTTCATACACAACCATGTAGCACACAGTGCTTTACACAGAAAAAGAAATAAAAGAAACAAAGAATACCTAAATCTTCCCCAACCCAAGATTAAATGAATACCCAAATCCACCCCAGCCCAACCCCTTATTCCCACCCCACGATCTAAATGCATCAGAAACAGTATTAAAATGCATAAACTTGAAAAGGACTTGATTTCGTGGAAACAGGAATGTGCGCACTGAGGAAACGTCATTTTAAAACTCGAGATAAGGAAACGCTGGAGGTTTAGGTTAAAATCTAAAAACAAAGTAGCATAGAATGAAATTTAAGAAATAATAAATAAAGTGAAATAAAAACAACAGTAAACAATACTAAAACAAGAGCACCAAAATAGCTCAATAAAAGACGATCCTGTCATTAAAACTAGAAAGAGATGAATGCTAAAACACTTCAACAAAGTTAATGATATAAAATTTAGTTAAAAGCAACACTAAAAAGGTATGTAAAGCTTTGTAAACATCTGTTTTTAAAAGTGCTATTAAAAAAAAGTTATTATTATTATTAACATATGTCACAGTTGAAACTTATGGTGGCCGAGAACCGCCACTGCCGCAAATAAAAAAAAAAATAGAAAGCCACAACAGAAGTTTGCAAAGAAAATGCAAAAAAAAACAAAAAACAAGCAAACAAAAAAATCGGAGCCCGCTGCAAATAAAAAAAGAAACAGTGCAAATTAAAAAAAAAAAAAAAAAAGCCACAACAGAAGTTAACGACAAAAAAAAAAAAAGCTACAATGAAATTGAGCTGTGGGGGGACCAATAATGATGACGCACTGGTGTTTTACGATCAAGGCACAGAGCAAAGAAGTGGAAAAGTTATTGTTTAATTTCGCCTTATGTACTTTTCATTGTGTCATTTGGTTAGGCCATGTAGCGCCTGAGTCAATTTGAAGTTGAACTGAAGCTAACTCTACACCAGCATTCTCCAGTTCAACTTCATATGGACTCAGGCACTACATGGTCTAACCAAATGACTCACTGAAAAGTTTATGAAGCGAAATTAAACAATAACCTTTCCACTTACTTCTTTGCTCGTCTTCTCGCCGTTGTCTTCTGTGGCTAGAAGACGGTGCATCATCATTATTGGTCCCTGGCAGCTCACTCCCATTGTGGCTTTTTTATTTGCATCCTTTTATTTTCGCAGTCAGTAATTTTTTTTTTCCATCGCCTTTTATTTTTTGCGTTGTTAACCTCCCTTGTGGCTCCTTTTTTTAAAAAACTGCTCTGTTTCTTTTTTATTTGTATCTTTTTTTTTTTTGCATCTGTAACTTCCGTTGTGATTTCTTTTCTTTTCTTTTTTTTTTTTTTTTGCATTCTTTTTTGATTTGCAGCAGTGGCAGTTCTCGGCCACGGTAGCAACTCTTACACTGACCAAAAGTCCACAGAAAAAGCGAATAAATAAATAAACAAAACAGAGCTTTACTCTTCTGATTTGTCTAGAGGACAAAAATGATTTGTTTTCAACATAAAAAAAGGAACAAGCAGTTTTATCCAAGTCAAGTTGACCTGTTGACTAGAGAAACAGCATTAAACAGACACATTAATAGAAAACAATGATAGCTAAACATGAGCGCAAGAAGGGAAGAGTGTAAACTAAACTTGTGTTACTTTGTCTACTTAGTTTAAGAGTAATAATGAAACCTGACCAACTTTGACTTGCAATGTGACAAGAAGATCGACATGACCTGGTCAGAACAAAATACCTGTTAAAGTTGCTCCTGACAGATTTTCATGGGTAACTGTAGCTGTTGAATGAACAATTTCTATGATCCCACACTAGTTCATTGACGTGAAAACCACTGGCTGCAGGTTAAATACCACGAGTTGATGGCCAGTTTCTTGACCCCTTGTCTTAGGAATAACCTGTCAGAATGCAGAGGTTCTGCTCTGACCGGGGATCCAGAGAAACTTTTGCCCCAGGGCCTCATGGTAGTTTGATACAGCCGTACCCGGAGTTACAACAAGAAACAAAAAGATCTCAGAAGTAGACATTTTTGGGCCTATAACAGAAAGAAAGCCAAGTATTTCTTGGTGCACAACGTTGTTGTAGTCTCTCTTCATTTATAGCTCATTGAGTGACTCAAAAAGGTTATTTCCACCCTAAATATTTATGGTCTGAGTTTTTTTCTGCCTGTTTGGCTCATGAAACAGTTAACATTTTGCTGCATAGTTTGATAAACTAAACCTGCAATAATTGTCATGTGTCCATGGGTAAATGTTACTTCTTGTCAAAATAGTAGCAGCCTCATTACACTGAGAGTACAAACACAAAGAAAGCCATCAGCTATCACTCCTTGGCTTGTTTCTTCTTTCTTTATCTCAAGAGTAAGGGTATTTTTATCACCTTGCTTGTTTAACTGTCCTGTTTCTCAGCGTTTACCTTATCAGTTGCCCAGACTTCCTGCCAAACAGAAGATGTAAAATGAGAGGAAACAAGAGCCAAGTTAAAACTGCTTTCTTAGTACAACAAACCTATTTATGTGAATATTTTTGATAAAATAGTCCTCTTTTTGTTGTTATTCCGACCTCAGTTTCTTCAAAAAGTTTGCATTACAAGGTGAAATTCCTTCGCCTCACTCTCATTTGTAAATTTGAGGTTGAGCTAGTGACCTGAGCAATGCTGGGAACACTGCAAACTCAAAGCTTTGGCTAGCACGTACATTAAACCACAGTTTAAATAGTATAAAATATGGTATATCTGCAGGGGAGTGTGGGAGAACTGCAGTGTGTTTTAAATAGGAAGTATGTCTACTCCAACACCCACTTCCCATTTTGTGTTCCAGGGAGGATTAAGAGAGAAAAGTGGCTTTGATACTAAATAACAGAAAGAAAAGAAAGACAAAAAAACACCAGCAGACTCATCAACATCAGTCTCTCTATTGTTATCAATGGAAACTACAAATTAGAGGGAAAATGATGCAAGCCACTGTCCTCAAACTCAAAACAGAAGTAAAATATCACATCATATAGGGAAGTGATATGTTTGCAGATGTGAGTAAGGTGATCTGTCTGTACTTCAAGTTTGCACTTCCCTTTATTTTTACACAGTTGATATCTGATGCTCACTGTTATGTGAATAATATACTGTTATACCTGTCCATGAAACAAATGACAAAATCTTAACAAATGTAGGAGAGTTATCATAAAGTGTTATTTCTAGTTATAAGATTTTTGTCTTGTCACATATCAGTTTAATTTTGGGAACAATTCAACCCAGGACTTTTACCTGATAAAAAGTGTGGAGTCCTCTGACTTTTTACATGATCTATATTCCCCTGAGTCCTTATCATTATTATCTGTTTTTATAGACTTGTTGATGTTTATTGTCAGTATGTCTTTTGTGACTTATTATTTTAAAGTGAAATTTCCATTTGCCTTCCCATGTATCAGTTTTTATTCACTTTAAGTTATAGTAATGTGATCATGCTCTTTCCTGCAAAACATACTAAGATGGAAAATGTTGTACACTTCAGATCTTGTATAACAGGTTCTGGTAACATGGTGTGATAGTGCTGAGCAATGCAAAAATTGTAGATTCTATCAGCCTCTTCTGGTACACCATGAGATCAAACGATAAAAAACTACATGTGCATGTGGTAAATGCAGTGGTGTGGTAATTATTTTGAATACAGTGTATTTTCAACATCTAGCAGTCAGATTGAAACTCTACTTGACTCACCCTGTTTTTCCTGTGAAGCCTTCAAGGGTAAGAGGCTCTCGTGCTGAATGAAAAGTATGATCCACTGTATGTTCATTTTTTACAACGAAAAACATGAAACAGTACAAATTCTTTGTGCACAACAGCCTCCCTCTTTTTCTAAGTTTTTAAACAGGTGCTTTTTGCTTGACCATTCACTGCATGCAAAACTCAACTCAACTCAACTTTATTTGTAAAGCACTTTAAAACAACCACAGCTGAACAAAGTGCTGTACATAAATAGACAAAACATCGCAGACATAAAAACAATAAAAAAACAATAAAAACAATGGATAAAATAAAAGCAGATATTAAAAAGTAAAATATAGTTTCAATGTTTTTAAAAACTAATTTAAAAACATAGAAACAAATAACTAAAAATAAACCATAAAACACTAAAACAGGAGCTGAGTCTCATGCAGGGTTAAAAGCCAATGAATAAAAATGGGTTTTAAGACGAGTTTTAAAAATGGACAGTGTGGGGGCTTGACTGATTTGGAGGGGTAGCTCATTCCATAATTTTAGGGCCCCAACAGAAAAAGATCTATCCCCTCTGAGCTTCAGTTTGGACCTCAGGACCTCCAGGAGCAGCTGATCAGCTGACCTGAGGCACTGAGCAGGGGTGTAGGGGTGGAGAAGCTCAGAGAGGTAAGATGGAGCCAGACCATTTAAAGATTTAAAAACAAATAAAAGAATCTTAAAATGAACTCTAAAATGCACGGGTGACCAGTGGACGGAGGCCAGGATGGGAGTAATGTGCTCCCTCTTACGTACTCCAGTTAAGAGCCGGGTGGCTGAAGTTTTGTACTAACTGGAGATGTGAGAGGGAGGACTGGCTGACTCCAAAGTAAAGTGCGTTACAGTAATCCAGTAAACCGAGATGTAACAAAGGCATGGATTACTGTTTCAAAGTGTGCAAGTGTGCAAGGAATGGCTTTGCCTTCGCCAGCTGCCTAATATGATAAAAGCTAGATTTCACTACGGAGCTAATTTGCCTGTCGAATTTAAAATCACTGTCCATCTTAAAACCCAAATTTTAAACGGTTGGCTTTAAATAGTCTGCTAAAGTACCTACCTTGTCTGTTTTTCTCTCATTGAAGTTTGAAAAGTTCAAAGCCATCCAGGCTTTGATGTCTTCAAGACATGCTAGAAGTGGTGCAAGAGAGAAAGAATTTTTCCGATTAACCCAGATGGTTGTTTCTAGTGTGCCCATGCTGCTGCAGATGTGTGGAAGAGTAAGATGCTGGTGTCTGTCAAAGGGAACCTACTCTTATGGAGATGTAGAAGGCCTATTATAAGTTAAAAAAGTTAAAATAATTCTCATATCAAGACGGTTATACGCTGATTTAAACATACTTACAAATATTATATTCTATTTCTACAAAGTCTTTCCTATTAAATGCTGCTTAACACTATTTACATACTGCACCTTTAGCAGACAAATATCCTGACACTGTTAAAAACAATAGATGTGTGTGTTGACCCTCTCTCAAAGATATCGTCGAATACAGGAGTTTAGCAATTTGTTACTAAAAATATCTAAATCATATTATATTGTGTCATAAGTTCAAGTAATAAAAAGTGAGCAACATTTCGATGTGAACCCTAACTTTTTATAAAGACACAAAAAAAGGTTAAAGGCTAAGTTTGTTCAAAACTGGAAGGGACAACATTTACCATGATGCTTTGTGCATACCTTAGTTTTTTTATATTTAGAGGGGGAAAAATAAAGTCTCAATTCCTCGTTTAATCCGAGGACTATAAATTCAAACTTCTTGCAAAATTCAGTTTGTCAGTCGATTGAGTTGGTCCACAAAAAGTCAAGAGAGACTTTTGCTTCTGCCAAGTCTTTAAAATATGGAACATTTACGTTAACTTTTTTAACTGATTTTAAGTTAGGATTTGATTATGGGTTATTGCTACAACCATTATTCAAGTACACACACATCCAAATTAATTGAAAAATGAATATAAGTATTTAAAAAATGTGAAAAAATAAAAATAAAAAAAGACAACTCTTTTCTGTTGTGCAGTCATGTATGTCATTGATACTTTTCTAAAACTTGTTACTCCTCTTGTTACAATCCTGTGCACATTAAAAATTCACAGAGGGTGTTGGGTTTGCATGTTGTGGTGTACGTCAGAGCCACAGAACCAGTTTTGTTTCATCCTCCTTTGAAAACTAAGACTTATCTGAAAAATTTAATGCAGCCACACACACGCGCGCACACACACACACTAATTGTATGTCTTTCGAGAGACTCACAGAGCAAGAAACTTCAAGTGTGCAACATTGTCTTATATAAGTTAGTTTTCCATTCTTTTTTCTTTTTCCTCTTCACCTTGTGGAGATCACATGATAGGACCATGATCGCCATATAAATGACGTTCATAAAAATTACCAATCTCTTCAATTGTCAACCATGCCTTTAGTTCAAAAGTCTCTTTGCTCAAATTGCTGTTTGACTTTATTTTACAAGAATCACTTGGTTGCTAAAGTACCTTGGAAATCTTACAGGTTGAATTTTACTTTGGTAAGTTCTAGGCAAATTATCTCTGACGTCAGTGTAGTGTCACAAATACCCCTGGATTCAAATAACTCTCTGAATGTTGTCAATGTTATCTTCTCAGTGCCATAGAATAAACTTTAAAGATAAATAAACAAGAAGAATACAACACATTTATAAAACATGAGAAACAAAACTTTTATTTGACTGGTAGGGCAGGAACAACAACATGACTGTTTAAAAGGCTTTAGTGCAGTGGTAAAAATGAGATAAAACGAGTAAATAACAGTAACTAACGTGTAAAAATAAAAGTATTGCTCACGCAATTTGTCATAGTTTCATTCTACATATCAAATAATCATTTTCTCATGCTCCTCAGAAAATGTAACTTCTCTGTGACTATTACACACCACTCCTCCGTCTTTCCCATCAGCCTCTCCTCCCGTTTCCTCTCCTCCTGACAGGGGTTTCTTCCTCCTTTTATTGAGGAGAGGGTTGTCAGACAGGTCCAGGTCTTTGATCTTCACTTGGTCATAGTCAACACGCATCGTAGCCAGAGCACAGGTCATTTCCTCCTGTTGGAAAAACCAAGACATTATGTGGTGATAATCTGGTGCTTAGCTGCCATCTAGTGGACAGAATTAGAACCGAGCCTGTCAAAGTGGGTCCCACCTTCACATCATCCCACAGCTCCTTGTCTTCTGTCAGGACTCGAGAGGTGTGCAGAGGAGTTGGAGGTACCACCATGGACTGCTGCAGTGTAAAAAAAAACACAGCATTATCAAGAATAAATGACGGAAAGAGCCACAGACCTACAGACTCATGAATGACAAAAAGGCAACTTACACTGATCCAGGGATGGTTCACAAACTGTCCAATGGTCATCCTCTCGTTAGGGTCTGTCTTCAAGAGCTGAATGATGAGCTGTTTGGCTGTGGAGGACAGAAAATGTGATACAGCCTAAAAACATTTGTGTATTTTGTTTCCTTATTTTGTCATATTTGACTTTTATGTGGAAGCAACAGGGGAAATGTAATTATTTTTTTAAAGTATTTTTGGGGGGCAATTTTGGCCTTCATGGAAAGGACAGTCTGGAAATATGGGGAGATAGAGAGAGAGGGGGGAGGACATACAGCGCATGGTCTGGGCCAGACCCGAAAACCCACGACCACTGCGGGGACCGTGGTCCCCATACATGGGTCACACTTACCCGCTCAGCCATCTGCACACCCTTAATTTAATTTTAAAATGTTGTTTACTTGTGTTTTGTGTAACAGGCTGGCAAAGTGAGACTTTAACTCTCCCTGATCTCTTCCAGACAAGGACTATGTCAAAATTGACCATTGTTTTCTTCTTGTTTTGGGTGAAACAAAAAAAAGTTCCCAATCAGAACATTTATGATTTTAACCTTTAACCTTAACTATTTAGTGAACCATCACATGTTCTCTAACTGGTCTCCAAGTTTGGACATATAGTTCCCTTGGCACTAGGAATGATGCATAAACTTTTCTCTCTCTCTCTCTCTCTCTTTGTTTTTGGTAAAAACATCTGCTTATACTTGTAAAAAAAAAAAATAACATTAAAATTATTAGACATACTGGACCAAAAAAAAAATTGTGGGAAACTTTTGCTCATAACTTTTTTGTTTTGTTCTGTACAACAAAGACACGATTCTCAGACTGAAATCTCATCCCGCTTAAATATAAATAAATATTTTCTGTTGAAAATGTAAAGAAGGGCCCCCCTTGCAGCAGTTTCATGAATTTAAATGACAACATTGGACCAGTCAGTTGTATTGCTGATGGTCTTGTTTGCTTGTTAGTGTTGACAAGACGCATCAGCATTCGGTTCAGTCTGTTTCATGAGCAGAAGTTTCTCACAGGGGCTTGAAATGTTCTTTTAAGTCAAAGACATGCATTCTGGGTAAACTTTTTCTGGGTTTATCTCTATGAGAGACCATCTTTCACATTTCCTATTGTGGTTTAGTCTTTTGGTAACTTACTTACTTGAAAAACAGCTGTTCTATGAGGAAATGTGTTTCTGTGTTTCTGTAAAAATTATTAATTGTATGCCATATCTAGTTGCAGCTTCCTTTTATGTGATTCAAAGTAAGAAGATGAGCTTTGAGTTTTGGAATGTCTTTCTTGTAATTTTCAAATTCTGGCTGACCTTCCTCAGAAACATCAGCCCACTCAGGGTTTGGGAACTCGTATTGGCCCAGCCTGATCCTCTGCTTCATGCCCGGAGAGATGGCCTGACCTGTGTTCGAGTAGAACGGCGGAAATCCACACAGGCTAGAAACACAGGAGAAGAAAAGAGGTGAAAACAGTTTCACTCTTCTATCTTCTGTCTCTAGAGCACAGAGTATGACAGTTTTAGCCGGATATCAATAAATGTCACACACAAACACACACACACACACACACACACACACACACACACACACACACACACACACACACACACACACACACACACACACACACACACACACAGACGCAGTACTTACAGTATGTACATGATTACGCCCAGAGACCACATGTCACATGACTTGTCATATTTCTCTGGCCCAAGCACTTCTGGGGCTGAACGGACAATCAGACACATAAGAACAAACCAAATGAAGTGGAAAAGGACAGACAGTCTCATACAAAACACACCAATATGCACACGCAAAGACGACATAAAGGAGAAGAACAACTGGATGTGGACATTTGGTCAAATAGTAAGTGTGCCGCTTTTGCTCTTTAGCACCAGAATTACCATTTGATTAATCAAATTATTAATATTTCTATTACTTTGATTCTGAAATGCTGATCATATGCTGTTTTAAAGCTGCAGGAAAGTAAGCTGCCACAAGTCTGTGCTTTAGCTCCAGTTAATGGCAAACTGTGGTAGGACTGTCCCACCCATATACAAACAAACAAAGATGACAAATAGTATCTCTTAGCATGAAAGTTTGGCTGTATTTTGATCTAGAAAATGGAGATAGTGCGTGTGTAAGCTGTGTCAGGTTAAATTGGCTTATAACCATGATGCTGGAGCAACGCGCAACCATCGCAGGCATGAGGATATTAACCTGCATGAAGGAACAAAAGCTACCAAGCACTGGTTTACTCATATTAGCCACACCTGAAAAACCAATTTGACAGTGTTTACCTGCAGACTCTCTGATCCTGTGTTTAACAGTGTTTATTGAATTGTGCTGAGTTTGGCTGTCTTCTGATTGTTTTCTAAACATAAGACCAACCTTTCCGTCAGAACATTTCTGTTTATGCGATTAGGAATACATCACTTTAGACCCTCCCAAACAACAACAATCTAATCCTTACAGCTGTCAATGCAGATTTATACGACTCATTTCCCTCAAGTAATAGAATCAAACAGCAGAGAGACACTCACCAACATAATATGGGGTGTAACAGGGAGTCTGGAGGGAGTTATACAGTGTTGTTTCCTTAGCAAAGCCAAAATCGGTCAGTTTTAGAGTTGCGTTACTCTCCTTTGTGGTGTAGAGCAGGTTTTCAGGCTGTAGCATGAATAAAAATGTAAATGTAGTTGTAAATGTTCTTTATTCATACAGCCCTTTCCAACAACCCTTTAGGTGAACCAAAGTTCTTTACAATACATAGTAAATAAAAACGAATATTGAATAAATAAAAACAATAAAAAGCATTAAAACCAATAAAAGCAATAAAAGAAGAATAAAAAATGGTCGAAACACTTAAATATTCAAAAGCATGACTGATTTTTCTAGCATTTTCTTTGAATTGTAGCAGCTGAAGTACCTTTACATCCCTGTGAGCAATGTCCATGTGGTGGAGATACTCTATAGCTGTGCCAATGTCGTTCATGATCTCTGATGCCTCTGATGGAAACATATGACGCATGTGTAACACATATGAGGCGGAGTTTAGAAATCCAATTAGCTTAATGAAAACTCAAACCCACCTCTCTCTGTGAAAGCCTGGTCTCCTCTGGCCTGGATGCGGCTGAACAGTTCCCCTCCCTCCATACTGAGACGAGATTGAAAAAAAATCAGAACGGGGGCAGAGAGGACTCTCCTGGCAAACAAACACAGCTCTCTGCTGCAATCATGGCGGGACAACAAAGCCACTTATTGTGCCTGATGATTTACTGCTGAGATGAGTCCAGTCTGTGAGACCAGCCACACTCATATGTACTCTGAAGAGAAAATCTGACCAAAGACAGCATTTTTATAGAGCTGGTGTGTTAATTTTACACTATTAAATTAACACAAACATATAAGATATAATCAAGATCAAATGTAAACACATTAACAAATAAAGTTTTAAATGAGTTTTGTTTCAAAATGCACATTGGAGTAGCTGTACTCCACAAATATTCCACTATTGAAGTAAAATATCCTCAATCATGGTACAAAGTGCCAAACACAAGTATGAGCAAAGATGAATACGTCAAGTGGGATATTGTGGCGTGTAGTCACTTAAGCCTCTTTCACATAATGTGTACTCAGGGATGCAAATGACCCCTGTCGCCCCTAGTCCATGATGATGACGAACAAATACCAAAGCTACATTTGCAAACACGCAAGTATCAGGATTTTTCCATCTGGTCTCTCTGCTTCCTTGCTCATGTTTTTTCCTACAGTCTAAGTTTGATTATTTATACAAGTTAGATTAAAAAGGAAAACATATAACTGGAACGGAACTTATAAGGACAAGAAAAAGCCTAAAAAGGGCATGTTTGTTATGGAGGCCCATAGACTGAAATATCACTGACAGACTGAGTTATGCGCGAAAGGTCAGCACCCAAGTGTATTCAGTGAAAGCAAAGCTGCCATATGGCATATGCCTCACAGGCAGTGGTACCAACAACTAAAAATCAAACGAAAAGTAAAAGTGAAAGTCAGAGTCAACTGGAAAGGCAAGATATCTTATGTGGTCTTCCAAAAACACAAGTTGATAAGTAAACATAAGTTTTTGAAATGGCAACTTCAGTTGGAGACAGATTAGCTATATATTAGAGCTGGGCAATATGGGAAAAATTTTATCACAATATAGTTTTTTCATATCAGTCGATATCGATATATATCACGTTATGATCGGCTGTTTCAGCTGCACAGGCGCCATGGGCTCCCCAAAAAGATTTGAGGTATTCCTCGACTTTGCGAGAACATGTACTTGACATAATAGCAGTACACATTACTCTGCTTCATGTCCGACCTCAAAAAAACAACAAAATACCTCCACACCACCGACGTTTTTGTGCCAGTGTTGTCGACGATGTCATCAACTGTTGAGCCTTCATCTGCATTTCTGTCTGGGGTAGCACCCATTTTCTTATTTTCTCACCAACAGTGCTGTCAGCTTCACGTGTTAAAGTGCTATGGTTGCGTGTAGCTGCTGCCTGCTACTACACAGTTGTCTGCTACTTGGTTCTAATTCAGCACATGATTGGTTCGGTGTGACGCGGACCCGGAGCAACTCCCCTTTTCATTGGCTATTGGTATAGTCTACCAAAACGTGGCAGAATTACGACCATCGAAAAGGATGCTGACCATGTTTTTTATGGATATTGAGGGAAAATTAATTTTTGATATATACCGTTAGCGTTTCATTGCCCAGCCCTACTTTGTAGATAATAAAATAGTGATCCGCTCTGATTTACCCATCAAAGCTAAACATGACCTGTCAGTAAATCACACAGTCATGCTCACCACTCCATAACGATGAGGAGGCATTTTTTCCCATGGTGCATGTTCTCATACAGGCTAAGAATCCTGACGATATGGGGACCTCCGGACACTCTCCAGTGCAGCTCCACCTCTCGTCTGGCTTTGGGGGTATCATACAGGATCTGCACCACATAAAACAAACACTTGTCAGTAACATTCTTTATATTATTAAAATGTTTTAAACATGTATGTCTGTCTAATCAAATACTACTTGATATCCAATCAGTGAACACCCCATGGTAAATTCATTGATCAGTGGTAAAGGTATCAAACTACAGCTGCAATTTCTGAACAACACATATTAAATTCATTTAGCTCTGGCGTCATCTTTAAAGGCATAGCACTGCGGTGTGGTATTACAGTCAAGGAAGGAGGACTTCCTATTTTTCTAGACATCCAGACCCCAGACCAGATCCTTGTGGTCACTTGGGGAAAGCTAATAACTCAGCTCTGATGGAGGTGTAATGCTCCTCTAAAGCTCTGCATGCACATATTAAGACAAACCATAATATCTTTCTGGTTTTGGTTTTCCACCCAAGAAATCCCAAAGAAAGTATGTGGAGGCACCCATGAGGCTACATTTCCTGTTTGTTTTTGCTTCCATCTCAGTCAGCTGTTAAATCCATTACATGCTCTGATTTTGTAATATTTTCAAGTTGGCTTTTAGAGATAGTATTATATCATTTTAAAGTAGAGTGAAAATGCAAGTTTGTGAGTGGATGAGGGTGATTATGCTGAGCACAGACAGAGCAGGTCATTGTTCACAACAATCGAGGAAACTGTGTCAAAGCATGCCAGACAGCACATCACTGTTTTTCTCTCTCAAACACTGTCTGGGCAGCACAGAGATTGAATTTGCAGTCAGATTTCTACTTCAAACATCTAAAAAGTGCTTCACATCTCATTTGCAACAGATAGGATGCACAAAACACATGTTACAAGTCACAAAATCAAGATGCAGTGTAAATTTCCAGTATGAGAAGATGGAGATCCCAGACAGGAAATTAATAATGGATGCTCTTTTCTTCTAAGTGGCTGCAGCCTCATGAGGACAGATAATAAACACACACACACCTTTAGGGCACACTTCTCTCCTGATTTCTTGCAGAAACATTCCAGCACTTTGCCAGTGATTCCCAGTCCGAGGACCTGCGCTGTGACTTTGTAGTCATCTGTCACCGCATTTCTTTTAAACTCCAGGTTAAAATAAGGGGGAGGCTGGAGGTCAGTGAGGCCGCTGCCCAGGCTGTTGTCCGGGCTGTTGGAGCCGCTGTGGCGGGCTGTCCCGTGCTGCGCAGTAATTGGATTTACCAACTGCTCCTCCTGGTTATGATGCATTTTTTAAACTGTAGATTAACAGTAAGGCCATCAATCAACAGCAGAAAGTACCTGGAGTCAGTCTAATCCACAAGACTTTCGCTCTTATTCTTGAAGACTTTGAAGGCTGAGGGAGCGAATCTGGAGAAAGTCTACCCAAACAGGGCGGAGGTCTGAAATCGAACCGTTTTATTTGCACAGACAACTAGGAAAAAGCTCGTCTTGTCCTGCCGCTCTTTGTGAAGAAATACAAAATCACACAACACTGAGAGAAGAGAAAAATGTCAAAATGTGATCTGGTACCCCTGACTGGTCTTCATCACGTTTATTGCCTCCCACTGCAGGGAGCACCAGCCTCTCCAATTCCCTGACGTCAGCGCAGAGAGACTCAAATGTATTCTCTTAAAGGAACATCACGCGTAAAGACGCACGGCACAGTACCAGCTGAGAGAGGGACGGATCGAAACTAGAAACCCAGCCCATTCTTTTCCGGAGGTCGGGGGTTGAATTTGGATTATTCAAACATTGGTATAATTATGCAGTTTTTGTTTATTGCCGAACAACAGAAGCATGCATTAACTGTGTGCCTATTTACTTGTCTATAAAGCTAGATCGACGTTAAAGGGATATTCTGGCATAAAATTAATTTAGGGCCAAACACATGGTAACACCGAGTTAGACACCCCGTCGAGAGATGAATGTTGCCGACCGCTTGCCTCTCTAGTTATACCAACTTTAGTAACGACCGCAGGATAGCAATACACAGCGGTCTGAGGAGCCAAAAACAAACCTCAACCAAAACGCCACTCTATAGCCACAAATAATGCTCAGAACAGCACCTAACTTCATCAACAGTACATAGAGGGTCCCAGCCATAGTACTAGCCACCAAACATCTTTTTAACTTTGACTAATTTCTTTAGCAAAGAGACTAAACACAACTCACCTACTCTCTTCCAGCGGCCGCTTGTTTGTAGCGAGACCTCGGGACAGTCCATTACAACTACAGCGGGGTGACGCAGCTCAAGAAAGAACCTTTACGATCATTTCTATATCATTCCCTTGAAGTAATAATCACCATATTAATCATTTTGCACTGCAGACGCGGTAGTTCTTCTGCCTTAGTGTCTCGGTCTGATTGCATTTCCATTAAGAAATTATCATAAATGTTCTTCCTTGAGCTGCGTCACCCCGCTGTAGTCAGTTTGGACTCGCCTGAGGTCTCACTACAAACAAGCGACTGCTGGAAGAGAGTAGGTAAGTTGCGTTTAGTATCTTTGCTAAAGCAAAGCTAAAAAGATGTTCGGTGGCTAGTGCTGTGGCTAGGACCCTATATGTACTGTTGATGAAGTTAGGTGCTGTTCTGAGTATTATTTGTGGCTATAGAGTGTTTTTTTGGTTAAGGTTTGTTTATGGCTCCTTAGACCGCTGTGTATTACTATCCTGTGGTTGTTACTAAAGTTGTTATAACTAGAGAAGCAAGCAGTCGGCAACATTCATCTCTCGAGGGGGTGTCTAAATTGGTGTTATGGTGTGTTTGACCTTAAATTAATTTTTCGCCGGAATATTAGGCTACTATGAGAGAACACAGCTCACTGCGGTTGCACTCATATTTTTGGCTCTTTTAACAGAATTTATCACAATATTTTTTAAATTTGTTTAAGTTTCTATTAACTTTTGATCCAAATTCATTGTGCTCCAAATTGTATTTGTCTAAAATGAACTAAATGTGATTTTAACAATACTCTGGAGCTTTTTAAAATGTGTTACAGTTCGTGTTATTGACATTATTGCATATGCATTTTTTATACATATTAATTGTGATTTACAAATGAAAAATGTATGCTTCATATTCAGATTTTCACTTTAATTTTCAGCACAACAAAATGATAAAAATAATCTGCAGATTAAATAATGTAAAAGAGTCTGGCACAACAATGCAGTTTACTTTGCATTCTGAGTGTGCAAATCTGTGTTCACGGTAAATACTTAACATGTTACATGTTACATGTAATAGTCTCAACCAAATTATGAGAATTTTTTTGTCTTGGAAAACACCAGTGTGTGATTTCAACAGCTGCATTAGACCTGATTCAAACACTACTGGAATGATTACAGCTGCAGTTCAGTGCGGCTCTATGAAAACAGTTAACCTATGCTAATGTGAAGCTCAGCCCTGAAGAGCACGGTCAAGCACATGTTCATCCTGAACAGGAAATGGCATTGTGACCCGCAGCTGCCTGTTTTCCTCCATGGTACGCTGGATGGTGTCATAGGCATTGGAGTTTCCAGACCAACAGCGGCGAGCCACCTGCAGAACACAGGGACGAATTAGGGCGAAAATCGATTGTCTGTAATTTGACCACTTTCCACAATATCGTCCCATCTTCACCCCATTGGAGACATCCCAGTTGAGCATTAGTCTGGCTCGCTTTGCTGCCTCCTCTGAGCCATCCAACAGCAAACCAAAGCCTCCGTTCATCACCTCGCCCCTATAGATTTAAAGAAAAAAGAAGTATACAGATTGACAAAGTGAAGAGGTAAGTCATTTATCAAATAATAAAAGGATTGTGCAAAGACAGTCAAATTCCCTCTGATAAGTACAAATTTACCAGCCAACGCCACCACCATTGTGGAGAGCGACCCATGTAGCACCCCTAAATGCATCACCAACAAAGTTCTGGACAGCCATGTCTGCAAGGAGGAGAAAAGTAAGCTTGAAGTTTGACTTATTACAAAGTATTCCAGCTGTAGTTCTGCTTTTTATGAATAAAGAGAGACTTTTTTGTCTGAATGCAGATTTTTTGTTCCTGTTTGCAGTATAACGATTGTCGTCTTGAACTGTTGATTTAAGTTTCCTGGTTGTGTTCATCTGCTGAACTTCATACCTGCACAGAAGGCTGATCCGTCGTACACATTGGAGGTTTCTCTGAAGGGGCTGTCCGTGCCACTAACATCATGATGGTCTCTGCTTATAACCACAGGAGCCTAAGCAACAGAAATGACATCAAGCACCTCTTAGACTCAAGTGAAATCTGGATATCATGCAAACTGCAGTATACAGGGAAAAATCTTCATGGCAGATAATTCATCCCCTTACTGAGACTCTTCCATCAGCGATTGCCTGGTTTATAGCCAGAGCAATGCAGACTCTTCCTTTCTGGTCAGAGTAGAGGATTCTGGCCTGAGATCCCACAACCTAACCAAAACACAAAGATAATCTTCATTTTGCTCAATGCATCTTTTCACCAGACTTTTATCAATGGAGAGCATATTCAGATGTCAGTAGCCCGAAGAGTTGCAGACCATCTTGTGTTTCCCAGCCTCTCTGATCCAGCGAATGTTGTCATTATACTGCTGTCCGATGCGATCAGATACATTGGCACTGATTTCCTCCAGGACAGTGGCTGCAATGTTGTCTGTTTCAGCGAGATCTTGAGGGTCACCGGATGTGCAAACCCAGCGGAAAGGGCCAAAGCCCAATGAGAAAATATCACTGTAAGAAAGATAGAAGCAGAGAGAGCTCTTAAAATGTAGTGATGGACTACAGAGTTTCTACTGTAGTTTTTTTGTAAGAAAGATTACACATAGACAGTATAAAAAGGTGTTTCACCCCATAATGTGCTGGACATAAGAGGGGTAGCGAAATTCTGTGGCTCCTCCACCAACTTTTTGTACGTCTGCCCCTTTAAAAATAAAAAATCAAGGCTCTCTGATGTAAGGACATACCTTGAATGAAAATAATGATATCATCTGTGTGTTTTTGTTTAGAAGTTAAGATACAAACCAGCTCTCTGGGCCTCCAGAAGAAATGCGTTGCCGTAGTCCCAGAAGAACATACCAGCATCAGCCAGCTTGTTGATGGCCATAATGTGCCTCCGAAGGCTGTAATGTAAAACACATCTTAGCTCCACCTCAATCGACCTACATCCCGCAGTAAATTTATTAAAAAAGAAAAAAACATCTGTATGATTAACTTTACCTTTCTTGGACCATGGTTCGAAATCGACTGGGATCAGTCACCATAAGCTGATTGGCCTGGCGGAAACTGAGCTGGACCGGGTAATACCCTCCATTAAATGGGTTGTGTAGGGAGGTCTGATCGGAGCCCAGATGCACCAGCAGCTCCCCCGTCTTCTCATATTCCAGCAACAGCCTCTCCCTGGTCACAAAAACAAAAAACAAGTTTGCTGCAGGAAGGTGGTTCTTTCACTGATTCTGGTATCAGAGGTAACAGGCGACTTTCACCACTTCCTTACCACAGGTCTACAATGTTGCCATGGTAACCCAGACTAAGGGCAGTCTTGGAGTTTTTGGCCTCCCTGAAAGACATAAAATATTCCATGTGTTGTACCTTCAAATAGTGCTCTTTTAAGTGATCAAAATTCCAGAGAGATGCTAACATGCTGAGCATAAAACATCACACTATTCCAGCAAGGTTCAAATGTAGCCCGTTCAAGTACTGCATATAAAATTTTAACTTATATTTTAACTGTTAACATCATTACTGATATAATCTGACATTATTTCATTTGCTCATTTGATTTGGGTCTGAGCGACTGAGAGTAAAATACAGGTAAGTAGATTTTTTTTTCCCTTTGAACAGTTCCAGGGTAGCTTGTAGCCACTGTCTTGTCTCATTTTGCTTCAACAAGTATCTTGTATAAGTGTTATAGGATAATCTATGCCTATACGATAGTCAATAAATTCTATTGTACATTGCTTAATAGAGATAGACTGATTAATCAGTCAGCTCATTATTAGGGCCGATTAATGGCATTTCATAATGACTAACCTCATATCCGCATTGGTCCTCACAAGGCTGATAACACAGAAATCCTCTGAAAACACATTCTTAAAATGTGTGATGAGGTAAGTCAAATCAAAGACAGTCACTGGCTCGCGTTTGTAACTGTAACTGAAGTGTAACTTCTGTCGTGATTTGTATAGTTTATTACTGCTTCAGAAATACCAGCCATGCTCTGAAATCTAGTATATAACCCAGTTTTTTACCAATTCATTTAAAATTAATCTACAACATGTTACTAGCTAAGATAATCTTGTATATTACATTCAAATGTGTTTGGAATAATGAATTTTTATTTCAGTTTCTTTTATTTATTTAGATCACAGTATTTTACTGTAATTTTAATCTTAATGCAGATCTTTTACAGTAAGTTTACTGTATAGTATTGCTTTGCTCTGACTTTTTTGGCTGGGACTTTTTTATTATTAAAGTGAATGCCCATTGAAAGCGCAAGTCTGTACGTTTTAATGGAGGGGGACTGCAAGTTTCAAGCACTTTCAGAGGAGCTCATACACATATGCATGCACGCACGCACAATAGTGGAGTAATAGTGAGCATAATACAGTAATTTTTGATGATGATTTGCACACTGAAATTTCCTTTCTGTTTGGTACCTGATGCATTTAATGCAGTGTTCGATGTTGCTGGTGACCTCCATCAGCCAGCCCTGCTCATGTCTCTTCCTTAGAGGAGCCTCGTCCACCTACACACACACATATACGCACACACACCACATTTAACAACAACATTTACATACAGCTTTTCCTTTCATATCTCCCCATTAGCAGTGAGTATTAAACAGAAACCAGTATTAACCAGCTCACCTCTGCAATTACACCAATACAACCTGCAATGACGGCAGCTTTAGCCTGAGCTCCACTCATGCCCCCGAGGCCAGAGGTCACAAAGACACGACCCCTCAGGTCACTTGAACCCAGGTACCGCCGGCCTGCATTCAGAACAGTCAGCTGCACAGAAAAATATTAGTAAAATACTGTAACTTAGGTTTGATTAAACTGTATGATTACGGTAAAACAGTAGCTGATTTTCTTTTCTCAGACTGTTCGATTTAAAAAGTTTTTTTTCCCTTAGATCACAAACCATAGTGCCGTGAACAATCCCTTGTGGTCCAATGTAGCAGTAGCTGCCTGCTGTCATCTGACCATACCTCAAATCAAACAAACAAAAACAAAGAATTCAGCACACCATCGGGAACTACTTGGATGCAGAAAAAAAGGGTAAAAAAACAGTGACAACCCCTCTCGAGAATCTTTAAAACTTACATGGACACACCGAGAGCGAACATCTTTTCATACTGCTCTTTGGAGGAGTAATTAGGAATGACCTGTGGGGTGAGAGAAAAAAAAGTAAGTCAGTATTTACGTAGGTACCCACATGGACTGAAAGTATCAGTTTATTACTTTTGTATTGGGATGTTACCATGCCGTTGGTGATGATAGCTCGAGGTGAAGAAGGCAGGCTGGGAAACAGACCCATGGGGTGACCACTGTACATGACCAATGTTTGTTCCTCTGTCATCTCACTTAAGTAATGCATCACCAAGCGAAACTAAATCACACACAAAACACACAAACCGCATGTTTTCATCCTTATCAGGCTCAATTTTTCAAGTCCTACCTCAACATGGGAACTGAAGCAAACTCAGGGCCTACCTGAGCCCAATTACTGAACACCTGTCCGTTCCCTCCATAGGTCACCAGCTCCTGAGGGAACTGAGGGATAAAGAAACATATGGCTGTCAAAGGAACTATTCACTCGATACTTCGAACAAGCGTTCATACAAGCCGTGTCACCTGTGCAACAGCAGGATCCAGGTTGTTCATGATCATCAGCATAATGGAGGCAGCCTGACGGGAGCGGCACGGGTACTGATCTATGGGGTGAGCCCTGATGAAACACAAAGACACAGTCACTGGAGTCTAAGTAGTGTCTTATCTCACAACAGTCCTGAAATTAAGACAAATTACACAAAACACTGTAAAAAGGACTATGAACCTAGTAGACTAACTTTGTATTTCTTATGAGCAGAGATGTGTTTCTGGGTTTAACCTAAAAAATTACTTAAAGCTCCTGTAAAAAATGTTCAGTTTCTGTCGAATTTGGCGCCCCCCTAGGCTTTGCTTGTATAACTCCAAAGTACCAGAACACCATAGCAACAGCAGACATGCAATTATTTATTTATGCCGATCAGTAGTACATTCAAACACATTTTTTAACGTTTTGGTTTCTTATTTTCGCCTAACATCTCGTTTTAATTTTTTCTTTCTTAATGTGTTTCAATACATTTCATTTTAAATGCTTATACTGTATTTGTGTAAAACTCCTTTTAAAGCTATTATTATTCTATGTTTTTGTTTGCTTTGAACTCTATAAAACACTTTACCTTGTATATGAATGAATGACAAACAAAACCATTGAGGACATGAACGATCACTTTTATATCGTAATTTCTAGTGTCTGATACAAAAGGGAGGGGGAAGGTGTTAGAATAAAACCTGCTTTTACAATTCCTACACAAAACATTCACAATGTATGAAGTATTTGACTATCTTCAGCCAGAAAAATTAGGACTTGAGCCTGGAGGGATCAAGATAAGCAAAGCCTGCTATATCCACAGGGGGCGCCAAAATCGACACAAGCTGAAAGCTCCTCACAGGTGCTTTGAATCAGATAAATGTGGTTTTCTCACCTCATGCGCATTGTGGGGCAGAAGCGGTACATGTAGATGTGGCCGTACTGTCGCAGCTCTTGGGCAAATTCCGGCGCAAGTGTGGCGTGGTGGGCGGGCGGAAAATAACGCAGGGCATTTCTCAGCGCCAGCTACAGGAAGAGAAATTTACCACATTTTAGTGACTCACTCTACAATACAAACCAGTTTTCAAATAAGGCCGTATGGTAGATGAGTAGATCTTTTACACTACCACCTAAATGAACAGGAGGACTTCTTATTATGTCTCTTTAAATCATTTACTCAGAGCCTTTGCTCTGAGTTTGGGCAATCAGTAGAGGACCTAGAGAATGATCAAATATTTTCAGACGGACCAAGAGCCAACCAAAGTGATGCAATAAATCAGAGTACACAGCACAGAGTAATGACAGTGTGTCCCCCACATCTGACACATTCAGTGACTGTTAAGTAACTGTCTGTCTGTTGATCCATTTGCTGCTTTCTAAATCCTCAGAGATATGGCTTTTTTTTTTTATCTTAAAATCACATTTGGCTTGTTTTCCTAAAAAGCAAAAGTTAGTTAGTTAGTTTCCACAAAAAATAATTTAATTTACAGCTTATTAAATTTAATTAAATAAGCTGTAATTTTCTTGAAACAAAATACATTTGTATCTCACTCTGAGCAACTATCACATAATGTACCTACAACAAAACAGTTTGCATTTCCTCACCCGTTCCTCGTCTGCTGTAAGATTGGGTGTCCTGATGGGTGCGTGAGGCACATCAGGGTCTCTCCCCCTGTTAGAAGGCAGAGGGTCTAAAGGGAGACCGCTGCATAACTCCTTTAGAGAAGACATCCTGTGGAATATTTTTTGTCATACACTCAAGCAAACACAGAAGTCACACCAGAGACTGAAGGGAGCTCCCACTCGCACAGCCGATCGTTCTCTCTGAAGAAACAGACTAAGAACTGGTGAAGATCTAAAGACCATCACCTCTGCCTTCTTGTCTCATTGGCTCTTTGGTCGTTTTGGCCCTTCACAGTCCACCAATAGTATGACGTGAAGAGAGATGGGTGTTTGGTAATAATTGATCCCTCAAAGAGTTTGAAGTAAAACATGCTTTAGTGGGCAAACACAGTGGTTGACCTCTGACCCCTGATACTGAGACATGTAACTTAAAAGTCAAACAAAAGTGCGGACCGGAACCTTTGAACAGGTCAACAAACATTATGTAGATGCATGTTGTTTTTCTGTAAAGTTATTCTTGCACAGCAGAGATTTATCAGCACTATGACATGCGGATCTACTCATCATTCATCAAGTCTCTTTCATTTTAAAACTGGCATGATTTCTAAATGATCATATTGAAGAACAGGTAACAGATCCTTATCTAAAACAAATGACAAGTTTTTTGCTGGCAAAAAAAGTCAAGTGATGAGAAACATACTGTTATTAATTGATCAGCAGGTTGGTAGTTCACTCCCAGTTTCCAGTTACAGTCAAAAAGCCCTTGGTCAAGACATGGATCCCCAAATGGCTCCCTATGACACAGTCAGCTGTGTGAATGCAAACGAACAAGGTTACCTGTTACCGATTGTCCATTTTCTGTTTATATGCAAACAAATGTCTTACCTAGGAAAAAAATATTAATGGAAATACTTGTCGGCAAGCTCACAGAGTCAGTTTGCAACTAATACGCAAAAATACTCCAGTGACTGATCATAACCGCTCCCAGCACATTCAGCTCTCTAACATTGTCAACTTAGAAGGGAGTTATATTTAACATGAATGAAAGACATTAGAGTCAAAGCAATAATATCACCAAACAAGGACAAAAACATGTAATTTTTTTTTAATAAAAATGTTATACTATATTCACTTCAAGTCACTTAAATCAGTTCTGTGTTGAACATAAAATAACCCTTGAAGTTCAGCTGAGGTACACGTGTAGTCTGGTAATAAGTTAGCAGAAAAAATGTCGTACAGGACAGACAGCAACAGTGGAAACACACTACACAACATCCCACAGTGGGGAGATTTGGGCTTTTTCAGTATAATCCTCACAACATTGTAAATTTAAGAATTTGTTAATAGCATCATCAAAAAAAACTTTGAGTTTAAGTTCAATATGTGAGTAAAGAAACACCTGATATATGTTTGAAGTGATCTGTTTGAGAGATAGGAGAGAACTGATATTTCTAAAAGTACAAGGATCGTCTAACATGTTTTAAGGGTAAATCCAAGCACAGTGAAATCGCTCCATCACACTCAGTCTACAAAAAATTACACACCTCAATGTGTACTCCCAATTTGGTCCTCTGAATTTGTGAATAATACCTTATTTTTTGGGTAAACCCAAAAACAGTTCTGAAACCAAACTCTAGGCATTTTTTCTTTAGATTTGGAAATGTATAAGTCACCTTACTCACTCCAGAAGGTTGAAAGTTCACCTCAAGTTTGATGTCATCTTTTGTCAAGTATAGTATATATATATATATCACTTCTGTAAATCACATGTTCACCATTCCTCTCTGGAAACAAATCAAAGTCTGAATTTATATTTTTGATTTCATTATTATTTTTATAATACAGTAAAACCTGAATGATTCTGCTTAACTCTCTTTTCAACCAAATTTACAAACATGATTTGAAGTCTTGCCTTGAATTTTAACTCTACTGTAACAGATTCACTGCTGTTGTCAGTTTGCAGGCTAGGCAACTATCAAGCAGTTCAGCTGCAGCACATGAACAGCATGGAAATGAACCCACTGAACATCATGTTGATAAGTTTCTACTTTGTCACCTGCTCATGTGACAGTCACTCAGCCTGAAGTCGTAAGTCTATCAAATTCAACACATCAATGCAGCTTGAACTTTATAATATTGTGTTTTCTAACATTTACTGTGAATAAAAAAACATGTCTGTGATTTTCTGACAGCATGAATAGGTTTTTCATTTGGACTTAAGATCTCTATTCCCACAGACACACATTATTAACTTTCAACTGAACTCTCTGTGTTGGGCTGTGTGGCGTTAGAGTCTTTCTCAGTGGCAGCTGTTGAGTTTGCACCCGATCTTTCTGCAGATGCCGAGTCTTCTGAGGTTTGCTCTGTTTCCGATGATTGCTCTTTTGGCTCCTTCTCATCTTCCTGTGGATAGAGTTCAGGGTAACGCTGCATACACTCCTGCATAGACCTGAACTGTTCTAAGCACTCAGATCCCTTCACCTCTTCCTTACTATAGTGGAAACAGGAGAAGGCTTCTTTAAATTCAGTTCCACAGGGACCACTGGCCATCCCTCCCAGGCAGGGGCAGTTCCAGTTGATCTCCCCATTGGGCAGAATCAAACCTGGGATGAAAAACGACATAGTACTTCATGTGCAGCCATTGAAGCATTTCTACAAAGCTCTAAATTATCCAGACATCAGGTTCACATTCAGGATTTCGTGCTGCTCACCTCTCTCCTCATATGGATCATCTGGATCTTCCTCTACAAGCTCAGCACTGCTGGGTGTCGCATGATCCTCTCTGGTGACAAAGATGATTCGATCTTTACCTGGTGTGTGAAATGTTCAAAGAGAAGGCACACAAACCATCAGCAACAGGCCCTCCTTTAACACAGAGGCTTGTTTAGGATCTATGTAGTTAAAGGGATATTCCGGCCTAAAATTAATTTAGGGTCAAAAACACCGTAACACCAAGTTAGACACCCCCTCGAGAGATGAATGTTGCTGACTGCTTGCTTCTCTAGTTATAACAACTTTAGTAACCACCACACGATAGCAATACACAGCGGTCTAGGAGCCATAAACAAACCTCAACCAAAACACGACTCTATAGCCACAAATAATGCTCAGAACAGCACCTAACTTCATCAACAGTACATATAGGGTACCAGCCATAGTAGTAGCCACCAAACATCTTTTTAACGTTGCCTAATTTCTTTAGCAAAGAGACTAGACACAACTCACCTACTCTCTTCCAGCGGCCACTTGTCTGTAGCGAGACCTCGGCCAGTCCATTATGGACTACACCGGGTGACGCAGCTCAAGGACGAACATTTATGATCATTACTTTATCATTTCCTTAAAGTAATAATCATAATTTTAATCGGGAGGTCTCGCTACAAACAAACTGCTGCTGGAACAGAGTAGATTAGTTGTGTTTAGTCTCTTTGCTAAAGAAATTAGTCAAAGTTAAAAAGATGTTTGGTGGCTAGTACAATGGCTGGGACCCTATATGTACTGTAGATGAAGTTAGGTGCTGTTCTGAGCATTATTTGTGGCTATAGAGTGGCGTTTTGGTTGAGGTTTGTGTATGGCTCCTCAGACCGCTGTGTATTGTTATCCTGCGGTCGTTACTAAAGTTGGTAAAACTAGAGAAGCAAGCGGTCAGCAACATTCATCTCTCGAGGGGGTGTCTAACTCAGTGTTATGTTGTGTTTTACCCTATATTAAATCTACGCTGGAATATCCTATTAATGTTTGCTCTATATTGATCTCAGAAACTTGGGTTTACTATAAAAGTATTATTGTTGCTCTTAAATGGCAAATCAACAAGAAAACAGATGAATCCGTGAACTTCACCCCAACAACAGCACAATGAGTGATAATGTTCATGAGAGCAATGACGGAAAACATTGACATCTTTTCAGTGACTGTCAATGTGAGTTTCTCTGAAATCAGGTGAACTACTGAGAGATCACTTTAACATATGTCACTATGGATGCTGCTCAAGGTTAAACACTGGGATGTACCTGCACAGCAACAACATACAGTCCTTAACAACGACATTTGTGGTAAAAGGAATATATTAACACCTTAGTTTATCTTAGAAGTACTTTGTTTACATGTTTTTATGAACAGGGTACAACATCTGCACTAATTTTTCATTCAGACTTTGATTAACTTCAGAGTTAGCTTTAGCCGGCGGCTAGCACAGCATGCTTACCTTCCTGCCTTTCTGAACTCATGTCTTCAGCATTAACAGGTCAGATTCTTCCTCAGGATCAACTTTAACAGCTGCGAGGAGCACGGCTCTTATTGTCACTCTACACAACGCATGTACGTAACAAAAAATTAATGTGTGGCATCAGCAGCTTGTTTCACAACTACCCTCACTGGACTGCATGGGTCCCTTTCTTCTTCTGCTGTCCCTTTTCCGGTAGATCCGTCGCTTCTGCGCCGCGTTGCTGCCACCTGCGGCAGGAAGGCTAAACACGTCGTCAAAATAGTTAACTGAGAAGCTGAAACGCAGTTTTTTTTTTTTTTTTGGAGGAATGCAGGGTAAAATAATCATCTCTAAAATCTCATGTAAATATATTATATTCTGTACGGTGGCCGAGAACCGCCACTGCTGCAAATAAAAGAGAATGCAAAAAAAGAAGTCACAACGGAAGTTACTGAGGCAAAAAAAGAAACCAAAGCCCACTGCAAATAAAAAAAGAAAAAGAAATGATGCAGATAAAAAACCCACAACGTCAGTTAACAACGCAACAAAAATAAAAAAATAATAAAGTGGGAAAAAAAAATTACTCACTGCGAAAATAAAAGGATGCAAATAAAAAAAGCTACAACGGAAGTGAGCTGCCAGGGACAAATAATGATGATGTACCAGTGTTTTACAAACTAGGCACAGAAGACAAGGGCGAGAAGACGAGCAAAGAAGTAAATGGAAAGGTTATTGTTTAATTTCGCTACAGTGCTCTTCAATGTGTTATTTGGTTAGGCCATTTAGCGCTTAAGTCAATATAAAGTTGAACTGAAGCTTATACTACACCGGCATCCTCAGATCAACTTCATATCAACTCAGGCGCTACATGATCTAACCAAATGACACACTGAAAAGTTTATGAAGCGAAATTTAACAATAACCTTTCCACTTACTTCTTTGCTCGTCTTCTTGCCGTCGTCATCTGTGCCTAGATCGTTAAACACCAGTGCATCATTATTGGTCCCCAGCAGCTCACTTCCGTTGTTTTTTTTATTTGCATCCTTTTATTTTCGCGGTAACCTTTTTTAATTTTTTTTGTTTTTTTATTGCATCAACATATTTTTTTTGCATCATTAACTTCTGTAGTGGCTTTTAAAAAAAAATATATATATATATATATATATATATATATATATATATATATATATATATATATATATATATATATATATATATATATATATATATATCTGCACCGCCTTTTTTATTAGCAGCAGGCTTTGGTTTCTTTTTTTTTTTCATCAGTACCTTCCGTTGTTACTTTTTTTTTTTTGCATTCTTTTTTATTTGCAGCAGTGGCAGTTCTCAGCCACCGTAATTCTGCCTTCTAAATAAACCGTTCAACGAAAAGAGTGTTAAATTTGATAATCAGTAAAATAGGCTTTGTAGGATTTGCTTCTTCTTTTTAAACACACCTTTTCATAACATTGGAAAGACTACAATTACATTTATAATTTCACATTTCAGATTTAAACTTTTTTTCTGACAATGCCTACATTTTACTTACAATGTAATATCCTAGTTACTTAATGTTGCCCTGTGTGTATTTTGTCCTCACATAGCCTGATATAAGTGTTTTAACCTCAACACTGTAGTTCTTAACCATTAATGTAAAATACTTGGTTGACAATGCATGGTTCACAGTATTGATGAGTCTGATGTGAAGCTTTTTACTCTAAGTACACCACTTTTTACCAAAAAGATATCAAAATAAAGTCACCAAACTATATTAGCTGTCGTCTCTTTGGTCCACAGAGGCAGAATGACTGATTTAAACATTTTGATCTTGACAGTCCTTCTCTACTTCTGAGAAACTTGAAAATGTTCACAATCTTTCGAACTATTTATTTTTTCGTTCATTCTTTTACTATCTTTCATGCTTTTTGGATAAGTCAGCTTCAAGTAAGAGTTTTCAGCACTCCTTAGATTAGTTTTGTCCATCAGTTTTTCCCTCTTTCTCTCCATTTTTGTGGATGGTAAGAGTGGAGTTTCACATTTTGTTGTTATTCTAATTTTCCTATGTTTTGTGTGTGTCAGATGATTCACTGATGTGGTGTGCTGTGGAAGCATGCCAACTTGGCTGCTTATCGCTGAAGAGGGTTCTGAGTTTGAGAAGCTGACCCGCTGAAGTGCGGTAAAACTGGTGCAGGCTGTCAGCAGGCTCATGTTGTGTTAAATCATGAACTGAAACAAGCAGATTTGGTGTAATGTGTAGTCAAAGGAGGGTCAATTCAGCAGGTTGACAAAACAGACAAAACAGGTAACTTTGTACAAACTATCTGAGACTCCATGAACAAGTAAGAGAGACAAAAATGTAACCCTTGTTCACACAAGATTTTACTGTGAATGCTTTTTTATGTTTGTTCTGAAATGCATCATTTTTACATATTCAAAAGTTTTTATCTTACATTTATGACAAATTCAAAGTTATTTAGTCTATGGCCTATGTACAGAAAATCACAATTTATCAGGTGTTGATAGCAGTTAATGCCATTATGCTTAGAGGAGACAATTAAAAAACAAAACAAAACAAAAGTCTTGGGAATAAGGTATCAAAACTCAACTGTGACACAAGTTAATACTGCTTCTTCCTGGAAATGCCACACGTTACAAAATAGAGGACCCATTTTTAATCAGTCATCAAATGACTTTTAACAAAAATAAGGACTTCTTTTGACAGTTGGACCCTAATGTGTGGTCCACTTCCTCTTATTGACCCTGTTCATACAGCAGCTATGACACAGGGCCACACGTCAGGAAAAATACAGTTCTTAACTTAGTGTTTAATGGTTCATACTTTCATGGAATTGGCAGGTGCAAAGAAAAAAATACTAAAAATAAAAATACATGTAAAAGTATAAACTAAGATAACACCAAGCAGAAAATCAAGTGTTTTAATGCACATGGCAGACAGTTGACCTCCCTCATCTGTGTCAAGTATGCCTGCATACTGAAGCACTCTATTGTCGGTCTGGAAAAAAAGACCAAACTCCAAGTGGACTTCTTTTCATGCAGAGCAGAGGAAGCCTCAATATGAATCTCAGAGAAAAAAAGATGTGATGCACTTAATTGCAGGTCTTAATGTTATTTTAGAAGACTGGTGCAGGAGTCATATGCTGTGCAGCTCCCGTTTCAGCAGAGATTCCCAAAGAAAAGACTCTTCAAACTGCCCAAGAACTGGGAAGCTGACAATGCTGGAGCTTCATGTGGATGTAAAATAAATGCAATGTTTTTTTTATAAAGTCTGTTGAAGGTGGAATGATACTGTTCATTTCTAGAAGAGCAGGGCCCCCATGCTGCCCACTTCACTCTGTTCTTTCACAAAGATCTCAAAGTACTGATAGATGATGGTGACGGCCAACAGGATACCAGTGCCGGAGCCAATGGCTCCTAGGAAGTCTGCCATCACAGACAGACCACCTATACACAGTCCACCAAAGGCAGCAGCTGTAGGAATGTACCTGGAACCCAAAACACAGACCTAGTTACAAATAACAATACACACAATATGTTGCCTGACTTTTTTATACAGTAATTATAAGTAGAGCAAAGTTACAGTAAACTCTAGAAAGACAGGATCTGAACTAATTCTCTGGAATTTTTCACATGTGTAAACTTTGGAGGTTGTTAGAAACATACTAAGACCATTCATTACATTGACATTTATAAAAGAGTCAATGTAATGAATGGTCTTAGGTTAATGTACAATTTTCATACAGATAATAATCACTGTCATTGAAAGGACTCCTCTCTAAGCTGACAACAACTGTAACTTGTTATGAAGCTAAGTGCAATGGCTTGATCAATCACATTACATCTAATCAAACAAGTCATCTACTCAAAATCTAATGGGATTTTTTCCTAGTGATAAAACAGTGGCAAATTGATCATGTGAATGTCTAATGAAAGGCGACAAACACTCAAAATTGTGTGTAGGAGGAAAGATCTTGACATAAAGAGTTCTACCTGTTCAGTTCATGGACCATTGAGGTTTCTCTGTGTCCCCTCATCACCATCTGCTGCTCTTTCAGCTGTTTGGCCACCTGGGTAAAAGTGAAAAGATAAAATAAAATAAAAACAAAGCTTTAAAGACAGTCTGCTAAGAACAAACCCATCACATCGACCTGCTCCAGAGGGGTTACAACTCACATCTTTTGCGGAAGAGCCTGAAACTTCAATCCATGTTTTGGAGAAGAAGGCGCATGATCCGAGCATGAAGACGATGTAGATGACTGCGTGGACAGGGTCATCTAGAACCGAGCCAAATGACTCAGGGGGAGAGAGGTAGTAACAGAGTCCGCCTACAGGGTAGGCGCGGGCTGGACCACCTGATGTGGTGTCCTACAGACATGAGAGAAGAATACACGCTTAATAAAGGAGGGGGAAAATTCTTCCTTTGAGAGGCGTTCTTTGTACAGGGCTAAACAAACAGAAGAAGAAAAGTGTGATTACTTACAGACCAAGTCCCAAGCAGATTAACCAGGAAGTTTCCACTGAAGCGTGTGGAAAGCATCTGGGAGATAACATATAAATTGGAGACCAGAGCAGACTGGAGAATGATGGGGATGTTTGAGGTGTAGAACAGCTTGATGGGGTAGGTGTTGTATTGGCCGCGATAACGTGCCGACTTGATAGGCAGATCAACCCTGAATCCCTGTGAAAAGGAGTGAATATGTGTAACAACTATTAGTAATTATATGTTTTCTTTGTCCCACACTTCATAACCTTTTTATTCTCATTTTTAACTCTAGAAAAAGGCAGAAGCTCACCTGAAAGTATATGACTACAGCGAAAACAAACACAGTGGCAATGAGGTTCATGAGGTTAGGTAGATTCTGTCTGTAGAAAGCCTCCCTTAAAGCACGCACTTTGTCTGTGCGAGTAGCCAGCAGGTGGAAAAGGGCGATGATTGCACCCTCAAACTCTGTACCTAAAAATCACACAAAGACACAGAGCATGAGTTTCAACTCTCCGGACTCTAGAGATAACTGCAATAATACAACATTCACAGATCTTAATCACATGTTCAAAGACTGTTGTGGCTTAATACCTCTTCCAGTGTTCACTGTTGTGGGGCTGAAGGCCTTCCACACGATTGTCTCACAGATGTTGGTGGCAATGAACAGGGAGATACCTGAACCGAGACCATAACCCTTCTGGAGCAGCTCATCCAGCAGCAGGACAATCAGTCCGGCCACAAAGAGCTGTGAAGAAAAAAAGTTGATCGAGTTGGCTGAAAAAGCACCAGGATGTTTCTAACAGCTGTAAATTTCTTTTGGGGAATCTCAGACTTTTATTCTGACCGTGCGAGCTCAACCATTAATTTATTAAACTGAACTTCATAGCAGTGTGATCTTTTAAGTGTAGCATTAAACCTGTTGGTCATGTTACTCGTGTCATAGTCAAAAAACAATGACAACTTTAATGTTATGAGCTGACATAATAACAAGGTTATTCTAAAGTAACACTATGCATCTCTTTTTTAACTTCATTTCAAAGTCTTTCTGACGACAGCATCAGTGTCACACTCTAATTCAAGCGACATTATTTCTTGGAATATTTTTAGTCAAGAAGTTGATATAGATGCCAAGGATTCTTCTGGTCATGAAATGTCTATACTTGGGGAACTTTAGGGGAGCAAATAACTGATGGAGATGCAAGCAAACAAAGGGTTTGACTTAAAGGCTTGGGTTTTTTTATGATGAAAACATGTTTGTGACAGCGACAAACAAATATTTTCTAACCTGAATGATGATGAGCAGACAGATCCCTGCACCCATCTCTGAGGGGTCACCGTACATGCCAGTCATCACATACACAATCGCCTGACCAATGGTGATAATCATTCCAAACACTGAAAAAATTGAACAGCGGTTAAAAAATCTACAGTCATGGTCATAAATTCTTATATGTTCACAGAGAAGAAGCAGATAAAGATTTACTGACGTTTCTGGGCTCCATTAAAGAGGGCTCTGTCCTTTGGCGTGTCTCCAACTTCAATGATCTTAGCTCCAGCCAGCAGCTGCATTATCAGGCCTGAGGTGACAATGGGGGAGATACCCAGCTCCATCAGGGTACCTGGAGGGAGATACATAGGTTAAAGTACAAAAATGGGAGAGGACAGCTGCATTTAAATTTTGATTCAGTTATTAGCTGGAGATCTTACCTCTGTTTGAGGCCAGGATTACTCTCATCCAGTAGAATGGATCTGCAGAGTCTGACGACATGATGCCAAAGAGCGGGATCTGAAAAGGCAAGGCAAGTTTTTTTGTATAGCACCATTCATACCCAAGACAATTCAAAACGAAATAAGTCACAAGCTTCCAGACCCGGGGCTCCCCAGATGGTAATTAGTTTTCATTTCGTCTATCTCGGCTCTCATGAGATTGAAAATTGTAAAGAAAAGAAAAAAGTTTTTACACGGTGTTTAAAAAAAAAAAAGATCTCTTAACTGCTCTAAATAGCTTGCAATTTCATTTCACTACAGTCCCTGGTAAAGGTGCAGTCAGAAGTGTGTATCAGCATTTAGCAGACACAGTAGTAATGAAAAATGACTTTTGTAAAGTAAGCTGAAATTGGTGTAAATAAACACTAATATACAAAAAATTTTGAAGACGAGAGTGGCTATTCTGTGAAATATACTTTGTACTGATAGATGTTGTAGATTGTAAAAGCTTGACAAATGGAAGATCATAACTCAAGTGAATCAAAATAGCTTCTTGTCCTTGAAGGCCACCATAACTTCACTGACAGGAGGGGTGAGCTAGGGGAAATTGTAATCTGGAACAAGACCACCAGATAAAACAAATATTCCCATTCCAACTCACGATATCTTTATGGTGTTGTTACCAAGAGTACTGTTTGCATCCTAAAGAAACTCTGAACGTCCCCTACTTTCATCCTAAATTCATACGATTGAGCGATTAAACAAATGCAAGACACATACAGATCTCTTTTATGGCTTATGACAATGTATTGTCCTGTCTTGCAATGCCATTTGTATAGTTATCAAGCTAACAAAAATAATAAGGAAAATAACTCAAAGATAGATTCTCACTTTATTAGGATTAATTTGGTCAGATCTGATGAAAGATTACGTTACATCTGATGATTGACCGATGACCTAATCGTTTAGAACAAGTACAGGCATTTGCAAAGTGAATTTTTTATTCTAAAAAAGAAAATGGTTTTAATTTTTAACCATTTGGACGTGGAACAAAACTTAGAATAGAGTGATCTAAGCTGACACAGATGTGATGACAATAGTAGACCAGAAATTCTGAGGAAAACTTACCTGACAGCAGACCAGGAAGATGAAAAGAGTGATGGCGGTCCATAGTACCTTTTCTCTGAACTGGATCTGTTGAATAATGAAGTTATGAAAAGTTCAGTTGCACAAAGACATATGTATCACTTTACTAAACATTTATGAGTGAAATAAATGGCAGTTCAACCCACCCTTCTCTCAGGTTTTTGGATTTCTGGCAGTACTGCACAGAATGGTTTGATCACCTCCAAGAATTTGACTGCAAACAAACAAACATGACTATGTTAGAGAGTTAACTTGGAATAATAGCAGGTCATCAGTGGGACGTGGCAGTGAATGGTGGGCGGACTCAAGACACATTCATTCTTATACCGACACAATACTAGAAAATGACACGTGCACAAATGAAACATTACTTCTTAAAGTTCGTTTTTATATATTTTAAAACCTCGAATGACCAGTTAGAGGAGTTTCTCATTGTCATGTATCAGCTGATGAGCTCACTGCAGACCTGAGGTAACAGCGGTGTTATGCGTCGTCATCACTAGACTGTCAGTGTCTTTGAATGAGTGGCTAATATGTTAGCATTGAAGATGCTCCCAGCCTATAAGCACCGGCATTTCGTTTGAATTATCCCGTTACAAGAGAGTTAGCTTGAACAGAATTTTCCCTTTCTTTCCACCCATATATGACATATCATTGTTAAAAAAAATCACAGTATTTCAAATGTAAGTGCCTTAAAGCTAACTAGCAATACAGGCTAAGTTAGCTTGCTGTGAACCTTAGCGAAGTTGTCCGAACAGTTATATTTGTATTTTAGTCCTTTTCCAACAGACTCTTCAGAACAGTGTTGTAGAAGCTGAGCACCAAAGTCATACTCACTGCCCATGATGTCCAAGCTGTCCTCCTCTGTGCTCCTTCTCTGTGTAACTCCAACCACATTCACTCCTGACTGACTGAGCCGCCGGGGAGGAGAAGAGGAGGAGGGGGAGGAGCTACTTTAAAGACACATCATCACTATGGACACGCGCACCCAATATTTAAAGAGGCAGGTTCTAAACTCGTGCAACAAATACTGTCTACAGTTGTAGCAGTAACCTACACAGTACAGTACAGTACAGTATAGTACACTATAGTATAGTGCAGTACAGTACAGTACAGTACACTATACTACAGTAAAGTACACTATAGTACAGTACAGTACAGTGCAGTACACTACACTACACTATAGTACACTACAGTACAGTACAGTACACTACAGTACAGTACAGGACAGTACACTATAATGCAGTACAATACACTACAGTACAGTACAGTACAGAACAATACAGTACACTACACTACAGTACACTATAACACTGTACAGTACTCTACAGTACAGTACAGTAGACTATATGATGCTCGGCTCAAACAGTGTATCCCCTTGGGTGAGCTACGCAATCCTTGTACACCCATAGGCTGTATCAAGTGTAAATCATAGAAAACATGACCCCCCCTAATAACTTTTAAAAACTGAGCTGTACAGAAAAAGAGGACTCCTGCACAAACCAGTCTTACAGTAACTACATGTCAACATCACAAGCAGGGGGCAGAAAAATTTATGTTCTGTGTAATAAATTTCTAAAGTTTGTCCACAGTGTAGTCCATTATGGACTACACCGGGGTGACACAGCTCAAGGAAGAACATTTATAATAATTTCTTCATGGAAATGCAATTAGACAGAGATGCTAAGGCAGAAGAACTACTGCGTCTGCAGTGCAAAATTATTAATATGGTGATTATGACTTCAAGGAAATGATAAAGTAATGATCATAAATGTTCTTCCTTGAGCTGCGTCACCCTGGTGTAGTCTGTAATGGACTGGCCCAAGGTCTTGCTACAAACAAGCGGCTGCTAGAAGAGAGTAGTTGAGTTGTGTTTAGTCACTTTGCTAAAGAAATAAGGGAAAGCAAAAAAGATGTTTGGTGGCTAGTACTATGGCTAGGACCCTATATGTACTGTAGATGAAGTTAGGTGCTGTTCTGAGCATTATTTGTGGCTGTAAAGTGGCGTTTTGGTTGAGCGTGTGGCTCTCTGTATTGCTATCCTGTGGTAGTTACTAAAGTTGGTATAACTAGAGAAGCAAGTGGTCGGCAACATTCATCTCTGGAAGGGGTGTCTAACTTGGTGTTAGGGTGTGTTTGACTTAATTTTAGGCCGGAATATCCCTTTAAGCTTTTTCATCATTGTTCCTCATACTGCTTTTGTGTCCAGACATTTGAGTTTTTGTTCTCCTTTAGTTTTACTAAAATAACAAAAGAGCTTAGGCTCTTGGCCTACGTATCATAAGCACAAGCAACGTGTCATTATGTTACTGTTGGGCAGAGCTAGAACAGTTTGAAGTTTCATGGTAAGACAACCTGGCACAATCAAAATTCAGCACACCACCCTGACACACCCTCTGAAAAAACTCTCATCCACCCTTACACACCCTTGACAAAACTTGTGGTTTGGGCACACATCAAGATATCAAGATATCCTGACCTAAAATGATGCAGATCTGTTCAGTGGTCTTGAAGCCTTAAGCTTTTGCAGTGAAAGCATAGCATTTCCTGCTTCCACAAGGGGGCGCCTCTGACTTAGGTTGAGATTAGAGTATGCATGGTTGAGAAAAAGAATGTGTCATGGCAAAAAAAAGTAAATTTGTGAGCTTGCCAGAGCTACACCATCAGACAAAAAAATGACCATTGTTTGCTTTTGATCTGCGGTGTGTTTATAATGCACTGCATGCATGAGGAGTTGATGACACCCCACTCAAAACTGGAGACTTCCTGTTAGGTTTGGTTGCATGAGGTTTTTTTTGTAGGTCTTGCTGTGACAGATAGGCACATTGATGTCTGTCCATGCAGGCAGAAGACAGTGGAGAGAAAAAGGTGAGTGGTTTTGAATCACTTCAGAGGGTTTGTATTGTAACCACAAAAGTTCCTGAAAAATACAGGCGTTATGTACTACTACTGCTATCCTTCTTTGTTCAATGACGTCTCACTATTCCTTCTTGCATAGATGTCTCCACCAGAGGGCAGCAGCAACCTGAAAATGATCAATCTGGTGAACACTCTTTGCTGCCGACAAGCCAACTAGACCATCAACAAAGGCAGAGTGGCATGCTTATATATTTGTTTTCAAAACAACAAGGACATTAGGGCTTTGCAATTGACCTTTCATTTGCAGGGATTATTGTGTTGTTTTTAACAACATCAAGAGGGAAATTAGATTCTATCAGCGAAATGAAATGGTTAATTATGTGAAAGAAAAACAACACTGATCTGTGGTCCAGCTGTGTACAGTGCCATAAAAAGCACTCACTGAACTGTTGATATACTACACGGGGACACGAACCGAGGATGCTTGCCCATTGATGACCTACTTTCTCTTTGAGCTCACGTGAAGATTGTGGTCAATAGATTTAAAGCGATGTGTCCTGGTTTGATCTATATTTGTAAAACTGCAGTTCAGTAACCCCATGACGTATTCAATCAATTTAAAACAGTATGCTGCAAACTCCATTTTTTTGCTTCAGTGTATCATTCTTTCTCTTCAGAGTTCAGCAATAAATGATGAAGTACCAGTCAACAGGATGCCATCAAGGTTGTAAAAGCACTTCTCAAATAGCTGAAAGGGGGTTGAGTGGTGGGGGTGTGCAGCAGAGAAAGAACATCTTTAAGAGCGTTCTCTGATAATGGATGGCTCACAGTGTTGAGAGGGTACACAAGTTCAAATGAGACTGATCTAGGGGTTTTGGCTGCAGGCTCTGGATTAAGGTTTCTGTGCTGCAGGACAAAGGTGTGCTGAGGCCTTCATGGCATTTTTTCAGTTTTATCTTTTTTGACACAATTTCTCAACCTATTGCTCAATACTGTTGGTCCATATTTTCATATCTGGGGGTAAATACTGTAATTTTAGGGAAATTAGCCCATGCTTGCAGGATCTGTAAATACAGACAAACACAGAAAGTACAGAACCCTGTGTTCATAACTAGAGTGACAGACTGACTAAAGTGATAGAACAAATAAACAAGAGTCAAAAGAAAACTCCTCTACAGAATAACAAGTTGAGTACTCTCTCGCTCTCTCACTCACTATCCTGCAGTCTAATGCTGTTCATACATAGCGAATTTCTTAAACACGCTGCACTTTGAATATAGCTTTGTATCTTATATTCTCCACCTCACTCAAACAGTTGTAATATCTTATTCATCCTAATTTTACTGTACTTCTATTTTCTTTTGATTAATATTTCTATTTTCAAGAACGATCACATTTTCCTTGGATTAAATAAAGTCGTCTGATTCTGAATCTGAATAATTTTTTTCAGTACTACAAATAACGATTAAAAGTACTTTTTAGACAGCAGACTGTATTCCTAAAAACTCTCTGATAGATCATGAAAGAGCCACTGCACTGTTATAATGCAAAACCAAGAAAAAGAAAACACTTGTTGATGTAACATTGCTGTTTTTACATTCACAAAGATGTGGATGTAATACAGACTAGTATACACTTACCTACTCCTCCTCCATTGGCTCAGCATGGCCAGTGAGGCATGTTGACAACTGGGTGAGCAAATGAATGCTTATAGCCAGAGGAGTGGTGGTGAGGGGATTCAAACCAGAGTTGAATGTCAGAAGCATCACTGTGTCAGGTATTAAAGCACTGAAGCCAACATGCTCAACATATGGAAAATATTTCATTTCCAAAATAAAATTAAGACACAATTGAGGAAATCTCAGGAATCAACAGCAACAAGTCATTCACTAGTCAGTTACAAATCCTGTGTAGAGAGCTACGTTTTATTCGTTTATTTTACCAAACATGTAGAGTGTAGTCAGATCAGTTTCCCTTTGAAGTTTCCTGAAAAGCCAATACTACATTTGTGTGTCTCCAGCTTCAACCGCTATAACATTTTTTTTTTTTATGTCTATGAGGAAACAGTTACACGAAAAGTCTAATGTGACAGCTGGGATTACATAAGAGTATTTGACAGTAACATGAAGAAATGTTAAGTCCTTCTCTTACTATTGGTCTTTAATTTGTCCTCCTTTTTTCCTCACATGCATTTCATTCCTTGAGTTCACCCTCCTCTAATGCATGAGATCCATGTTCTGCCCTTTCAAGACCCTCACCATACACAATCTCTGTCTGGACATCAGCGTGTGAGGGCAAATGGCCCACATTACCCACTTATTCTAAACAGTCAGAAGGATCCTTAAGTCCGAAAGTGGAAACAAATGTCTAGGACTTAAAAGTGACAGGGTAATGCTACGTTCACTGACATGTCCCACTGCCCACAATTGTCCATGAGGTTCTTGAAAGGGAAGGGGGAGAATAGTGGGGGCATCCACAAGAGAAAGTGGGTGGGTGTGTGGATCACAAGATCTTCATGAGACCCAGCAGTGTGAGTCACTCCCTGCTCAGCTTTCTTATCCAGCTTCTTTGGTTTGCGGTCGACTGTCACTGTGGAAAAAACACAGGAGCGCGACCCTGAACAGTCAAGACAAATTTATTTATACCTCTCTTTCTCTCTCTCTCTTTCTCTTTCTCTCTCTCTCTCTCTCTCTCTCTCTTTTCTCCAACTTGTTTTTTGCTCCAGTTTCTCAAATATTCAAAACACTGATTTCTTCCACTCGGTAAGGATTACTGTCGTTCACAGGTGCCTTCTGTTCATAAAAAAGTGGGCTCTGATGCCTAAGCTGCTTTTGCTGCTCTGACTCTGCAGGTCCACTGTGCAAACAGCTGCTACAATCTTTAATATACTCCACCACAACAGTCATACTGCGTGTTTGCTGTACCAGAGGTCAGGGGGTTAGGTTGTTGGGTCTTAACTGGTGGATTTAGTCCACACCAGTGATCCAGCAGACAGAAGAACATTGTGTCCTTGACCTCATGCTCCGAGTTACATAAACAGCCGCTGATGATTTAGAGCCCTAACACCTTGCAGACAGTGTTCATTCAGTTTAAGCAGGGTTAATAGGAGAAGCTTGGTTTGTCAGTATAAATAATTGTTGTCAGCTAATTGCATCAAATAAAGAGTAAAATTTAAAGGACATCCTTCTTTCTGAACATAACTTTTGTGGGCTAGTTGTGCCATTGGTTTTTAAATAAGCAGGTTTGTAGAGCCTAAACAGACCAACTTTTCTCCTCAAATCTGTCAGGGTTTGAGAAGAAACGTTCATCAGTTTAGGCTCTACAAAAGTCAGAGAGTTAACATGACCATGCAAAAGCCAGGCAGCTAGCACAACTTTAACAGGTGTCCCAATCCATAGACCTTTAGTCCTGCCAGATCCATTAAAAGAGAGAGTTAGTGAAGGAAAAGAGAGGAAACGACGTAGGATCTGTCTGACATGGAGATAAGGCTTTGTAAATAATAGCTCCTTTAAATCCCAGAGGGCTTTAGTGGGGAGGTGTTTACTGTTTTTGCTTTTGTCCTAGAGGTAATCTAGCTCTAACAGCTGTACTCAGAGCGGCATCAATATAACCGTCTTATATAACCTGTTTATCTGTTCTCTTAACATAAACACAACTGACCAGTTGACCCCAGGCCAGAGATGCTTCTCTTGGTTTGACAATGAATTAAGGGTGTCTTATGAGATCAGTTGTCCATGATTCCTTTCAAAATCAACACAAGCTTAACATAACAACAATCTTAAATACAAAAAATCTCTGTGCAAGCTACGGTGACACTAAACCATTGTCAGCATTTAAGGCTATAATCTTTATTGCAGTAATTAAAAAAATCTTCAGTGACTACCGAGGACACCTCCTCCACCCACATACTGACAAACCTACCCGTTATTACCCATCTATGGGCACTGCAATTACCACGGGCTGGGAGCCTGGATTCACACTTCACATATATGAAGTGGAAAATGTATGGAAGGAAGGATTACTGCAGTCACCAGAGAACCAAAACAACTCATCTGACAGGAAAATGTGATTGGTCGTGCAAGACCGCAACATTCAGCCCCCAGAATTAACATCCTACACTGGACAACAGTCATCAGGCTTAATCCAGATTATTCCAGACTACAAACTGTACACTCGTATGTCTTGCTTTCTTTTCCTGTCTGGGTTATTTTAAGCACGCATACTTATACACTCTGCTGTGGTTGTTGAAGGGAGAATGAGCGTGCTTTAATAAGGATTCAGATTTCTTCCTTACACGCATATCTTGCAGTTTGCCAAGACTGAGTGTGTCATTTAATCTAACTCTTATTTCCTTGTGGTTAGACAACACAAGCAAGTAAGGAATCAAACATACAGAATTTATTGTAAAGACAAATAAGAAATGCAGATGTGTCAATTATGATTAAGTAAGTCTGCTTAATATTACAGGAAGAAAATGCTAGCTGACTGTAGATGTTGATCTTACTGTTAGACAAATTCAGGAGGGAAGCCAGACATGAATGAGACAGGCAAACCAAACTAAACCAGACTGGAGTTATTTGTAAACTGTCTGCACAGTTATTCAACCTTTTCAACTGAATCAGCACATCATACCAATCCCATAGACCTCCCATCGACAGTTCTTCTAATAAATCAATGAATATAGAATTATTTGCATTAACATGTTGATCTTATAAGTGGTTACAAAACAGTCCTCCACTATCTTCATCAAAACACCATACAGCAGGGCGTTTTGAGAGTTGTATTCAGTCCTCGGGGAATCTCTGCCAAGCATCTGAAACAGACTATGTGGCATTGTTCGACAGACGACTGTGAAACAACAGCTGACTCTTGTGGATTTGGAGATAAGAATGTGTGATGGCCTAACACAACCCCTGATGGCGGCAGCTGAGAAATAAGACAATACACTCTTTGACACCAGTGAGGAGTTACATAACCCTGATGGAGGGCCATTCGTCTCTGTCATAAACAAAACTGTCAGAGAAAGGCGTTTTCTGGAATCCATCTATATATGTATGTATGTATGTATGTATGTATGTATGTATGTATGTATCTATGTATGTATCTATCTATCTATCTATCTATCTATCTATCTATCTATCTATCTATCTATCTATCTATCTATCTATCTATCTATCTATCTATCTATCTATCTATCTATATCTTAAACCATTTTCCTGCTTGACTGTTGATTTCAGTCATAAATTTTAAAGGTTTAAGAGGTGATAAGGTTTGAACGTTAACATCCTGCCAACAGAAAAGGCGATACAGCTAGCCTGATAATGAAAATGGGCCAGCAGCTGAAAGGACACCACACCATATTTTTGAGGTTATTGAATCATAAATTCTCCCTCTGATTCACTGTCACTTGGTTAGACACGCAGCTGTTATCTGATGGAGTTATTGACCACTGTTCAAGGAGGGTTGCATAACACCCAGTGACATCATAGTGTTTGAACATATGACATGTTACATGTTGTGGGTGGTCCATCCGTGTATATACTTTGCATATGTATACACTTCTTCCTGTCTGACCACTTTAATGTACCCTTGTACCCTAGATATATTAGGTTAATACTTGTCATGAAAACAAAATTAGGGTGGTCTCGGGTCACCTAAGGGTCCCTAACATGGTTTTAGGCTCATATGGTTGGTTAGATTTTTCCTGCAAAATCCTGTTGGTTTGAGTATTCTGTGCATTATGCACACTGTACAATTTGTGTTATAGCCTCACCAAAACAAACATTGCAGTCTCTGCTGTGACCTCCATTTGGTAATGTTGCTGTGCTACATGCGGCTTTGACCTTCCTCCTCCAATTACTCTATCACAACCATATTAGGGTCAGTAATCATTGCTCCTAAAAGATAGTAACAAGACGGTTTAATGGTTATTATGAGAGATGTCACATGAGAAAGAGTACTGTTATTATTTATAATACATCAGCATTATCATGATTCAGTTGTTGCCACACAATCTTAGCGCTTTGACCTTAATCTTGGTCTAACTTTTATACAAAAGTCTTAAAACAGCTGATGTAAAGTGTAATAAACAACAGTGAAAGTCAGTGAAATGTTTATTTGATCTTTCAATTGACTGAACAAGTGAAACTTGTCCTACAGCTTGTCATTCCCTAGACTGTTGCCAAGCAACATAAAACAACAATCCCTTGTCCTCATGCCAACTTTACGTCCATGACCCTGAGACTTGTTTTTTAATATTTTATGAACTTATATATGTCCATATACCATGAGAAGAGTATTATAATGGAAGTTGTCTTCCTAGTCTGAATGATGTGATGTAAGTAAGACGTTTTGCTCTAACATAAACTTAGAATATAACAACAACATGAATCTGAATGATACATACAGATAAACACCCAGGTGCTGTTACACCGAATTCAGTTACAAATGTTTCTTGAAGAATCGAATTACTTATTTTGAGCAATCTAGTAGATGAAGTTGAGCCCTCGGGTCTGAAAATACATTCAAAACTTCTGGTATGTGGTATAAGTTGCATGACCACTTCTTCCTCTGAGCTGCTGTCTGTGTTATTTTCAGCTCGCTCAGACTTGTCTGTTGCGGCTGCAGAGAACAACAGTGTGACTTCATGTGCTGCACTGCAAAAGAATCACGTTTTTGTCACATCCTGCCTCGCTGGTCAGTCTCACAGAGAAGTGGCTTCTGTCCTGAAGATTATCTCTCAGCAGAATGTGTTTTAAAACCCCTTGAGAGATAAGCTCAGGTAGTCAGAGGGACAATCAAACAATCAGATTAGATTTTCAATGGCCTTTGAACCCTGATGACAGACCTACCATGTGCACTGAAAACTCCATAACCAGTATGCACTTGTTGGTGCAAAGACAAACGCCTGCATGTATGCCGCCACGTAAGAAAGGTACAATCAAGTGTTATCATCAGCCGTTACATCATCACTTACACTTTCCTGTGAGCTATTAGGGTCAAAGCAGCTTTATTAGATCTGTTTGTACATTGCACAACCACTTCATTGACCCAACAACATTCAACCTGATTTAATCTGTTTTCCTACAGGATTTTGAAGACCAGCTTCCTAATTCTTCAAAAACAGAAGTGGAACTCATTGGTCAATTTCCCCTTTACTTCTGCAGAACAGGATTATTTTGCATCCATGTTGTTAGAAGTTTGACGTCTAACATCCAAAGTATCTGAGCATTTGTGAATCATGACCTTTATATCTTCTGGTCCAGAGATGAATGCTGTGGTTGCCACAGAGATGTTTACTGAAAAAGAAAACTAAAACGTATATTCAGTCATCAAGGTGACATCAAGAAAGGCCTCAATGCACCAGGGTATCTCTGTCTGGCTTAATTGTGATCAATTTTGGTTTCATTGGTAAAAGAAATATAATCAGGCTTGAGTCTGAGCATTATTGTGGAACATAATCATCAAAATCTGTTTTGCAGCTTGCAGCAGATGAGCAGGGAAATTTGGACTATTTTTAGGTCTGCGAACAGGAAATGATAATCCGTTTCATCTGGTGACTCTCATGCCTCCACTAAACTGTCAGTGTCTCCCTCTGCTTTCCTATGATGATGATGATGATGATGATGATGATGATTGCATAAAAACCAATGTCTCCTGAGATTTTCAGCACCATCAACCATTCACCACATGTCTGCATCTGGTGTCACAGCGCTTTAATAATCTTTCCCTCATTGCCTTGGTCTCAGCTAAAAAGTCTCCTTGAACTAGATTAATTTATCAGCATGGCAGATTATAAAAACATGGTTTAAGGATCATGCGACCAGTGGACGTACACGTTCTGTGGCCGAACACTGCTTACTCTTTATTTAAAGTGGTTTTTTTTTCTTGTCATAGCCTGTCTTTAATGTGCAAGTAAAAGTTGGTATGCTGCTTTCTTGGCCAAGACTCTCTTGTGAAACAGTTTTTATGTTCCTTATCGAGCATTTGTTTGACAAAATAAGTCAAAATTATTGCAGACATAGAGATAAGAGAGTTTGCCCTAATGAAAAACCAGTGCAGCCACAGAGGAGAAGAAAACCCATCAGATACTGTACATAAGACATAACTGGATTTGATAATCTAATCAGGCTAAAATTACACATATATTTGACCTCTTGTAGTTCGTTTGAAATTGATTTTCATTTGTTGTTTTTGAACGATATTTGCAAGGATAATCCTGTTACTGAATTTTGCATAAGGGAAGCATAGGTTCAGTCAGTCTGCATGTAAATTTTGTATGTCGCTCCTGAGGGCCTGTAGTTTCTTTACTTTGTGTTGGCTGACACAGCAGTATGTCCTGTATGCAAATGTAAACTTATGCACCGTATTGCACTTGAATCAACAGCAGTTGGACTGACAAAGAAACAAAGTTCTGTTAAAAAAAAGTATCTTGATGTTTTATTGCATTTTCTGGGTCTTTGTTTCACACAATACAAACCACCACTGAATATTTCTTTTGCCACTCCACCGGTTTCATGTAGTTGTGAGGGAATGAAACCAGGTATCTGCTTTCCTGTCAACGACTCCACCTTCATACGAGGTATGTTTGCCAAGTTGCTGTAGAGTGACGCGGCTTTCTAGGCTGAACACATTTTCCATTTGCTTACCCTCTTTTGCTCTGAGCGTTTTCTGTTGCAGGAGAGCCGATTAGGCTGACTACCAAGCTGCTGGTGTTGAAAACCAACAGCACCTGCTGTGGCTTCATGCAGTATGTTGAACAATGGTCATCTGAGGTTGCTGCTTTGAAGCCGGTGGTGCATGTTGGGCCTGGCTTTTAGCACTTCCAGGTATTACTTCCTGCTTAGCATTACTGCTGGAAGTTTGTTCCTGTTTGAAGTGAGCAATGTGAGCAGGACTAATGCAGATCAGGCACCGATGTCGCGGATGAATAGCAACCAGGCCAAATGCTTTGACTAAACAGCTTACTAATGAACCACACTGACGCATGCGATCTGAGGGTTGCAACCTTTCACAATATTTGTGAAAAAAAGAAAAACCCAGTAGGAGGAAAGCCTGTTCTCCTGGCAGAGACCTCCCTGCGGATCAGATCGGTCCACGTTACATAAAATACACAGCTTATCATCTTCTCATTAATACATTATTTTCCCACCCTTCAGGAGAAAACCCTTAGTCCTGGATGATTCAACAGCAAATACACCTGAACACCTCTGTTCTCGCCTCAAGGTTTTTCAGAAACTTCAAGCTACACTCAAAGTTTGTGGTGTTTCTCAGTCCACGGACTGTTTTGTTTTACTCCTGTACCAAAAAGAAAAGCAATTTCTCCTGTCATGTCTGGGTGGTCAGTAAGTTCCCCCTCTCTGCTTTTGTGTGTTTGTGGTTGATCAGCTGACTTATTTAAAGAGGATTCTCAGTTTGTCTAATCATAAACTGATCGGTTTAATTTACAACCCTGAAACTGGAAAGCTGCCCAAATCAGATGCTTTCTAATGGTCTGATTTAGTAGAACAATTATACATAAATGTTAACATAGTCTCTGTCAATTGTGACAAAGTGAACCCTGGAGTGTTTTCCTTCCATAGATGTTCATTTAATCTTTCCTTTGCTGACAAGATAAGTATTCAGTCCTTAGGATATGTCATGTTAAGAGATGTTCAAAGTACTTTTGTAGTTGTCTACTGTAAATTATAGGTTGGTGTGGTCCAAGAAGAAAATAAAGATCTCTAAAGTGTTAGTCATATTTTCCACCACGCTGCCTCCACTTCCTGCTCTGTGAATGTGTATCGTTCATAAACAATGAGCACAAAAGAGACTTCAGGTTTTACCACAAATGAATGCCTTTATTTTCCAAGACACTGTTAACACACAGGTACACAAGAGAGGTATCAGCTCCTGCAATAATAAAATAAATCAAAGTCAGTATCAGAACATTTAGAGTGGTAATATGGAATGTAGCTATTTTCCTTTTTTTTATTATTTTTAAACAATCCTTTCAAATAAATAAGTCTCTTTATAGTCTTTGTAGCTTGTGTTTTAAATCAATATATTCTCTTTGTTTAGTCAAAGTTTCAGGAATGAAGAGGAGAAAAGTCCGACAAAAACAGAGACAGTGACAAATCGAGGATACGTATCCCCTTTGAAAAAATGTCTTCAGTTTATAGGCAAAAAGGTACAAGAGAGAGCGATTGTTGAAAAAGAGGAAAATCCCTTCTTCTTCTAAACCTAAATAATCATGTTCTTCTACAAAATATCAGCGCGCCCAGTCAAGACAAAAAAAAAACGTTTGTTACAAGGTCTTTAGAGACACCAGTATGAACACAAAATGTCTTTCTCAAAGCTTAAGTTGCCAATGCTACAGGGCAGCAGACCCAGCCAGCCAAGGTCAGCTTGTACAGTCACCTTCCCCACAAAAATGTGCTGTGCTGTCAGGGGAACAATAAGTCCAAACTTCATCCAAACAAGAAAGTAAAAACAAAACTCATATCACAGGTAAAGCACCACATCAGGCTCCTAGAACTACACTTGAGCTTCAATTACCTCTGTCTCACTCTTTCTCTCCCAGAGAGAACTTAACAATGAAAAAACTCATCTGTACCAAAGTGGGCTGGGGTGGGGCGGGGCAGGGTAAGTCCTGGGATGCCACAGGAGTCCCTATGTTTGTAAAAAGACTGCGACCTCCCTTAAGATTTCTCCTACCACGTATAACCAAGAAAAGGAGCAGTCTTAGAAAGAGGAAAGTGCAAATGAGGACCCAGGCAGCCCTGTTCTCTGGCAAGTGAGGGAGAGAGCAGTAACCACCACATAAGACTCTCCCCCTCAGACCAAACCCTGAGGTGTCTGAGGTTCCCTCCACGCAGGGGAGGCTCAGATCCCCATGTAGGCATTGCACCTTGGGTTAGCAGGTTTCAGCTACACAGAGCTTTTCCCATGCTTCAAATTTAGACCAGGTTGACTCTGTTGGGGCCTCAGTCAGTGCTGTGATCCTCCAGCTGAGAGATAATTGTGATAAGGTTCTGGAGGCCGAAGATAAAGCCGCTGTCCTGTCCCTCGTGCACAACGCTGTCCTCCCCATAGTGCCGGCAGGTTGTGTGAGCAAAGTCAATCATCCGCACGTCAACCGCAGGACTACTGGCCTCTCCTGTGCCGTGGGACGAGCGGCCACTGCTACTCCCAGCTGCCACACCGCCACTGCCCCCTGCTGAGGAGGAACGAGGGAAACTGAAAGCCCCTTCCTCTTCTTCTTCCTCATCAGATGGCTCATCTTCATCACCTTCTTCCCCACCTCGGTGTCTGGGTCTGGTGGGGGTTCTTGGAGGATCCCCATCATAAATGATGAGCAGGGAGCTGGAGTAGAAACGGTAGGACTCGCAGGCCTCAAGGGCAGCTTGCATTTCTCGGAGTCTGCGAAGCACTGGAGACAGCAGCTCTTGACGGAGGCGTCGTCCATCATGGAAGAACTGGTATAGAGCCTCCTTAAATCCAGCAAGGGTCAGCTTACGGCCGTGGTATTTATTCATAAACATCAGCTGGCCTGAATCTGACTGGTACACCTGCAGGACATACAGAAACATCAGCACTACAGCTTCAGATGGATTAAAACATCATCACAGCAGAGATGTGTTCAGGTGTGGCCGTACCTGCATGCCGCATAGCCGCACTCCAATAGAGGCAGACGTGCTTTGCTGACACTTGCGTATTTGATGGGCTTTCTTCTCCTCTGACGCGTCATCCCCGTGTTGGCGAGTTCCCATTTTCAAGTCAAGGACACATGGTACTGCGTAGCGCCATGTCAGGTTCTCCAAAAGTATAAATTCTGTGAAGTATGGTTAAGGATCATACAAAAACAGTCTATATGTGCTACTTTTTTTACTATTCAAGTCTCATCTTTTGTTCTCATCAGAAACGAGGAGAGCTTTTTCTTCATAAAAGGATACTGTATTGATTTCGGTGTTTGGCATTCTCCTTCATCCTCTGCAGCTGCTGCTGGTGACATTTGAGGCTCCAGGGGTTGTGTTTGATCTGTGGCACCACATTACCTTTCTCCATGCTAAAGTAGAGCACCTCCGCTTGTTGGTGCTGCTGTGTGTCTTCACGGTTATAACTGTAAAAGAGGCACAGAAAAATACAGTTAGCTTGAGTATTACAGAGCTTATTTTTTCATAATTGCATGTTTCGTTAAACCGCAGATTTATAGCAATCTTTCTTGCCTTATGATCTTGTCTTCTTTCCGGCTGTGCCGCCCTCTCTCTTTGCTGTAGTTGTCATTCTCCAGAAGCAGCGAGGACTGCTTCTTCTTGCTCCACTTCAGCATCTTGGTCTTCGGCTCACAGTCTGCTGAGGGGTCTTTGTTTTCCAGGTCCCCCAGCTCGCTGTGAAGGGGGTAGGCAATGAGGCACAGGTTCCCTTCCTCATCTTCTTCAAAACTGACCGACACCACACCTGAACAAGAATAAAAAACAAAAACAAAGCACCAGTGAGGAACTGTTATTGGTAATGTCAATAATAACAAGCACATTATTTAGAGCAAGTACTCTGACATTGATGCAGCTGTTTCTCCAAACACACACACACACACATAAAAGACAGATGAGGTTATAAATATGACAAAAAAAAGACAGAAGAAAAAGTGAGACATTTGCCAAAAAAGGACTCATCACATTTGTATGTAGATAAACTGCTCTTAGATGACTATACAAGAAACATGAGACACAAAATACTACACGAGGCTCAAATATGTCTCAATGAGCATGGCATTTATTGAGAAATTGAGTAACATCTTCATGAACATACATAAATGAACTCACAATACACAATTTAAGCAGCCCATGGGGACATGAAAATGAAGCAGTTTTCTTTCCACATACAGAAACACAATATCCCACAATAACAACTCCATCTTTTTCAGAAGGTTTGTAAATAATTGGTCAGAGATTTCAGTCACATTTATTAATATGACCCCACAGAGTTCATGGCACAGTCCTTTGGTGAAAATGAAACCCAACCAGCTCGTAAATGTGATGTTGTATTTCATTTCAATCTGTTTCACAGGTTTAAAACAAAACTAGATGCTTTCAATTTATGATGCAGTCCACAAAAAGCTCCCCCAGCAGACCCCCACATGAGTCACTTTCCCGCAGACCCTAGAAGGGCCCGTGCAATGCACAGCTCTGTGGAGTGTGGGGGAGGTGTTGCATTGAAAGTAAACATCTCTGCTGCAGCAGCTGATAAAGAAAAACCACTGACAGGAAGGAGGGGATGTGGTTGTAACTAATCAATGAAGGGTAAGGTCAAGATAGGGGAAAAGCGTACAAGTTGAAACATGATTCCAACAAGAACAGCTGTTGTAAAAGAAGTAAAGCAGAAGATTCAACCGAAGAGGACACATAGAAATTCAGCCCATGAACAACCTTGATATACAGAGACAATTTCTAAAACCAAAGTCAGGTGCTTTTGTTGACTACGCGGTGGGCCTCAGGACCCAGCATCACAGCTTCTTCTGCAGCTCCAGGCCTGGCTGATGTCATGTGTACTGACATCACCACTCTGGAGGAAGCTCCGCCTCCTCAGACTATTCTTATGGAAGCACCGCACTGTCATCAACCACCTCAGTGAGTGTGTGGGAACTGATGAGTGTCTCTAAAGGCAGTCTTGAAGCCCAGGAATTGTTGGTTTTACTTAGATCTCTAGATAAATGATCAGTGTAAAATATAAGCCAAAGAAGATTGTAGAGGAGCATCCGAAGTACCCGGGAGTCTTTTACTATCTTCAATCTGAATCCATCTCCTCATACTGGGTCTTTATATAGTCCTACGCTGCATTACTAGGGATCAGATACCACCCGTGCGTCTTGCCTCCGTCATACAGCCTCATTAAGACGTCTCCAGCCAGTACTAGGTGTCATTGTCTGTGGGTAAAAATCACCCAGGGCCTGAGCACAACCAGGGAACATGATATGATTAAATGAGAGCATGTCTGTAGGAGAAAACGTGTATTTATGTCCATGTTTTTGGTGATGGACCTGAAATAAGACCCCGGGATCTCTTTCCATTTATTTTTGATCCTTCATGAGACACTTGCACTGAAACTATAGCCATCTTGAAAGACGGGCTAGACACTTTTAAGGCCTCTGGCTACTCATCCTCCTGGCAGGTAGTCAGACCGGCAGCTTGGATGCTGCTTGAAGCCCCCCCACCCCCTCCTTTAACATGAAGATCTCTACTAGAAAATTGGACATGGTGACACCGTCCACAAGTCACGTTATGAGGCCACAGGACACAGCATGTACATTTTTTTATTGTTATGTACACCATGTTCCTTGAGCCGTTGTAACAATCCATTACACAACACTCTAATCAAAGCAACATAATAATCTTATCAAGTGAGCAGAGGTATTTTTTTGAAGTGCAATGATAAATGCAAAGAGTGGATTATATAATACAGGCTGATAATACACCGACAAGAAAAAAGAAAGGATTAAAACTTAGTACCAAAACAACTCCACACATGCGCAGTGCAACTGACAGCTTGAAAACCGTACAGGGATAATAAATATAGGTCTTACCTTTAAACTGCGGGGTGAATTTCCGCATCTCAGGGGGGAGGCTTTTGTAAAACTGGTGCTCTCGGGGGATGAGGGGCTTGCAGATTGTTTGTTCCCCGAATCGTAGCACACAGGAGTGGCCTCCTACCTGGTGCACGAAGGGCTCAAGCATCACCCCTTTCCCGGGATATGGAGTCCCGTCCGCCTGCATGAGGGCTTCCAGAGCGGGACTCATCCTCACTCCGCATCGGATAAGTGACCTAGGGGGGCCCACGGCGCTCGGGAGGCTACAAGCTCGTCCGCTCGTTTGGCTCCCTATCCTCAGGCTCTTCTTCTCCGTCGACTCGCACGGGGGCGCTGCTGGTCACCTGCTCGAGCGCAGCACTGAAAAAACAAAGGGCTGAACAGGAAGGACAGAGGCAGCGAAAAGATTCCTTAATCCTTTTCTATTCCTTACGGGAGGACGAATTATAACACCTCCTACGTTTGGCTGGATGTTCTCCGTGTTTGTACGTTTGATACAAGACTACTTTCACAGCCCTAAAGCTGTTTAAAGTGCTTCCAAACCACGACTGTATGTCCTCGTCCCGTGGCTGTTACCGAAACTGAAGGCAGATCTGTCTAACCAGCCACTAAACCAGCAAAGCAGCGTTTAAGCCCCTCCCCGTTCAACAACCAGCCAATCAGAGAGCTGCTGCTGTCGCTGGGAGGAGACGAGGCACCTATGAGAGGATCAAGCAGATCAGGCAAACAAAGAGGAAGGAGAGAAAACAGGGGGGGAGGGGAGTACAGGAAAATTTCGAGACAGAAAAACACAACACTGACAGTAACCTGCCAATGTACTTACCACCTTCATAGCTACTGTTGTTGAGGAGATGAATTTCATGTTTTCATCTCAACTATGCCAATTTGTTTTGCACATCGGAGGCAAAAGAGACAAGAGAATTAAACCCTTTAATGCCTTTTGTATCATATTTGATACATACTTTTATATACTTCTATCAAATCAATATGACCAACAAATTACTAAAAAAAACCTGAATACAGTCCGATAAATAATAAAAATGTCCTCTTGTAGTTTGTCAGTTTCCAAAAACATCTAATGTATCAAACAAGATAAATAAATATATTTGTTACATTTTAAGGACATTTTGATTTTTGGGGGTTTTCAGTAGTAAGTGAAATAAACATTCCAGCACGAAACATTGTCCTTTCTTAAGAAACATTTAAGATTTTATTGATGACTTTTAAAGCACTCAAGGCTTTTGCTTCGAGCTACATTTCAGAGCTTTTAACTCACAGCTTCAGATCCTCTAGTGAAGGCCTCCTGGTTGTTCCAAAGTTGAGACTCAAAACTAAACCTACCAAACATCGGATGTCGAAGGGATGTGCAGATCAAGTCAGTATTGGGTTGGTCTGTCAAAGATCACATCTCGACGTCAGTGCGACATGCAAAATAGGTTAGAAATTTCGACGGATGTTCTGTGCCTTACGCCTGTTTGTCAAAGCACTTTGTAAACTTCTGTTTTTAAGTTATTATTATATGATCATTATTGTATTGTTTACAGTTTCTTCCAAACTCAATACTTTTTAGCTTAAGGTGTGCTTCTAAGATGTGCTATGAGGAAAATGGTTCAATGGCTTAACAATATTTAGTCAGTTTATTTTTTTTTTTTGCATAGCCTGCATTTTAAACATTTGCATTAGTGATGTAAATTTTGCAAAGACAGAAAGTAGCACAAAAACGTCCCTGTCTGTCAGCACTGAAAACAATGTAGTCAGATGCTTTGTTGACATACGTGGTAGAAATGGAGATGTTTTAGTGTGCAGCTGAAATAGTGGTCCATGTGAGGATTTAAAATGTAAGTTAACCACATTTCTATGTGCCCAGTCACAAAACTGTGTTTAAATGAGCTCTAATACAGAAATCCAAGGCTAAGCTGAACGTAACACTGAACATTTTCTGCAAGTGTGTCACTTGTTATAGTGAATGCACTATGAGGCATAATTCAGAAAAGTAACAGGGATGCTTTAAGAGGAAAACAAAGCATAAAGTGGGCAGCATCACGTATGCTGTCTGTGAGTACTTGTGAAAATTTACCTACAGTGCTTTTATGCTGTTATACTGAGAGTGAGAACTGTCCATCGAGAAAAAATACCAAATACTTCCTGGTAAACTTACAGGCTGTACCGCCCATCATTGATTCCACCCATGGACTTCACATTTGAGACGACTTTTTAAGATTAAAAATAAGTCCTTAAGGCTCTGGAATCATGATCAAGAACAAGAATATAAAAAAATAACAATCCATAATAATAAAACAAACTGTGCCATTTGCAGTTTAAGGTTTGTGGGGCAAGTAGTTTGTTATTTTCTGGATTAGACAGTCAAAAGACTTGGTTGTTGGGTTTGGTTTGCCATGAGACTACACTGTGCTTTGATCCACAGTAAGGCAGTGTTTAACAACTCAGGAAAGTTATTACTATGCTCTGATCCATCATGAAATATCAGCCAATAGTTGGCACAACCCTATATGGTACAAGGGATTGAACAAATGCAGGCCAACACTCAACATAAACAAAGCAGAACACTGCTGAAACATTTCCTCATTGGTGCACTATCTGGATATCAAAGAACAACATCCTTTGGCACCACAACACATACACACCAGCAGCTCTAAATAGAACCCAATGGAAATATTCCTGACATATTTCACTTCAGTTTTGCTTTAAGGAAGGAAATTGCGAGACAATACAAGCTCAAGTATCAGCCACACTATCCATACAGTTTTTAAAACCTATTTGACAAAACAGGGGAGATGTTCAATGTAGACTGCAGTTAAAATCTACAAAAACCCAACACCAAACTACAAGTCACCTTTGCTTAAAGTAAAGGGTGTTTGCCCAACCCAACAAGCTTTTGATATACAAACCAAACTGTGAACTTGATGACTGATTAAAGACCAAATGAGTCTGACTGTCCAGGCCAGACAAAGCTGGAGCAGTGTAGACAGCTCAGGTCAGTGGACGGTTATAGCCTCATCACGCACTAATCTCTGATGTTCCAGTTCTGCACTGGGATTACAAATGGGGAAGAAAGGATCCCAGACACAGGCATGGAGGGGATTAAATGATCAGCACTTGAACAGGGTTTGGCCTCAGAGGTGGGGACTCACTCATGTCCCAGTTTGAAATGTAAAGAAGTACAAAAGGAGGAGAGAAACCTGTACGTTTGATTATAAGTGGGTTATTTAAATATTTGATTCAGGAATCGACAGAACAATACTGGCTTTATCATGCTGTCCATCTTTTGGGAAAGACATCCATGGCTGTTTCATGTTTCTAAGTAGAAGGTTTAGTCATGTAATTGTAAAGGTGTTGAGTGGGCCTCAGTGGGTGAATAATGTCCAGTAGTGGGTAGTCATTAAAGAACCATAAATAAGGACATTCTCACAGCCCATCTACCATCCAACATCTATCACCAACATTAAAGTCTTAAACACTGTTATCAACTTCAAATCCTCTTGAAATTCATTATAAATGGTATAAAGCATGCAAGAAAGTGTGTGTTCATGTGTGAGAGTCTTTCTAGCCTAGTCACCCTGGCCTCACTGATGCGTCAGTGTTATGTCAGCTTAGGATTGCTTCCCCCGCTCATATCATGGGTCCATGCCCCCGGACAATAGGTTCAGGCTGTGCCACAGGGCCCTAAACTCAATGATGCAATGGCCAACAGCCTTCAGTGTGCATGTTGTATTGTGCACGGCCTTCTACAAACACAGTCATCATTGTAAAATCTGCCCAGCAGAGATGCAGATGAAGTTTCTAGAAATCTGGCCTCATACAAAAAATCAGGTCAACAGAATAATATGAAATAAAATAAAGCTGGACAGAAAGTTAGATTGGTAAATCCCATGTTACTTTTCTTTCCTGTGGCTATACTGCTCACTGATGCTCCATGATCTATACCCATATGTAAAGTAGCACTAAAAAAGTTATACTAGAAAATTCCGTCTGAGAATTGAAGGCTACTGCCAAAGTGTGTACATTATAATGAGATTCTTCAGAGATTTCAAGTACTTTATAGTATGGTAGCATTGTGAGATTATATACATGGAGCACACCTACAACACAGATTCCTTTCTCAAGTATTTATTTATCCAAAACAATAAAAAATAAAAAGTATAAATAACAGTGCCGGAGCAGTAAATGTTTGAAAAACTCTAATCTTTGCTTTTTTGGGGGGGCTTGTAATGTATAATCTGTCCAATACTCTTCAAGCTGTAGGACAAGTAGCAAATAGAAACTAGTATATAGAAACTAGAAACTAGAAACAGTATATTGTAAAGGGGCTTGCTGTCAAGTTTATGGCATCGCTATAAACCTGAAGGCCAGTGCCTCGGTGCATTTGCCCCCTTATGAGGATCCTGATCAAGAGTCAGGGTTTTTCGGGATTCAATTGCTTTAGAAATGATTCAATGATGCAGATATCAGAGCAGTCCCTGATTAGTGTATTGATCTCAGCTGTGGGCCTGACCTGAGGTGGTTGAACAGGACGATAGACACACAGCAGGCTGAGACAGTCAAAATGTCGAGAAAAAGAGCGATTTTTTTGCCTCAGTGCTCGTCTCACACTTGGGCTTATTCTGACCAAATTCAGACCGTGATCATCGTGAGGACTTCCTTAACGCTTTGATATGATCTTAGCATTTCTACAGTAAACAGTTTGGACAGACTTGCAAGTTATAAACAGGAGTCCCTTCTGCTTGTCTCAGAAAATCTTTGTATTAGCGTCAATGAGGAGCAGAGAGAGACATTGCCGTATTTAGAGGCTCAGTGTATTAATATTGTAAGTCTCTGTACTTAGATGAACACATCGTTAGAGACAAAACAAGTGTGTCTACAACGGTGGAATGACGGAAGTTGTCCATAGTATGTACAGTCTATGTGTATGACCTAGAGAATGTGACCCATTTCGCTCTGCCCTTTTGCCCCCTTGAGCTAAGCCATACCTCCGGTTCATAGCTCATCTGACTAAAGTTTGGTCCAGTTTGCCCAATGGACAATCTGAATGGACTCAATCTGACTCTATTCAGGGTCTCTTGAACAACGGCTCGGCAGAAATAGAGGAGTGTAAATGTGAGGTGCTTTTTCACAGTGAAGATGTAGAAGATATTTCCATCAATATTTGCTCAACCAGTCAGTTAAGTTTAATCCTTACCATCTACACATGAGTAAAAAGCAAATAAGGCTGATTGAAACACTTCCTACAAATCTTAAAACTCGTTATATTGTCTCCCCAAGATTTTGTCAGACATTGATTAGTGGCAAGCAACAGCAGGGATATTAGATTGTAAAGAATGAAATGAAGACAGTCATAAGTTAAATCACCTATTAGGGAACTCTTTTCTTCAAACATCCAGTGGTTTCCTTCCTTTGGCACCACAAATGACTTTAATTGGACAGCTGAAGATGAGCATTGTTACCTCAACACCTTGGTTGACATTATAGGGATGAAAGGTGTCATCAGCATGATAATGATACTGGGCAATAAAAGGCTAAAAAGTTGATCATCCGTATCGCAAACATGAAAATTTCCACTGATGCAATTGCAATGCTTTTCAAGGTAACAGTTTCCCCCTCTTGTTTTCATACTAAGCTTTTATTCTGAAGTTGTGTAAAGAGCAATTTTTTAATGTAAGAACTAACTTGCACTGCTCGTCATAGGTGAACTCAACCCAGAAAAAAGGTAATATATCATGTTTGTTACAGGTAAGTTGTGTTAATCATTAATCATTACAGCAAATATTTTGCCATTTCCAATCACTCCCCCTTTACAGGGTTGCTAAAATTCTTGATACCCAAACAGAAGAGCGCCAAAAGAGCACGATGGTAGGGGTTGGTTGTTTGAGTACCTGGCCTGATTTTTGACAATGGAAACACAAATACCAAACCATACTGAACCAGAGCCCTTGGTGGAAATAGACTGTCATAGACTTGATGATTTTTAAATGAAAATTGTGATTGTGTCTATTGATATTGGCCAAAATGGGGATATGATAATAGCAGCATATTAGCCAAAACACAGCCTCAAGAGCAAAATGTGCTGTATCATGAATCTTATTGAAAATTTGAGCTACGAGGACAAAATGAAACCAAAGAAATTAACCTCATTAAGAAATGTACACTCAGGGTGGCTGAGACAATCTGAGCTGTGAGACAAGGAGTGTCTCGAAATTCCTGTGTGTGGGGGGAAATCACAAAGGAATATCCCTCCATCTTGACATTCCCTTTTCCAGTGTTTCCTTGAGCCCTGCCCCCTCATTCCCAGACACGTGAGGAAGGGAAACATGGGTTAGTCTGAGAGCTTGGCAGAGAAAGGGGATAGGCCCATATGCTCATGTATTTCGACTACAGTCCTCTTTTGTAAATAAATGTGTGTTGATAGTGATGAGTGTTGTTGGCACACAACCACCCTGGTCAAGGACAGGATTAATGATCACTGTACTTCACTTTACCACCCACACTCCGAATGCCATGCCTTTTACACTTCTTGTCATCCACAATGGAAAAAGGGTTCATCTGATCAGGTGACATGTGGTTAAATAGATAATAAAGATACAATCAAAGTGTGTGTTTGTCATCAGATAACACTTCTTTCATTTCCTGTAATAAAATGCCCATTGACAGTCAATCACTTTGCTTTTACAAGTTACGTACCTGTTATCTGGTTTTATGAATTTTCTTTCAACAAAAAACAAAAAAGGGGGAATTCTTCAGCGATGACAAGACAAAATCACTCACTTTTTAAACTTAAATTTGTGTTTCATTGTGATAGTTCAACATCAGTTTGTAAGATACTGGGTTCCTCAATGAGAGAGAAAAACTGTAACAACAAACCATAAAACGTGAGGCAGGGCAGTAAAATCTGTAAATAACCCATTGTATGGATAAGACTTCCTCTAATGATGCCTCACATTTTCCTGCAAACATTGGCACATGAGACCTGGCAATAAAACCCCACAGAGCCCAGAGACAGGGTCATAAATGTAAAGTATCGTTTACTCTGGGAGGGGCTGTCAAATACAACGGCTGAGATGCAAGAGATGCACGGAGATTTTACTGGGGGTAGGTAATGCAATCTTGATGGCAGTCTGACGAACAAACAACAGTCAAGACACATGAACTGAATCAGTATGAACCACTGCATAATGTGTTAACTTCAAGTGTTAACAATTAGACCTACAAGTGCTATAACTGTTACTGTCAACTCTACTTTTATTATCATTTATATATTATTGCTGATACTACTATGACCCATTTTCTTTTCTGGCCTGCTTGATGCAGATGGCATTAAACACTGTGGTTTTGGTTGAGGTTATTATGGAGGTTTTCTTTGGCAGGGTTGTAGAGCACACTCTCATGGTGGATTAATGTTGGATCTCTCTTTAGAAGAAGGACAAGTATGGCTCTTCATGAGATAAATTTAGTTGACCCAGAAAAAAAACTCTTGTTATAACCTAGTATTCACAGTATTGATCGTTTCTTGTCCCTTCCCTGATGCAAACCATAGCAATTGGGGCACCTAAGTAACATCATAACTTCAACTTCACATTCTGCAAGTGTAATGGTATGCTTCTCTAATGAATTCCTGCAGACCTTTAATGGTAGCGCATTCATTTTTCTGAGGCAGAGTAACCGCCTGAACTGGCTGGACTACATGCAGCTTCATATTCCTAAAAACAAGCAACTCACGTGCAACTGAAATACTGAGCTACCGCCTATCATGTCCATACATGTGAAAGTTATAAAGAATGTTTCTCCTGGCTCTTTGTTGATATAAGCTACATCCTGTATATTCAGAGCAACAAGTGATCGATAAAAGCACATAAAGTCATGAGAAGCCTTGACACAGCAGGAGTACAGTGATTATGATTTCCCCATCCTCTTTATATTGTTTTAGATAAAACTATGTTAGACAGCTGAATCTGACCCACTTTAGCAGATGTAAGGCAGCTCTTCTGTATCTTCAGGGAGTGGGTTTTCTGCAAGGTGTGGGCCCTTACATTATCAGTGTGTAAACATACACTCATAAACAGACACAGTGCTGCAACATGAGGCGTGAAGAATATCTAAGGTTAAGTGACCAGGTAAAGATGTGGGCAAAAACAAACAGTGGGAGCGTCACTGTTTGCATTTTTGACTATTGTGTGGGACTCCACTCACGGGCTCATGTTGAAAGTGAAAAAGAGATGTTAAACAGCCTCACTCTTGTGCCCTAGTTTCTGCACTCACTAGATCAATGCTTGATCCCATCACCATGGGAACAGCCTCATGGAGACTGCATGTATGTGAGCTTTTTGAGGAGTTTTGAGGTTTATTAGGTTGTAGAAAGCGAAGTCAGGATGCAGACAAATTCATAATTTAGGTTTACACTTCCAGAAATGAAATGCTGTTGTAATATTTCCAACCAACTGCAAGATTTTCTTCATGTAAACACAAACAGCATTCATATCACACGTTGGTTTTAAATAGCCCCTGCGACTTCTGTCCGGTCATCAGCCCCGCTGACACATATTTCCACGTCTACACCCTGCCAAATAACCTACCACCCTCCATCAACCTTAGCCTTGACTCTTGACCCCTAAAAGAGGGGTGCTGTGAATTGACACTGAATCCCCGAGCTCGGATTTCTCTTGGAGGTAGAATCAGGTCATGTCCGGGAACTGGGTGGGCAGGTTCTGTCAGCATGCAGGCTTCTGGGCACTGTCCAAACTGCCACATCAAGTATGCTTCACGTGCTCAGACTAAGACCGATATCATGAGTCCAGCCTCCTTCTGCTGCCTCACATCGTATTGGCCACTCTATATCCTGTCAAGGGTAAAGTTGTCGCTCACGGCCAAGTAGGACAAAATGACCGGGTGATGGAAGCAAATCTACAATTTATCTGCAGCTAGTGCCACTTCTGAAAAATTTCACACATGCTGTTATGCAGACATCGCCGTGTATACCCTTTATTGAACTGAAAATCTGCCTGGCAGAGCACTGCAAACAGTTCACCTCAAGGATTCATAAAGACTTTGTTTTCAGTGCTCAACCTGATCATATTACAGATACAGGACTATACCATAAATGATATGATATGAAACAAAACCATATAATATGATGCACTTTATTGTCCTTTTATGGAAGTTTGTCTGGGATTCAAATGTGACTTCTGCACAACTGCCTCCACAATGACAAACGTAAAAAACAACAACAGGGGAATGATTGCTGCCACCACTGACTACTATTCACAGACTATACTTCTTTAAGGACGTCTTCCTGTGCACACAGTTTGTTTTGCTTCATCACCTCCACTATTTAGGACCTGGCCAAAGCTCTCATATGAGCTCCTTCCTGAATGAGAACACACAATCAATGCAGGTCGAAACTTGAAGTGTCTGTCTTGGTAACACATGAAAACAAACACTGATGCTGAGTTCCAACCTCCTTAAAAATCATTAAGAAAAAACATCATTTTTATTCCTGATAGCTGCATGTAAGCATTTAGTACTGGCTCTGTAGTCCAGAGTCAAAAGTCAAGCAGTCACTTTTCTTAAGTACAGACATCACAGTATACCGAAACACAAAATTACAGAGCATATCCAAACTAATGCAAAACTAATTTGTATTTTTATGTATTAAAGTAATCTCTTATTCAGCTCATTGTGAAAGAGCAAATTTAGAGAACAAAGCAAACTAGAACTTGATGTGTTTCTGGCTGAAGTTCAATGCTAACATTGATGTTTTACTGATTACAGATCTTTTTCTTCTCGCCTAGATCTTTGCTTGTGTTGTTCTTGTTCTTGAATGTACGTCACTTTGGGATAAAAGAGTCTGCTAAATGGCATTGTAACCTTGTAACAGAAGCTATACATGCCACAAGCTTGGTGGGTGGAGACTGTTGAGGAAAAGAAAACAAACTTTCCAACCTCGTGGCCTACATCAGTTTTTTTCGTTTCAGAGGGAGACATGAGCAGCTTTATCTTTGCTATCTGCCTTGCAGCCTTTCTCTCAACCTGGAGTTAATAGACAACAACACAGAGGCATTTATCAGCTACTCCTGCTTTTGAACTTAAACTTACTAATCCAGTTCACTAAAGGCCGTCTTTGATCTGTAGGTTTTTCAGAGTGTTAACTATGAGAGAGGGTGCAGGTTTTACAGCTTTCCTCATGCAGCCCACTGTACTTTAACAAGTTCCATATGACCCAAACATGCAAAGAGTGAGCAAAAAAAAAAGGTCAGATTTAAATAAACAAAACCATTCCTCAGCTCTGCACGTGTAACCAGTCACGTGCAGTCTATCTCTGCCAAAATCTTGGAGCCATAATATTTTGATTTTTCATGCACACATGGACGTCCCACACACTTAAAATATAGATGCTGTCTAAGCTCAGGCTTGTGCATGCTGAAGACTCGACCCAAAACAAACAGAGCTGGAGGAGGTTTACCATACAAGGACCGAGCTGGATTGGTTCACGAGCGCAGTTAAAACTTTAAAAACACGGTGTAGACGTTGGCTTTAAACAGAGAACAAAAACAATCACTGACCCACTCTCCAATCTCTGCAGTGGAGCTAAACTCCTGGAGATTAATGTTTCAATTGTTCTGCAATCCTAGGGGCACTGTATAGGATTATGTGGAATGGAAGGAAGACAAATGGTTGAGTAAAGGGTTTAGTCCTGCAGCTGGAACAAAGACTACACCTGCTTGTTCATGAAATACAAATTTATGAGCAAAAAAAAAAAGAAAGTGCTGTCAGTTTGTTTCCTTTTTTTCTTTTCTAAACTGACAAAACTGCTTGCAGATTCTTTACAGGGTCAAAGGTCACGAACATGACTGTCCTCGCGGGTTTGTGCAGCGGTCTCTGTAGAGCTGGAGTACAGCAGTTTGCTTTTTCCAGGAATTGTGGGATAAACATCATCTGGTAAAAGTCAGAGTAGAGACTCCTCCTCACTTGGCTGTACACAGAGGGAGTGTTTTTGTTTTCAGTCTGCAGATGTCAGGCTTTTTGGAGTTCCCTCACATATCACAGCTGTGGGAGTGTGAGTGTGTGCTTGTGTGTGTGTGCATGTGTGTGTGTGTGTGTGTGTGTGTGTGTGTGTGTGTGTGTGTGTGTGTGTGTGCCTTACTGTGTCCAAGGTTGACAGAGAGAGGGGAAGAAGTGAATATAGGTCCTGTGTGCTCCCACTGAATTATGTAACCTTCCAGTGAATCCACTCTGACTGTATCTAAACCCCATGACATTATATTGACACGGAGCACAGGCTGTACAAGATAGCGCCTGGCAAAAACACCCAAACATACTTTCACAACCAATTTCACAACTGATTATCTAATTTAGTAGTCTCCAGTTTAAATACTACGTTTAAGACTTGTGAGCCTGCTGCTGAAAAACTGAAACAGATAACCTCAGTGATGCCTCCTATTGGCTTACAAAGAGGAGTTTTGAGGCATACTGAGGGTGATGGATGCCATGTTGGAAATACTGACTTAACCTAACATACAGCCCTGTAAAAGGTATACAGCTATTTCAGTGTGCATGTATGCATTAGTCAAGCCTTGATGTAATTTGTACTGTTTTACGTCCAAAACATTTTGAACAGAAAAAGTGCAGCGTAATAGACCAAACCCCTTCATTGTTTTCACTATGTTAAAGATACGTTTAAATTTGCTCTTATTTGGTCAATTTTAATATGTAGCACAATGGAGTGTTACTGGGGTGACCATACGTCCTTTTTTACCTGGACATGTCCTCTTTTTTGTGGGCTGTCTGGCCTGTCTGGCCTTGTCCAGGGGAGTTTATAAAATCCTTCAAATGTTTGGGGTTTTGTATGGAAGTTTTGAGTTTGTGTTGCTTGGACTTACTGAGTTAGAAGCGTGTAAAAAACACTCGATTCGACCCAGAAAACTCTCAAAATTAACTACAGTCGACTCCCTGACTCCGCCCCCAGGTAGTTGTGTCCTCTTTTTGGGGATTCAGAATATGGTCACCCTAAGTACTACTCACTTTTTGGGCCAGCCTCAGGTGGACCCTCAAGTAACTGCCGTTTTTGGAAATTCAAGCTGGTTTTAATTGTTGCTGCCTGCTGCTTATCAGTTGATGAGCATTAATGGGAAGTAGTGAAGTAAACTAGTAGATGAGTGCAAGACCAGTGGAAGACCATATTGTGCATTTTAAAACACTTATGCATGTGTTTGGTGTCTTTTTGATAAAACTGATACATCTAAGCATGACAGAGGCCTTTATGCTGCCCCTGCACAGCATGGAAGACCTGTCTGTGCAGCATGTTCTGGCATGTTCAGAGTTTTTCCAGCTTTCAGTAAAACTCACAAAGTGCTGAACTTTACTCTGTCTGCAGAGCAGTGTGGATTTTAGTTTTGCAAAAGCTATCGCTATGCAAACCCAGCTTAGACAAAACCAAGCTGCAAAACCGCTGCACTTGTTGTTCACTAGTTTTCGCTGCGCACCATGGCCATGAAGTATCAGTGATTGGTGCTATCATGGTGAGAAACCATCAATATCTCACCCTTTCAGTGGCACTTTGGACCGAGCTATTATTGATTATGTCACTGCACTTCATGGTGTTGGGAAAATGAATGTTTGTCAGGATACCAGTGGTGAGGCAGTTCACTGTAGCTGCCAGAGGTTGAGGTTTTGCTTCTCAGCTTGCAGTCCATAAACATACTGCTGCTGCTCATTACATCCTTAATGTGTTTCTTACATAACACACTGTCCATATGATTTATGATTACGAGAGATTTATCCGACTGCTGATATCAAGCACATCAAGAGTCTATTTGAAGAGTGACACTTGAAAGTCTCCTAAATTAGGAAGATGAAAGAAGTCTGACTTCACGTGTTTTACAGCACTGCTGACAGAGAAGAGATGTGAATGCTTTGGGAGTGACCACACATTTTCAGAAAAACATTTTCTAATCCAAAACAAGAGTGCGAGTTTCTTTTATAACATTACCTTGAAATGCAATTGAGGAACTGCTTGTGGATGAGATCCAGAGCAGCATGTTTATGAGTTACACATGAGGCTTTCAGGGTTTATGAGTGATTGGGGTATTTTAAAATTTGTTTAAACCCACTCTGCAGACTACTTACGACCTAAAACTGAAGGATCTGGTCTCACTGAATGCTTTTTAGATGCTTTTGATTGGAGGCAGACCTTTCCAGTTGTCGATGTTGTATTTGATATATTTCTGACTGTGACCCGTGAGTTTTATTTTTTATTCTGTGTTTTAGTGTCTCTGAAATGATGTGTATATGTAATGTTGTTTTTTGTTTGTTGGAAACCTTGGTAACTGGTTCCATTGCCTGTCTTGCCCGAGGCACTCTGGAAAAAGATATTTTTAATCTCAGCAAATTATTTTCTAAGTCCTGGTAAAATACAGGTTAAATAGTTTCACTTCCCCACACTTATAAGATTGAGGCATTGCCTGAGTGTCATCGTTGACGTTAAGAGGCAATGCACAAATATAAAAACAACATCAATATCTAAATGAATACTTTCCTGCCTGAACAGTTGGAACATTTCTGAAAGTGGTGGACAGGCTGACTCAGTAACCAAC